GAGAAAAAAATAACCGTACCCCCAAGCGCTGAAACTCAGCGGGGGATACAAATACAAAAAAAAAAATAAGATGACGATTGAAAACAAGATAAAAAATCACAATCAAAATCCCCATCATTAACTCCCATTTGAAATCCTCCCGAGCATTATTTTCATAAAATAAACTTCACAAGCGAAGTGCAAATTACCATTTTTTGCCTGCCCCAGAACCCTCTGTTTATAAATCTGAAAATTTTCAGATTTTTCTTCGCCTCTAATAAATATTAAATTGATTCCTGTGGTAGTAAACCTGATTTTTTAAGTAAAAAATGCTTGAGATTTTTTTTATAAGCCGTTGATTTGTTTTTCATTCTCACCCTTAAGGTGTGTGTGTGTGTGTGTAAATATTAATCAACGTTAGCGATTTCTAATTATACCTGTAAGAGACTTTCTACACTAGGTAGAATGAAAAATGTGCTTGTCTCTTCACGTTTCCCTACTGGGGGGAAAAGTTTCCTTTTTTAAAAATTTGAAGGAGTGCAACTACCTAAAAAAGGAACATTTTTGAGTAACTGCGCAAGGCAGTCAAAATCAGGCCGGGTTGGGGAGGGGGGAGGGGTTACTCAAAAAACTTCATACGGGGGGTGGGCTCCGCCCCGAGGTCCAACCCTTTACCTTGGAATATACCTTTTTTGAAAGAAAAGGTACCCCTTTCGTATATCTTCTATCGACAAATGGTACCCCTTTCACATACCTAGTTCAGAATTTGGAATCCCTTTCAACTGTTTTAAATGTACAGTCTTAAAAATTTTGATAAATTATGCACCAGAACCGGTTTTCTAGACTTTCTCAGCCATGAAATACATCTGTTAGCCCTCTTGAGCCTTTTAATCAGACCAAACGACAGATTTCCCAAACCCTTTCATACACTTCAGCTAGAGATATCCCAGCGACCCTTTCAATACCAGAAGCCTTTTCGGGAGGAGCATCGCCGTATAGGCCGTTATAAGGAGTACCCTTCCCTCCCCCCTGGGAGTTTGCCTGTGCCAGGATCTCAGGAGGGACATCGATTTTTCCAGACTGCTCTTATGAGTCGGCACTCGTGCGCTGTGGCTTGCCTACAATGTTGTCGCGCCGTGATGAGGCTTGCAGGCGTTTTATATCTAACATCAAGGAGTCCGGGTTCCTTTCACACCTGCTGCCGCAGCCCACGAATGTCGCTCATGGGTACGGGTTGAGGTCGGGTTTTCCCCGTTCTGAATTCCGCCTTGTCAGAACGGACCGCCTTAGTAATTTTGTTACCCATAGTTACAATAGGATTTAATTGTTTTTGCCCTCTTGCCTGTGTAATTATGTGTTCTGCGTATTCTTGACCTCCCTTGTAATTTAGTGTTATACACCACCAAAGGGTTTAATAAACTGATTATTATTATTATTATTATCACGAGATAAGGAGTCTCCTCTCTCCCCAATCCCCACCCCCACCGGTTTTTCGTATCAGTGTTAGAGATTTCTGCAAAATTTTGGCGGGAAATCTAGTAAGCAGCTTACTGTACAAAACCTTTAGTTAGCCACGACTGAGTCGGCCGGGTTTTTACGTTTCAAATTTACTTGCACATGGTTTTGACGTTCGCAATAATATTTCGGTCTCGAGGCTGCAGACCGACTGCGGTTTGAAAGACTGGCAACCAAATAAAAAATTAATTGAAAAATCTGTAGTGGCAGGATAAACCGCAAAATTTGCAAATGAAATTTTGCTTAGTGTTGATGGGTATCAGTTTGCAGAGTAACGTGAAGCGCCTAAAGTAAACAGCCGCGCGTTTCAAAGACACGCCTAGCTAATTTTCCTGTTGCGCCGTGCAAAATACAATTAAAGTAAGTGACCAATAAAAACACAGGAAAGATCATTAAAACTGTATGCACCTTCCAAACTGTTCATATTCCTGAAACGAATCTGACGATAATTCAGCGAGCACAGGGCTTTCACGAAGAGTGATCAGGTTTAGAAAAGGTAAGATGTTGAGACCTGTTTAAAGCTTAGTTATACAGAGCATTTTAAAATGAAAAAGCTACACTATACCACAACAGCTTCCTTCAGTCTACAACGCAACTCTATTTATCGGTTTTTGCCCGCCAGTTATTTCTTCCGTACGGACTGACTCAGTCCGGACTTCAAACGTACTCTTCATTTCCATGGTTTAGGATATTAGTGAGATTTCTTTTCATATGTATACCGCAGAATCTCAAGAGAGCAGGCACTCGTTCTTTGAGTAAGTCTTACAACAAACCTGGGTATTTGTACAACTAGAAAAGAAGAAAATATAACGGAACATAGACTAAATTAACAGCTAGAGAATTGAATTTTTAACTACTAAGAAAGAGATTGAAAAAGAAAACGAAAAAAACACAAGCACACACAACGAAACAATGTGAATAGGCGTTTTACCATAACTATGCGATATTTTAATGTTCGGTTGACGTTTCGAAAGATCTTCTTCTCTTTTTCTTTCTTTTTCTTCGGGATTCATCGAGAGTTAAAAAATACATTTTATTCAAAAGGCAAACAAAATTCATGCTGAGTGACTGACATTGGAAAGTATAAATAAATCAGAGGAGGGAAATATCAAAATATCAATTTATTTTTAACGTGTATTAACTTCAGTTCTTTCTTCAGCACATTTTCAGCGTAGATTTTACCTTTTTATCCAGCGACGAGATGTTTAGAAAAAAGCTGATGACCACGTGTATTTTGTATTATCATTCCTGTGGATTAGTAATGCGGAATAGCTGGAATCATAGCCTCTGTGATTCGGATACAATAGCCCTTGTAGATGATATCGTTTCTTAACTCTTTAAGTTTAATGGCAATATAGTCTTATAACGAACATAGGCGGCGAAGTAGACCTTTTTTTTATCATTAGGGATTTTAAGATCCAACGACGCGACGACGACGAGAACGTCCATTAAAAAGTGAATTTGCGTTCTTTCTACCCTGGTCCCAGAGGTTTTTCTTGATTTTTCTTCGCGAAAGAGATCAAGAGCAAACCGCGAAGCGGCGACAACGAGTCGCGAAAGCGACGAGGAGAGAGAGAAAAACCTCTGGTTACCTTGGCCTCGAATCTCACTTTCATGCAGACGACAGCTGTCAAACGCGTCAAATTGCTAATAAAAAGAGTGACCAATGGCAACTTAGCAAACACGTGCTTATCAGCCGCTATTTTTTTAAGTGGGGGTAGACCTGGGGAAATTATGTTATGAACAAACCATCTTCACTTGGGTGGTAAAGAGTGATTTGTTAATCGGGGTCAAGCTAAAGCATGTGTTAACGATGGGCGACAAGAGTCCAGGAATAAGAAGACCACTTTATAAAGAAACCGACATTGTTCCAAACGAATGCTGCAGGATTTGCAGAATTTATTTGGGTATAATAACAAGGATTTTTCACAAACATTGTCATCTGTTCTGTCAGCAGTGTGCCAGGGGGAAGTTGTAAAGTTTGCAAGAGTCTATCAATCGCGCTTATTACATTGTTTACTTCTGCGGGGCGCGCCGCTCGCGTCGATTCGCGGGCATTCCCCTGAAATAGTAATATTAATATGTATTCTGGCAATCTGGCTCGCATTTTGGTTTGGTGGCTCCATTTCCTTTTTTTGTGGAACAACGACGCTAGGAAGAGTCATGCAGCACAACAAACCCTTAAGGTTCGGAATGTACTTTCAGAGGTTTTTGTTGGCCCAATAGACCTATTCGGCTAACTCAATGTACCGAATTCAAACCCTTTGAGAATAAAACGTTTTGTTTCAGGAATTTCCATATCATTTAAATGTGAATGCCACATTATAATGCAAATGCAATACACAAAGAATCTTATCCCCGGGAGATTTGGATTGGGTCAGAACATTGAGTTAGCCGAATAGGTCTATGCCAAAAATAGCGTCGGTTAGATCTTTTTTGGGCGTCGCAGGAAAATCAAGCTGCACCCGAAAATGATTATGTACTTGTACAAAGTTGTATGTTTTTTTTCCTCCAAGGAAACTTTCATTCCGTATTCGGAGATTTTTTATTTTACTGCCCTAAACAAGTTAGTTTATTTAATGGAATGACAGTATTGTAACAGAAAATATACTTTCCATGTCCGGTTGATAAAATGGTGAACACATCCTTTCGACTCAACGAAGCGAACAAAGCTTTCTTTTGTTGCTCAGTGAGATTCAGGAAAGCGCTCATTAAGTACCGAGGTCAAAATTTCTTCGAATATTCTTTCAGGAACAACATCCATGGCGTGCCTCTACGTGCCTTGGTCCCGTGCAAATGTTATTGCGAGTGCAGCATACAAACAATTTTCTTCCCTAGTAGAGAGAGGCAAAATGAGGTGTGAAAATCCTCAGCGTCCCCTCGGTAGTTACAATTAAACGAACCAATCAAATTGGTTTGCGCGTTTGAAAAACTATCAACCAATCAACGCCCGAGGGTCAGATCCTGACCCTGTCGTCAGCATGGAAGTGAGATTCGAGGCCAAGGTAACCAGAGGTTTTTCTCTCTCTCCTCGTCGCTTACGCGACTCGTTGTCGCTGCTTCGCGGCTTGCTGTTGATCTCTTTCGCGAAGAAAAATCAAGAAAAACCTCTGGGACCAGGGTACGTTCTTTCAGTCTTTATAGCGATTATTCCTACCCACTTACTTTGTCAAATGTAGGCGAACCCTCCTGAAGCTGAATTTCAAGTGACCATATCCAAGCTCAGAAAGACAAATTAAATTTGTCGTTGCTTGTTTGCGCCCTCATTAAAACGCGAAATTAGGCATTTTCAGGTCGAAGTCGTGCAAAAACAGGAAAGAAATGTACAAAAAAGCGTGATGCACGTGCAAAGTTGTTGTTTTGCTTATTAAACCTTTTGTTTTTCGACGTTCTCGTTGCCGTCCGCGCCGGTTGGTCTTAAAGTCCCTATTACCTTGCACGTAACACGCTCACCCTCACAATCCTTTATCTTGGCAGTCTCATAGTCGTTGGATAGATTCTCAGAAATGAGGCGCCTTGTTGGGTGGTATTTCGCCGCGCTATGGGTTTCCTGGCTGAGCTGTTCAAGTACCTCCGAGTTGGACCCTACCCAACAACACCAAGCAACTGTCGCCATGGAGACAGCCCAACAGGCAATTGAGATAGCACACGAGGAAATGAAAACATCAATTGAACTCATCAAAGACCTCAGAGAGAGATCCAAGGAGGCAACAGCAGCAGAACTACTGACGAAGCAGACTAAACTCTCCAAGTACGCTTCCATGGTTGGTAAGGCTCTCCGTGCTGTACAAGCTGCGGCAACAATTGCTAATTTTGCGTTCACGTTTTTCATGCCAAGTGACCTGGATGTCATTACAAGCTTAATAAATGAACGCTTTAAAGAGGTAAATGCCAAACTCGATCGCCTTGGTGAGAAACTCGATGAAATGGAGACATCAATCAAGGCAAACAGCGCATTTAATAACTTTCTGTCTACATGGATTACTTGGGAGAATGCGATCAAGAATGGGAGAAAGAAACTGAAGGATATTCGCAGAGCTATGGGCACTAAAACCAGAAGAATAGAACAAGTAAAACTTGCTGAAGAATTCGTGAATTATTACGAAAATAACAATTTAGATGGGAACGTCCTTAACATGTACAGATTCGCGGCTCTTCCAGAAGGCATAACCGGCCATAACCTCTTTGATTTGTTCATTGATGAATACGGCTGCGACATCACAAACTTGTCGGAGCTAACTATATTTGGTTGGGTTGTTGGGGAATCTGCAGGTTGACAAATTGCCCCGGGTATAACCAAGATTTGAGTTCATCCGTATGGAATAGTTGTAATGACAATCTTTTCAGGGTCTATTTGATTGACCACCAGAATGAGAAGCCGGTTAAATATGGTGATCAGATACGTCTCGAGGTTTGAATCGCCATGTAAACTGTTGGGGCAGTGGTAACGGATGTGAAGTAAGGGACACCTGCAGCGGCAACAGCTGGTGGGACCACAACATGAACTGTCGCGGAGCCGTCTTCTGGATATATTCAACGGATAGCAGTCGCCATGGCCGCCATTGTTCATCCAACACTCAAACCAACTGTCGCGGAAAACCCTTACAGCAAGGAGACGAAGTCTATCTGCGGTACTCGATTAACGGCAACGTTGCGTGGTGGCTAAGTCATTACGGCGATGGAATCACTACTCAAACCTGTCCTGGTCTTGAAATCACGACGCACGAAAGTGATGGCTGCAGCTCAGAAAGCTGGACCATTTTTCATAAATAGTAAGATGGGAAAGGTGATATAAAATAAACTACCGGATGTGACTTTCTTTTTGACAAAATCAAAATTAGTAATCATTAGATTCAAATGTTTACTCTCTTCTAAGATCACGTGTTCGACACGTGTTCATGTGATTTCCAACTGATTACGTATTTACCACTGAGAAAGGATTCGACAACTATTGTAAAGCGTAACACATCTCTAGGCCTGAATAAATCACTGTGAGCAACATGAGTGTCAAGTTGACTGCGATACCCTGAGACCCCCTGCTAGAAATTCCAGGGGCTCGTTCATCGAAAGTCCCGATAATTAACGGGCCGAAGAGCTGTTGTTGTTTTTATTCAGGATCTAGGTATAGTAAAGTGTAGTTTTGAGATGACATAATAAAGCTGTTACTTGACAAACCAAAATGGACAGCTTTGCTAGCTAGGAACCAAGCAATTGTGTTTTAGATTTTGATTTAAATATGAAATTTGTATCTGTTCGGTCATCCTAGGGCAACAGTTGAGTCTTTTCAAAATTACAAGGGCTTCAGTGTTATTTTCTCGAAAATTTTAGATGCAATTTAAATTTTTTCGAAAGGTATAATTTTTCTGATTTCGCGCATCCGAAAAATTTAGGTCTCCTTTTTCAAAGAAAAATAGCTTAAAGCGAAAAATTAAACGTCAGAAGATCGTAGGGAATTTATTAGATACGCTTCGAAAAATGTACATGAATGGAACGGTTATCTAGAAATTCTTAGCCGTACTCAAGCTATAGAAAATTCAAGGCAATTTTTGCTTCTCCGAACGTATATTCTACAGTCTACAGAAAAAAGTCGTTGGGTGCCCCCGTTACAAGTGTAATTTACGAGTACGGCTATCGCTTTTACAGCCTGAAAACAATAATGTAAATAACACTTGTCAAAGTTTTAAATGAAATAACCTTAGTATTAAACCTAAGAAAGGATTTCACCTACAACGTACACACACCCCCAGTGGGGGAGGGGTACTCCCTATCATGGCCTATACGGGGACTGGCTCCGCCCAAAAGGGGTACGTTTTTCAGACTTCAGGTATGTGAAAGGGAAGAGTTTTCACAAGTTGAAGTGTATGAAAGGGTACGAAAATTTGTAATATGTCGGTCTGTAAAAAGGCCCAAAAGGGCTTACAGACGTATTTCTCGGCTTTGAAAAAGTCGAGAAAACCTTCTTGTTTTCTGATTTGTTCATAAGAGACAGTGTACTTACAGCAGTTAAAGGGGATGCAAAGTTCTACAGTAAGTATACGAAAGGGGTACCATTTGTCAATTACAAGGTATACGAAAGGGGTACCTTTTCTTTCAATTTAGTGACTCAAACTCGGGTAAGGGGTTAGACTTTGGGGCAGAACTGCCCCATAAGAATACCTTGAGTATGTTGAGTACATCCCGCTCCCTCGCAGGATATACACCAGTCATTCACGTTTGAGACACTTTGGATGACCCCATTAAAAAAAGAAACACATTAAGCTACAAATCCTAGCGTAGATGATGATACTGACATAAAAAATACACTAATTAAAAATACTTGCACATGGCAACTATAGATTCCACAGCACCAAATAACACATCCCAAAGAACATGGAAATAAAGCACAATTTGTTTTTCTCTTTCTTGCAAGCAAGATTTTCCGAGAAACATCAAAGAAACTGTCAATGTTAATTCATTGACAACAATTTCCCATGGTTTATACCCTTATCCAGCATAGAAATGACATCAAAATGATCAAAACTTTGTTTGTGGTTTCAATTGAACATCATTTTGACATCATTCCTATGGCAGGTAAGAGTACCAAACATGGAAAATTATTCTTGATTTGTTTAATTCCTTCAGGTTACACAATACCAATGCCAAAATCACACCGACTAAAACACAAATCAGTAACATGCTTCCATTTCTGTTTCTTTGGATCATACAATTCAACACCTGTTAGTGTCACAGGAGGGGAGTACTCTTCACTTGCCGTCCGCCCACCAAACACATACAAAAGTCCACTGCTGACTGCTAATGACAAACCTGCTCTTGGTTTTTCCATGGGAATCACCTCTGTCCACTGGTTTCTTTGAAGGTCAAACTGTTCCACACTGGATAGGGTTCCTTCCAGTTCATTACAGCCGCCTGTTAGTAATAAATTATTATTGAAAAATGTAAATTTAACCATTTGGCTTCTATTAGCATTCAAGGTCAAAATAAAAACCAGAATAGAGCTACTTTAAATTTTTGGCTTATTCGTAAATGTAAAAATACTCAAAAACAAGTACCATGCCAACCTTGTTCCCAGGTTCTCTCTCCTACCTTTCTCTCTCGCTCTGTAGGAATGGTTAGGAGAGATCCCTGGGAAGGAGGCTGATAGCATGCATTAATGTACTCAGTGACCATGTCATTATTCTTTTGGAGCTCTCCTGCATACACAGTGTAAGCAATGGAGCACCATGTCTTAGAACAATTGGTTATCTATGCATCCAAGAAATTGTATCTGCCCCTTCATGTTAACGGATGTGAAATGTCTTACTTGCTAAGCTTAAAAGTCTCAGGCATATACAAAATGTATTTAAAATGTTAAAACTTGATATTCAATAACCAAGTTGTGACCAATTTCAAAATAGGGTATCTGCTGACCATATGGCTCAGGTGTACAGTGTACAACTCATTGAGGTGACATGTTTTTTCATAGTTTTCTGCTTACCAGCAAACTTTACTTCAGAAATACATTTTTACAAGTTCCCACTTGGCTTTTGGCCTTAGCTATTCTTGTAGCCGCTGACCTTTTGGACAGTACACTGGATCAAGAGCTCTGGATAGGACCAGGACAGCATGCAACTGTAACAGCTTCAAATTTTTGTTAACAAGGCTAAAAGTGATTGTTTAAAATTTCTGAGAGGCTGAACAAAAAGCTGAAAGTATGTGTTTTACAGACTTCCTGCTTCAGGCCCTAGCAAGAGCTCTAGATCTGTGGCACCGGCCAAAAGGATCACAGCCTACTCCAGTGAAGTCTCAATCTTTTCCTCACCTACAGCATACAGGCTGCCTTCCAAGGCTGTCAGTCCAAGGTATGCTCTCCTGTGATGCATGTCGGGTAGTCTCATCCAAGTTTCACTGACAGGGTTGTAACACTCGCTCACTTTGAGTTCATCCCCTAATTCACTCAACCCTCCTGTGATTTAAGAACAAAAAGCAGCAGCTAAAAATAACTTCCGCATTGAATATTTATCATACATATTAAACCTGTAGTCGACAAAGTGTCATGTCAAAACAGGCCAAGCAACATGTTGAGCATTATTAATACATTAGTGAAAACGAAGATACTGTAGGTTTTAAAATTTCTAGGCAGAGATCACCAGAGAGCATAAAATCATAAAAGCAGCAGCTTGTTGAATGATGGCAGTCAATTTGTTACACTGTACATGTGTTGAATGAGCTTTCTACTCATTTATAATGCTCAACATTTTGTTGAGCAATAGCCTACAGTACAGTGCTTTTAGTGAGCTAGCTCTCTGTTTTTTTTGTAATTTACTTAAAGGAGCTGTGTCATGCAGTTTACATCAAACACCACGGACTAGCCTCATTATGGAAAGAAATAAGAAAATAATCATGTGCAACAGTTAAATATACAAAATATAAAGGGTGGACAAAATCGAAGAAGACCATAATGGAGTACTGTAGTTTGTTTCTTCTTTTTTTTTTATAGCTGCTCAGTCTAACAGTTTTTTTAAAGTTTATCTCTGATGCTTGCAACTTTGATGTTAACACTAGTATTGGAGAAAGATAATCCCAAAGCAATTTTTTTACCAAGAAGAGTAAGTTTCATATTGAACAACATCTCTTTTAGTATAAGAGGAAGAGTAAGGAGATTTATATTAATGCACTTTAAAGGATTACCCTTTCAAGCTCCCTTTGTGAAACTCACCACATAACAAGAATGAAATTTTAAGGGTTCATGTTCCCTCACAAATGCCTGCACTGTAAGCTAATTGAGCAATAAGGTTAAAAAAGGTTGAACCCTGTGTTATGATGGATCTCACTGTCACGTAATTTTCAAGTGCAAATTCAAGTAAATTTTATGGGTGTAAAAAAATAATAGATAGGTGTAAAAAAATAGTAAAATAGTAGCCTGAGTATCAGGCCTTCCTATGGGGGAGGGGGGAGGGGGAGAAGAGAAAGGAAGGCCTGACACAAAACCATTCAGCAAATCGTGTGACACATCCAAAATCTGGATGTGGCAGTGATTGGATAACACACAATACCCCCTTGACGTCACCGACCGCAAGAGCGATCGGCAAGGAGACGGTCATTGAAATTTTTCGTAGATGTTTTGATTTCATGTTACCGGTATGTGATACTTTCACAGACAGAGACGCAGAGAGGAATTCAAAAAGGCTCTAAAACCCGAGCAAGAATTGTGTTTTCAAGGCCTCGTAGTTTAAAGGAAAGATGTACTCGGAGTATGGAAAAGCCTCATATGGTTTCACAAGACCGGGACAAAGAAGACGATATCAGTGTTTCAGATATTTAAGTTCAGATTTACAACATCCTGCCGTTAAAAGGGTATTGTTACTGTAAATGAAAATAGAGCGAGGTCTAGCCGTGTATTGAGATAACCGACAGCACAAATGCTTTTAAAAAGCTTGACTTTGCTCGTTGCGGTTACGATAGCGTACGTGATTGGAATTCGTTCGCTTCCTCTTCCAAAATTTTCTCGCTTTTTAAATGTCTTAAGCTCAAGCGGGCGCCATCATACTTCGCCAACGGGATTGACCTTTGCTATAGGATCTCACTTCTTTTTGAACTTGTAACAGCTTTCACGAGCTCTCTGTGAAGTGGTGGAATTTGCTGCTGCTTGATAATTTCTAAGCATAGGTGTTTCATCATTGCACCTTCCTATTTATTCTTGCAGCTCCTTTCAACCACCCGAGAAAGGGATAACATCAGCTTTTTAGCTGCCAGACAAGCGTCTGATTTAACTCTGTAAACAAAAGCAATTTACTATTTTCCGGGCACACGTTTATTTACAAACAGAGCGTTGGCGATCTTACACTAGCACAATTCCTAAAACATGTTATAGTTCCTCATAAATGGCAGGTTTTACAGTACAAGTATTCGAAAACTCCTCATTGGAGGTTTCAGAAAAAAGCGAAATCGTAGCAACACAAGCACCGAGCTCGGCCAGACCAAAGGCCAGACCGTAAAGTGAGATTTATTTTAGGCGAGCTTTTTGACACGTGAAGCTGACAACCCAATCACCGGAAGTGATTTTGATTGGATGGTATCGAATCATGCTGTGTGGGGGTGGAAGGCTCCAGTAAAAGCATCTGTGTCAGGCGTTTCTCTCCTTCGCCTCTCTCCCTTTTTCGCTTCCATCTTTCCCCTTTTCCCCAGAAACGCCTGATACTCAGGCTAGTAAAATAGAAGCAGTGTATGAAAGGCCGTGCATAAACAAAAAAGTTGAACAAGGTTCAACTTCAATGTTTATGTGTGACCTTCCGTAGATTGCCTCTTTCTTATTACGCATGCGCACGTGAAAATTAAGCGACAGAGGAAATCCACTCTTATTCATAGAAAAGGTGACCTACCTACTGTATATATCAGTCCATTCATTTCTGTAACTCCCAGATGAAACCTCTTTGTTTCTACTTTTCCAACTACTTCCCAATGATCAAGATCTGGATCATACCTTTCAATATCCTCTGCAATCTCAGCCCCAACCCAGCCACCAATCACAAACAAGAAGTCTTCAACAACACATACTCCACACGCCACACGCGGAGCTGTCAAAGGAGCAACAAGTGACCAAGATCTAGAAGCAGGGTCATAGCATTCCACAGTATCATAAATAAGAGAGTCATTCTCTCCACCAATGGCATAAATTAACCCCCCAGCAGAAGCTACTGCATGCCCACTGCGAGCAAAGCTCATCTGTGGTGTTGAAAAACTGTCACAGGTTTGTGAAAAGGAATCAAACTTCTCAACAGTCGAAAGCGATGACGTGTCACTCCACCTTCCACCTACTCGACGACTGTACCCTCCTATGATATAAAAACACTTTCTTGAAGCATGCCTTGGTTGTGTATGTGCTTTCTGTAGCCCATGTCCTAAAGCTTGGTAACTTCTATATCCATCAAGAATTCCCGTTAACATCCTCTGAATACTTGCACTTTCACAGATGAGAAGGTACTTTTCAAGGAATTTTGGAGAGATAAGCGGGAGTCTTATGCGTTCAAGGATTTGCCCTAGTGACTCACGCCCTCGAGAAATGTCATGTAACACCCAACGCATAGCAGCCTCAAAGACTTGTTCCTCAGATTCAATTTTAAGTTCTTCTGATTCTAGAATTTGAAATAATGCTTTTTTGGTGAGTTGCACAAACTCCTCCTGTTTTGAAACTTCGACAAAGTTTCTGTGAATAAAGCCCAGCGCCGATTTGGACAACGAAGTACACGAATGGGTGTCGGAAAACATGTAAATGCCCACACAATTTGAAGGATCTAGTTCACGTTTCAAGAAGTCACAACACATAACCTCAATATCGTCTACTTGAAGCATCTTCGATGCGGGTAAAAGCTGTTGAACATTACCTTCGTTCACAACTACTTTTCCGGTGTAGATAAAATCGAGAACAGTGCTGAAAACGTCCGCATTTATGCCGTGAATTTCTACATGATCCAAATGGCTTTCTGCCAGACCACTTGTAAACATGACTTGAAAATATGGACTGGCGGCTGACAGTATGATTCGGTGAACTGGAAATTCCTTTCCTCCAACCTTTAGAGTCGCATCACACATTAAACCTCGCTTTTTCAACAAATTTAGCTTATTCAGTAACTTGAAAGAGTGTTCCTTAGCGAAAGATTGCTTATCAATTTTCCGTACTGCTCGATCCTCCATCTTTGTTGTGGTCAGCGGTAAAGTTTACGGGCTCAAAAAATTACTCCCGATTGGGAGAAGGGGCGGGAGGACGATGACGTGACAAAAAAAAGCGGTTTTAATGTCTCCCAGTACAGTAAGCCATTCAGTAAACCTGAACAGTACTAAGGAAAGTGAGAAAACTGCTGACATCTGAGGAATGAGTGCAGAAATTCTAAACTGACGTCACTACCCAGATAATTATGTATATCCTGACTAATGATCTTGCCATGGCATGAAATTGCTTTAACCAATCAGAAGCACTACTCAGGGTAGTGACACATCATCAGCATAATATTTCTGCACTCGTTCCTCAGATGCCATGCCAGAGGAAATTAATGGTGGCAGCATCGCAAAATGTTCTCTGTTTTCTCAGGCTAGTAGTAGCCTGTGTACAGACACCCTCTCCCCTCAGAAAAATCATCTCCCGATATTTTCTGAGAGGAGGGGGCATCCGAATACAGGCTAGCTAGTAGTCCATCAGTGCAGATGATGGACTTGGGGTCAGTGTTTTGTCCACTTACTTCAACCGTCATATCGAATTATTTAAGCTTTCAGTTAAGAAAAGACTGAAATTGTTTTTAACTTGATAAACCCAAGAAATTGGTGAAGTGAAGTGGCTGTATAGCAGGTTACACTGAATATCTTTTTATGAATCCAATAAGCCAAAAAACAGAAACTGTGCCAAATACTGTTGACCAAACTTATTTTTATTTCTATCTTTGGATACATAAACTCTTTATCATATAACAAAAATTCAAAAGCGAGAATTCTAATTATCTACAACAGGCAGGGACAAAACTTGAGCACGGATAAACTCATTTACATGGCTTCCATTAACAGTCAGTAGTAACCAATGAATTCTCTCACATGTAAGAGAGTTGATCTTGTTCAAGTGTTGTACTGGCTGCATTCTTGATGTATCAGTATTAGCTAGGGCTGAAATTCTTGCAAGCCAATTAAATGTTACATTAGATATGGTGACACTCCCTAGCATAGTCTCATTCTGGCACCATATATAGATACTCTACCATGGAAAAAGCGTAGCTTTGGCTGAGAAATGAAAAGCCAAAGAAAGCCAGGGGGCCTGTTCATCCAGACCACAAGATAAAAAGTGGGGCGACTCTTAAAAAAAATTTCCTTGTCCCTTAAGGCCTCAGTTTGGCCAAAATATAAGATGGGATCCTGTTCTCTTCCCTAGACCCTGCAACTACAATGAATTAGTGTCACAAAATTTATCAGTGAATCACAATAGAGTACTTCAAAGAGAGAGGAGAAAGAGAAGTAGGAAGAGGTATGTCTCTTCTAATTCTCACATCCTCTTAGCTTGTCCTTAGACTGATATTCAAAGTTCCCCATTTTTCTGTCTGTTTGGCAGGGGTAATCCACACTAGGTTTGGGAGGCTGCTACATTGATCTCTTATGGTGGGAGAAAACTGAGAAAAAGAAAAATTTCCCATGGGGTTCAGGGATGGGCGAGTGCACTTGCAAATCCCCTACGACACCCCTACAGTATTTGGCAATCAATCCCAACCATCAAACAGGAAATTGGATTGTGTAAAAAGTCTGATTTATTCTGTCCTCGGAGACCCAAGGGCAGATAGTGGGGGCGAGGGAAAGTCTAAAAGAGCAGAAAAATATGGCATGAAGAAGAGTAAAGAACGGCGAGAGGAGCCCCTGGGGACAATGTCTTACCAGACCAGTTCCAAACGGTCGCCGCCGTTCTGGCTTCTGATTGGTGCCAGAAAACTTTTGTGTTTTTCTGCCCAATCAAAAGGCAGAACGGCGGCAACCATTTGGAACTGGTCTGGTAAGACATTGTCCCCAGGGGCTCTTCTCGCCGTTCTTTACTTTTCTTCGTGCCACATTTCTCTGCCCGTTTAGACTTTCCCTCGCCCCCACTATCTACCCCTGGGTCTCCGAGGATGGATTTATTCGCTCTGCTTTTTCAACCAGCAAGGATGTCTAATATAGTAGACAGACCAGTGCTCTGCTCCATTGGGGCCTTGTCAGTGCACTAAGCCTGTGAAATCAAGGAAGCCTGGGAAATGATTTTTATGGGAAAAAACTATGATTTCCTAGTCTCCTTCACAGGCAAAAGTAAGGTGCCAGGAGCTACTGGGCACTGCTAGTGTTCAGACCCGCATAGTTAAAGTACAGCCCTTTGGTAAAATGTCTAATATTATAACTAATTCTACAGTTCAGTAATGGCTTCTTTACTGTGTTGCCATCAATATTGAAGATCTAATGATAAGATGGTGCCATACTTTGTTTACAATAGTAAATTAATAATATTTTCAACTGACGGTCACATATCATCATCCTTGACTTTGAACATTATTGGTAGTGACCTCAGGTTTCAGCGCCAGAATAATGTCTTTGGCACTAGGTCGATCTGCTGGATTTTCTGATGTACAACAACAAAACAACTGAATAACAGGACTCATGATGCAATCTGCAGCCTGGAATTTAGCAGGAAGAGGTGGCCTTGTTCCCAACGCTGCCAAGTACTCCTCTGTGTCACAAGAACCATCATCTTCATCATCTGTGCTTAGCCCTGTGTCACCTTCTTCATCACTTTCTGTGAGAGAGACAAAATTTATACCTCAGCAGTGCACTTGTGGACTGTTTTGAAAGTATAAAAAGCAGGGTTCTCTAAAAGCTCCGGCAACTGGCAAAAATCACTGTCTAGTTGTCACAGAAGTGCTGAATACTAACAGTGAGTCTTTTTGAGAGGGATGTTATATCAATCATATTTGTTTCTAACAGGGAAGACATTTAAACAACATTTTAAAAAATTATAGCATAATAACGAGAAAAGTAAATAAAGGTCAGTGCTACCATTATGGATGGCCACTTGTGATGCACTTTTCAGGGCCCGAAATTTTTTTTTTTTTAATGAGGACCCCAGACCCCCAATTTTCACATGAGAGAACCCCCAACGACAGGGACAGCCCCCACCCCACCCCCCCATACCTACCTCTCAATTAGAAGCCTCTCAATCTAATCTATATATTACCCCCAACATAAGTTTTCTGGAGAGTCTTTTAATTATTAAAAAAAAGCATGACAAAAGTTCATAAAATTCACTTATTCAGTACCTGCCAATAAGTCCACGTGAGGAACATTTAAAGCAAGCATCTCCCAGATCAAAAGACCATAAGCAAAAATATCAGCTTTGTCAGTGATGATCCCTCCTTTGAGAGCTTCTTTACATTTCCATGGCTCTGTACCAATATATCTATCACAGGGGTTTTTCAAACCACTCAAATCATCCTTAAGCCTTAGTGCGACTCCAAAATCACAAAGTTTTACTGCTTCGAAGTTTCCACGGATCAAAACATTTCCACTTTTAATATCACCATGCAAGATCTTTTTGTCGTTATGCAGATAACTCAGGGCGTTGGCAATAGCCCAGGAGACTTTCAGGATCTCTTCGTAGGTGAAATCTTCTTCTAAAAATGCTTTTTCCTCAATGATATCTTCCAGCGCTTTCTCACAGTCTTCCATCGCAAGACAAAGCTCTCCATCTATGCTCCCAGAAATGGCACGAAATCCCACGATATTAGGATGGCTCAGTTGTTTCAAAATGCTCGCTTCTAGCGCCAGTCGCTCACTAATTCCGGATCTCGCTTTCTTGTTGACCTTTTTGACGGCCCAAGGGGATCGCATACTGCTTTCGTTAGAGTCTCGGTTGAGTCTGTAAACCGAAACTCCCGTTCCACAGCCAAGACGTGTCATGAACGGAGATGGAGGAATCACGAAAGGAGAGGCCTTGTATGGCGATATTTCGCTTTCCACGAGTAATCGGCTCGCACTTCTTTGACCTGCTGGCGTAGAGAAGTTACTCATGATGTTCAAAAATGTTCAAAATACAGCTTCTATGAAGAAGATCCGTTGACTCCGTGGAAATTTCAAAGTTGCCCGCGTTGTTTATGTCATACCCAAACTCCACTCATCCTCATGACTAACATGCATTGCGGGCTTCCATCAGAGCGTCGCTGTCGTTTGCTCGACTTGCAGATATACAACTGTTTTTGAGTTTTACTCTGACTCGAGATCTGAATCAGAAAATGTATCAACGAGGTTACAATCAAGGCTATGATCAATACGGATCGTATAATCAGTATGAAAGCCAACATTCTGGTTTCGATTCAAGATCTTCTGGGCCATCATATGGTTCCGCAGTTCCTTATGAATCTTCACGACCAGCTGCTCCGAGAATCGTGTTTGATGATTACAACAGTGATCTTAACTTTGTTATTGAAGCAGATGGCGTCACAGGATCTAGTTTACACAAAGATGGATTTGAATATATGTGGGGTGGAGCAAGGGCGACACATGGAGTTAGATCTGGCAAGGTATGAACACATCTAAATGCATGTAAACATCATGGATGCCACATTTAGTAAGATTTATTGATTGGATGAGGCCGACTAGGATGTGGAGAATTATACAGATCAAGGAGCATGTTATCCACCGAGGCGGAAGGCGGAGGTGGATAACATCCTCCGAGATCTGCTTAATTCTTCTGATCATACGAAAGCCGAATTCAAAATTTTTTATTATTATTCACTTCACCCTTTGTTATTCTTCACTAATAAAATGAATGATAAATTATATTATGTTGATCAATCATGACTGTAAAACCTGAGTGCCAAAGCAAGAAAGGGAAAACTTTTCCGCTTCTTGTATGGATGCTTGTGTTTGCATTTGCAATCGCGTGTGTTAACCAGCACTAACCATTCTCAGGGAGATCAAGAAACAACCTTGGACCCCCCCCCTTCAAAATAAAATGATGATAGGACTTTCTCAAAGCTGTGGAGCTGTCTTTTCAGATGATCCTATACACAGGAGGAAAGTATTTTGAGCCAAAAGCACATTTACAAAGGAGGCTATCAACTCTGCCAACATTAAAGTATTGTTATCAATTAACAGGGATGTAGCTAAAGATTTAAAGCTAGTCAGGCTTTTTTAATAGTCATGCCGGCTATTTTACTCAACTGCACGATCAAAATTACCCCATGTCTTCTTGAGCTGGTGGTAAGCTCTTTTTCAGTCGGTGAAATTAGCTGCCCACCGGCTCGCAGTAACATCCCTGAACAAATATAGTGAAATGTATGGCATTCCTCTCTTTAGCTACACAATTTATTGTTCGCTTTTTAACTCCTGCCCCCACAGCAAGCATCTTGAATTATTGATTGAGAATTCTGCTTAAAGTTTATTCATCCTTGTATCATTTGCAGGTTTGTTTTGAAGTAAGTATCCTTGAAAAACTACCCGTTACCATGCCCGAAACAGAGACAAACCCCCATGTCGTAAGAGTCGGCTGGTCAGTGGACGAGGCTAATTTACAGGTGGGTATGATTGCTTAACCCTTTAAGCCGCAAGAGTGATCAACCTCAAATTTCTCCTTATAATATCAATGCTTTGTAAAACAGAGTGGTCATGCGAATTACGGACATGATCACACAAGATGAATTTGCTTGATATTTTATCAACTTCTCCCCACTACTTCTGTAGGAAATGAATAGGGACAACAAATGAGAATTCATATTTTGATCTTAGGGTTTAAAGGGTTAAAGGTACTTTTACTACCCTGTGCTCTTTCAGCTCAGATTGTTCTTTCATATGGGATCATTACTTACTCTACGTGGAGACGTGTGCTGTTAACACCTGGAACTCTGGATCTGGAGGTCCAGGGTTCAACCCTCGCCCGTCGCCTTGTTTCCTTAGTCAAGAAAATTCATTCCCCTTTGTCTCTCTCGACCCAGGTATATAAATGGGTACCAGTGACATACTGCGGGGAGGAACAAGGGGAGGCGGTAACCCTTCAATGGACTAGCATCCCATCCAGGGAGGAGTGGTAACACTTCTATCCCGGTTTCCTTTGCATGAAGCATGCCTAAGCTCCAGCAGTTTTCCACCTTTGACTTGGTGCTTCTTCACCTTACCTTACCCACTTTTCTTACAGGTTGGAGAGGATAACTTGTCTTATGGTTATGGAGGTACTGGAAAAGTTTCTGTAAACAACAAGTTCTTTGACTACGGCGAGCCCTATACAACAGGCGACATCATATGTTGCTGTATAGACCTTGATGCTACTCCCAGGACTATACTTTTCACCAAAAATGGCAATTACCTTGGTGTTGCATTTCGCCTTGGACCTGAGTCAAATGGACAGACATTTTTCCCCCACATCACCGTTAAGAACATGCGTCTTGCAATAAACTTTGGACAGTTTCAGCCATACTTTCCACCCCTTCAGGGATTTAGCCTGCTCTCGCACATGCCACCCCAATACTTAGAAAGGGGATCAGTAAGTCCTTTGTCAAGAGGAGAATGTGAGGTTATTATGATGGTAGGATTACCAGGCTGTGGTAAAACATTTTGGGCTGAGAAATACGCCAAAGATCACCCAGAAAAGAAATTTCATATCTTGGGAACAAACACAATAATGGATAAAATGAAGGTGATGGGTTTAATGAGGAAACGCAACTACCACGGCCGCTGGGATGCGCTCATTAAACAAGCTACAGATGTCTTAAACAAAATATTTAAAATTGCCGAGAGGAAGAATCGGAACTACATTCTTGATCAAACCAATGTGTATTTCACTGCGCGGCGAAGAAAGATGAATAACTTCCATGGGTTCCGTAGAATTGCGGCTGTGATTGTAAACACGAATGATGTTCTAAAGGAACGGACGGAGAAAAGAGAAAGAGAAGAAGGAAAGGTTGTCCCAGAGTCTGCTGTTCTTGAGATGAAAGCAAACTTTGCTCTCCCTGAAGTTGGAGATACTTTTGATGATGTTTGGTATATTGAAGAGGATAAAGCCAGCTCAGAACACCTCGTGGCCCAGTTCCAACGTGAAGGGAAAGAGTTCAAAGAGAATGAGAAAAAAAGAAGACCTGATGAAGTTTCAGCGTCAAGCGGGAATACATCTTCTGACATTAAAAGACAACGCCCTGAGCAAGCAGGCCAAACAGCACCTTCATATCACAGTCATCAAGGTCAGTATTCTGGCCAAAGTGGCCGTACTGGTTTCCATGGTAACTATCAATCAAGAGATCAAAGAGGAGCATCACATGACAAGCCCTTTTATGGTAATCCACCAGATGCCCGTGCAGCCCCCATTAGACCAAGAAATGATCATGGTCCTTTTCAGCCTCCTTCAGGACAAACCAGAGAACCACATAGGGTATATAATCAAGGACCTCAGCCCAGATACAATGACTATAGCTACGGGTCCTCATATGGACCACAAGAAAACTATGATCGAAGTCACCCCCCTAGTGATAACAGATATCAATCTCATTACCAGCCACCTATGACTAGCGATAATTACCAGTATTACCAAGCATCAGGTGGTCACAGATATCAATCAAATTATCAACTGACTGAAAACAGGTATGGTCCACCTCCGTCCTCACAGTATAACCAGTATGCTGCACAGTCATACCAACAAGGACAAGACTATTACTCAGGGGGAGTAGGAAGAGGTGCGGTACTCCCTGGTGGTCAGTATGGTCAGTATGGATATGGTGGGGGATATTAGTTACCACATTTTATTAGCGTAAAACGTCAAAGAGACGTTTGTTTTACCCCGTATTGCACACGCTTGCCCAGGAAGAGACACTAGGTCATAGTTAGGACCCTCTTTTTTAAGCTTTATGCATTTTTTAAGGCCTCTTTAGGGGCTGTTGTCACAAGGATATTAAACAATTATTCCTCAAGCCTAAATGGGCTCTGAGTCAATAGACCAGGAGGCCAAAGGTCAAATGGGCTATTGACTCAGAGGCCATGAGGGCGAGAGGAGTAAATGTTTCAGTAAAATCCAACTAGTCTATCAAATAGTCAAGACAAAACAACTTTAGCTAGGAAAACGCGATTCGGCCGCCATTGTTTTGGTTTTCAAAGCTGGCACTTTTCACAACTAGTGGGCCATAACATATAGCCTAGTAGTAGCTCAACCAATCAGAACACAGCATTGATAATAGACCACTAGTTGGATTTCACTAATGATACTTAGTGCCTTTACCAATACTCAAAATACTGCAGTAGCGTTATGAAGACAATATAAAACAGGGAGCACTAACCATAATAATGTTTTGGTGATTTTTGCAGTTAAAAACCTGGGCCCGTTTCCTCGGAAGATGGTTAAGTTTAACCCAGGATTAAGCGAAATTTCAAGCACGGTGTTCTCGTCTAAGAACATGCAACTCGAGGTTACAAAATTCTGTTGAGCCTCTACTACGAGATACAGTAATGATAACACAAAATGTTACCCTAAGCAGTGTTTAGGAATGTAAAATATAAAAACGGAGAACAATTTTAATCCTGGATTAACGTTAATCTGCCTTTCAGGAAGCGGGCCCTGGCCCAACTTTTCCAGGTTTCACTCAATTTCCATCCTCGCCATCCGTTTCAACAGACGACAGGAAACAGTTTTAGTGCCTAATAGGCTTAAGTAGCAATACTGGACCATTAGTTTTGGAATTCAATTAACGCTTTTTTTAACGCTTTTTAGGTTTTTTAAAATATAGCAAATAGCGCGACATAAGCCCTTTAAATGGGGCGTTACAGACGTACGCAACATTTAACTTAAGAGGACTTAGCATTTTCATGCTTTTTGACTACCTTAGCCAACTCTGTGTTAGACAGCAACCATTGGGACTAGCCTTACGTCAAGTCCCCTTACGAGCCAAATCAAAAGGACAGAAGAACACCAGGGATCTTCAGTATAACAGCTATTCAATAGAAGACAGTTAACTGCATTATTTTTAAGTTTGAAACTGTAAATTCGCAAAGCAAAAATAGGTTATATAACAATCGCGCCACGTAACAAGCGGGCATTATTGCCAAGCATTTTACTGAAATAACACTCTTACACAGATCGAACCAGGTCTCTATCATTTTTACTAATACTGAGAGCCGTTTTTAATATCTTCTCAAGTTTACCAGGCTTTGCCTCCCATTGCTTTTTCTGTTATTTCTTTGGTTTCCTTCTTAAGTTTTAAGCTATTTTAAAATACCAGCCAAAAACTGATGATGAGTGCTAAAATTGCGTGACCCAGTCTCTTTAGTGAAAATTTATATATAGAAGATGCACACAAGTATGTTGGCGATGCAGCCCTTTTTTGGTCATAACGTTTATGACACAGCCTACCTTATTGATGTGTGTGTGATTTTACACTGCCAGAATAGCGTAGATGCGCTTTACTAGCGCTTTACAGGTACTCTTTTAAGAAACGGCCATCTGATTCTAGGGTGGAAACTTTAATAGCCTGCAAGTAAGTTTTCAACTCGTACCGGGGTGGGGTGTGTCTAGGAAAGCGATCAGTCCTTTTCCCTTCCCCATCCCCCTTGCACGCTGACCTTGTAAATAAACGTTAAGTTCTCGTTATGTACTCGCGACGTACTGAATGTATCTTGTAAAACTATCGGTTAAGAAGAAAACTATCGTCATATTAGAAACGCATGGTGAAATTAAAGGGTCTGTTGTTTTATCTATTGTGACCAGAAGTAAAACACAAGCGAAAGACACAACTTTCTTGAATTCCTTTTTCTAAGTAAACGCCTTCCCTCCGTCCCTTACCCTGAGCAAAAGAGGTTTTTGTTTTTCTTTCCTGGGCACGGTTTCTTTCACCCAAGATATTTTGAGAACGGACCTCTGGAGTTATGGGTATCCTTCTCAAGCCCAGCTCAGCAGAGATTCTCAGCACTTCTCACTGAACATATTAATTCCCAGATGAAAGAAAGTTAAAATCGGTGTTTCCCCTGCCTGTTATTTTTTATTTTTATTTTTTTCACGTGTGCTTATGCACAGCAATTCTATATTTTCGGATAAAAAGAGAACTCACTGGTATACAAATAGTCAAATATATTTGCCATGTCACGTGAGAGAAACACTTTCCATTACGTTTCTTTTACTACAGAACCAAGGAAGAAATACCCTTATCCAACCCATATATTATAGAATACCTTCTTCAGTTTTGTCCACTCCAAAGACTTTTTCATTAAAATATATTCCGCACCAAACAGTTCTCATATCGGCCTTAAAAATAACTATCTCTAGGTAAACCAACCAATAAAAAACCTCATGGTCAGTCACGTGATACAAAGGATAGTATTTTCCCGCGCTTCGCAATGTTTGCACGTTTTCCTGCACTCGACGGGGAGCATGTTCCACTACATTAAATTTACCAATTTTAAGTTCTCTTCGCATCGTATTGAAAACGAAATTCTCTCCTCTCGCCTTAAACTTGAAAGGAATCCTCCTGTTCCGTGTGTGTCTGATAGAATTCCATACCACTGTCCTTTCAAATGGAATTAATTCAGAATAAATACTATGATACAATTCGTTTTTCTCTCTCTCCCTGTCTCTTTTAAGAAACTTGCTCCATCTCTTTCAAATCTGGAGAAACCTAGTAAAAGAACAGGTATAAGAGAGAAGGTAAAAAACAAAGTTGTACGCAGTTCCTGCTGATAATTGAAGCCGTATTTACAGGAGGTAATTTTCCGTGTTAATGAGCCGAAGAGAAAAACTTTCTCTAGTATTAAAATTCAGTTGAAGATACGGTTAAAAGTTTAAGTACTTACTTCAAAAGAGCAGCCAGTGGAGATCTGTATATCTTGAATAGAAACTCCTGGCCATAACTCAGTGAGAATCAGACCGTTTTCTTTGCTAACTTCAAACACACACTACAGCAACAAGAAAGCAGGAAGTAAAATATAAATTATGCGTTAAAATTTTTAAATAGTCCTTAGTGTTGGGAGGTATGGATTGGAAGGGAATATTTCGCGTTAAATTGGGCAAGCATGGCTCTGCAACTATCAGTCATTTGAGAACCTAACCTGCAGAGCATTCGGTCTTTCAACGAAAAGGCCACAGGTACAGTATATCGATCGCGGCCGCCATCTTGAATAGTATCATCGTTCGCGCTGCAGAATACGCCTGCTCTGCAAACTATTGAGAACCGTGCCGTTAAACAGCCTACCTTTTCTGTGATAATCATATCTACACAGTTCGTTCCTGTCAAGGGTAGGGTGCAGTTTTCTAAGATCTTGTGTTTGTCTCCCTGAAAAGGATAATATTTCGCATCGTATTAAAAAAAGATTTCTCTCCTCTCGAGAAGAGATGGTGGTGGCCAACTCTAAAGCGAATGTTTCTTTGACCACTACACACATCCACTTCACCAACTTAAAGCAGAGAAATGTTTTTCGTCTACAAACCTTTGCTAAATGTTCCATCGTGACAATGACTTTGGAGTCACTAGACACCAGGTCCATTGCTCCGCCCATTCCCTTCACCATCTTACCCTGTCAATCAATCAATCAATCAATCAATCACGCCAAGCAATTACAATACTTTCTACACTTGACACCTACTCCACGGGTTCCTCCTCTCAGAAAATAACTAGCTGATTTTCGCAAACAACAAAAATGATCAAAATGTTGGACCATAGACCAGCATGATTTTCGCGTGGAAATTTGATGCCAGTGGGCTGGCTCACGTCAGCTCGGCTCCGCATCTTTCGCATTTGTTGTGGCATACGAATACTGAAACCAGCTTTCAAAAAATCAAATTACTTATTCCGTCTATAAGCTAGACTAGAAAGCAGCATTTTAAAGACCTGAAAGGTTACAAAGTAATATGGCAAAGAACATCAGTTTTACGTCTCTTGTTAATACTTACTGGAATCATCCAGTTAGCAATGTCTCCAAACTGTGACACCTGCATGGCCCCAAGAATTGTTATATCTATGTGGCCGCTAAAAAAGAATATAGAAAGAACTTATTATTTCGTGGCAGGATTAGCTCAGTCGGTGGAGCGCTTGCCTTCCGAACGGGATGGCGTAGGTTCGATTCCGGGGGCCGGGACAATACTCATGGCCTTACTCAAACGGCTAGACCCTCGCGTGGCTTGAATGACCATGCAAGTAAAATTGTAGTCCCGTCTCCAGTAGGAGAGGTAAAAATAGTGTCCTCAACTGGTACTTTCATGCTAAATACATTGGCACTCGAATAAAGCGCTTTTTCTGTTGAATACGGTAGTTTATATCTTGTTAAAGATCTAAAGCGTAGAATGGAACCCCTTGAAACCCTTCCGCATTCAAAATTTGCTTACTTCATCTACTTACCCTCTGATCATGGCAAAAGATTCGTCACTTGAAAAATATGAGCTGCCGGGTAGGACAGTCACTGTCTCTTTGCCTGAAATATATAACAAAATACAATACTGATTACTAAGTATGTACCGGATAGGTGGGATTATAGATGAAGTCGCACATCGGTCAATAATTAAACAAGGCTAATCAGTCGACGGCACCGAAGGCGAGCGAAAAAGGTGAGGACATGGGCGAGGCGGGGGGGGGCGTGGTAAAGTCTAATTGAAGCTGGTGGTGGAGCACCAACAACCACTGATTGAGGTCAAAAAGACAACAGCAGCAAAGATGCGGGCATCGCCACACTGACCGGACTACAAAGTGATTACGCCCTCCGTACGCCGCCCCGTTGGAAGCAAATAGAATCAATGCAGCGCTAGGATGCTATGAGCAGACCAGTGCAGAATTATTCCTAGCATTAAAAAGAATGACACTTTTTATTAATACAAAGTGGAATCCTCTTAATGCGGTTTGGGCCATTAGGCTCTGGTCGTAATAGGTATCAACGAGGTTTTCGAAGAAGAAAATGATTTAAACGTTGTACATTTAGGCACAAATAATGTCTTTACACACCAGCATTAATAAGATCTGGATCTTCTTCTCCTGGCCTTGGAAAAGGACCCTGAAAGATTGAATAGAGAAAGTAACGGCATGGTTGACCCCCTTTGAACGAAAAGTCAAGGGCCCTGCACCTAACCAATGAACGGCCGATTTCTCTCTGTCAATAGACTGAACTTCCCACCATGCTTGTCGCGTGAAATGCTGCCCCTTTCAATTAAAGAAGGAACTAATATTGACGACAAAGAAGCTACAGGAACAAACGGAAAAATCAGACGAGCTAATGAAATCCCTCAACAATCTCGAACAATATACAAGAATGTCAAGAAAGCACTCCATTGAAATCCATGGTACTCCAGAGAATGTCTACAGTTCTACCGAATATGCAGTCCTTGAAGTTGCTGAGGCACCAAAATAATGTTCCCGTGGTGATAGAAGATATAGAAAGATTTCACACAAATTAAAAAGATAGCCCCTTCGCCCCAAGGAAGGTCATTGGGCGTTCCCTGTTGGGGGGGGGGATATCTAAAGCTTCAATGAAAATGTAACCACAGTTAGCGAATCCCTCCTCAGAAGGTACAGTGAGTAGATATTTTTTGAAAGAGTGGCCCGAGAAAATATTTGAACGCTCCTTGTAGCCAGGTATTGTAGTATCACTAAGCCACGTTCTGATATGCTTACCAGGCCAAGGACCCCGTTTTCACTTTGCAATACTAAAGTCATCCCTTCAGGAATGTAGTTACTGGCTAGCATGGGCATGCCAATACCCAGGTTTGCTAAACACCACTTAGTTAAGGAAATAAGTGTGAAGTATTAATTCTGTATGTAGCCAAGCCAACATTCACAAGTACAGTGGAGAGTGTAAGTCAAATACAAACAGCAATGCCATATAATGCGGTGAAAAAGCTTTTCATATGTTACAGGTCAAAATTAAATTTCTCTTATTTCTCTATATGAATAATTAACGCTAGGAGAAAAAGGAAATTTGAAATCATCCCAGCTTTAAAAAATTTTAACCTGAAATTAATTTTGACCTGTAGGTCATTTTAAGCCACAACTGATAAGTACAAAACATTAACTCTAAAACAATGTACTTTTACCGACAAAAATAGCAACTCTATTTTTATTAGCACTACATGGAGTGTGACCTAGTCGTCTCCTGGAGATGACATTCCACTTTCTCTATTTGGCACTTTCTAAGAGCAAACATGTCCCAAAATTGGACTGATACAGAAGCCAAGGGTTCCTGGGTTGACGGGCTTTAGGATTTTTTCAAGAGGGCACGTTTGGTTTCATCAGGGTTTTCGGGGTCAATGGGGCTAAGGGTCTCAGGGCTTAAGAGCCCTCTATTCCACATGACATGCCTAATATCTCACTGTGTCCCATTTGAGTTTTAAGTAAGTCTGGTTTATATTACAGCTAGGGTTTAACTAGCAATTTTCCTAGCGTCTTCTAAAAGTTGGATGGATAGAGTCAACATGGAGTTTCTTGACTTAAGAAATAAAGCAGTGAAGATAAATGATTCTGAAATGAGAAACAGGGCACCAACAGACAAAAGCACAGTAAAGCCGCAAGTTAAAAGGATACCATACATTCCATCTTTAAACTCTAATGCTGCTCTTTTGATGATTCTTTCTCTTATCTCATCACCATTTGATTTGGGTTTTCCATTGTTCACCTCGTCGTAAGTTAAGGTCAACCTCTACAAAAAGCACAATGAAAAACTACTCCTGAACTTCTGCTACCAATACTAGGGGATCTACCTGTCCCTAGCTCATTCATCCAACCAACCAGCAAAAACACCAACCAGATTATCAACATCAAGTCAACATTCCTTTCACTACTGATCTATTGAGTTATTGTAGTTATTTGTTGCCAAATCTTCATCGCAGTACATCAAAATAATAAACTGATGAATTGCCTTTCCCATGCGATGATCCAGGTGATCTCAGCTAGACTAATGACCCTGATTCAGATTATCGCAATGGAATGTACCCTTGTAAACACTGTAAGTAAAATTCCAGCTAATCAAGCACATTAATAATAGCTACATTTTAATAATATCTAAATTTTAATTGCCAGAATAGCCTGTTCACAGACCCGTGATAAAAATAAAAGCAGCGGGGAATTAAATGACCACTTATTTTTCTCTCTTGCACTCCACACTCACTCTTGTGCACTCGCCAGTTATCAAAAGGAAAAATAAAGCAACATCTGTGTACACGCTATTGCCAGAAATAGAAAAAGCTTATCTCACCTCAATTCTCTTTTCATAATTTGAGCCTTTTAATAATCCTTTCACGTAAATACCAGGAAGGTGAATGTCTTCAGCTGATAGGTCGCCAATTTCTACAATTTCCTCAACCTTCAAGGAATACAAGAAAAAGCTCAAGACAGTCCCAAATTTTATCATAATGATAAGCTTGCAGATTCTATGGCAGACATAGTATCTTTAATGTTCTTTTGTACATGTACCTCATCTAAAATTGCTGTGTCTCTGCCGATAAATCTAATAAGCCATTCAATTTCTCCAAAACCTGTAGCTATTGACAACTCTAGCCTGTCTTGTACAGTTTTTAAAAACAGTTGCGGACTTTGTAAGGATAACTCAGATCAAATCCAGATGCCTTGTATTATAAACAAAGACCCATTTCTTTAATTTTTCAGTTTTGACCTTTTCCAGTGCGCACATGATTATAACTTTTAGCATTTCCTAATATATTTTTTGTCTTTACAATGTTTCATATAATGTACATGTACATAGACTTTTAGTAGAACTGTAGTGTTAGCATTTTCAAAACAAAGGGATATTTTTATTCAAAATGGATACATGTAGTACACATACCTCAGCAATTGTGAATTTGGCTGCTTTGCCCATTGGTGCATTGAAATTCCTTGTTGTTTTACTGTAGGCAGGACATAGGCCAAATTAAAGTAATATTTAACATGATTTAATAAAAACAGTTGTACTCCTACATAAAAAATATAATGTCAACATAAGCTTTACCAAGTAAAATATACAGGAATGTGAAATGTTTAAATAGCATTTATGGCAGAATATTAGGATTAGCCCCCTCCCAACCCCCCAGCATTTAATTTGCTGGTATCCATCTGCTCTCCCACACAGTGGAGTGAGGTGCTGTAAGAGTGAAGTGTCTCGCCCTGGGATACAACATACACTGTAAATGATGATCAATAATACTTACCACAAATTAATGGGTTTGAAGTACCTGGCAGAAACATAGTTTAAGAAATACCCTCAGCAAAGGCAAAGAGAGGGTTTGACGGATGGGTGAGCCTCAGAAAAACCAACATCAAGCAAACAGTTAGGAATAAAAGCTTTTGACAGAATTACCTGAACATAAGGTTTCCTGCCTTGTCAGCTCTCTTCGCTTTAATAAGAGCAAAGTCTCCAGTAATGGCCTCTTCCATGACATAATTCTTACCATTGAATTCCCTTGACTAGAGTGAGAAAATATACAGTATATAGACTGAGAGATTTAGAATCACATTCTCATAAAATCTCACCCTTTTATAAACACTTTATGGGCCATTACAGGGAGTACCCCATCCCCCAAATTTCTAACATAAAGTTATCAGTACATTTTTACCTCTCGTGGTTGACTAGGAATCTGTATAGTGCCATCTTTGTTGTATTTGATAGGAGAGCCACCATGATGTACCAGGGTCCCATATCCTGTGGGAGTGAAAAAAGCTGGAATTCCTGCACCCCCTGCCCTGATCCTCTCAGCAAGGGTGCCCTAAAAATAAGTTCTTTCTAATGTTAAAAATGAAAAATTGTGTGACTAAAATAATAAATATTCCTATAATGAAATCCTAGAGTAAAACCCCATGACTAAGAACCTGGATTTTACCACATTAGCCTAAACAGGTTCTTGTATAAAGGGTAGTTAGTACAAGTTAAGCCTATTTAGGATTGTAAATAGGTTCTTATTTTTTGGAGAAAAAAATTCAATACAGCTAGTATTTAGCGGTTCAGCTTACAGTTGGAGTGATAAGGCACCTAACAGCTTCTTAAAATCCAGGTTCTTAGTTGCAGGGTTTTATTTCACACTATGCGCCAGTAAGTCACCTGAGGAGTAAGCTCCACTTCTAATTCTCCAGAGAGGTACTGACGTTCAAACTCTGCATTCTCACCAACATATGATGAAATCATCCGTTTAATCTGTGACAAAATTGATTTGAACTAATTTAGAACTTTATAGAAGCATACAGCATGCAAACAAGAACTACATTCTACTAATAAACCACACTTAAATGGCAAAATTGCCTGACCCCATTATTTTTAGTGAAACAAACCTGTTGAGTTTTAAGAAGCAAGCCAAGACCAAAATCGTCAACTCTACAAGAAAATATTGTACGTGAATGTTAATTAAATACATTTTCTGAAACAATGAAAAACCTTATTCTATATTATATATAAAAACTACTTCACATTTTAATTATTATTTTACGTTCCCTGCGAGCAAGCTCTCCGGTGAGCTCTGGCAGGGGGGGCGGGAAAAGGAACTTGAATTCCACCTCCAATCCCCCTGTGGCTGTCCCCATGGACTGAGCTGACAGTTTCCCTCCAATCAGCGCAAAGCAAAAACAACTGTGAATGTAAACAAACATTGAAAAACACGTGCTAAGGGTATGGACATCATTACTTATGTCATCTCCACCAATCAGCATTTCGCATCAACTTTTTCAATGCTGATATTCAAATTCCAGAGACATAGTTGCAAGCTCTCCTTCCTTTTCCCACCTCGCTGCCAGAGTGCCCCGGAAAACTTGCTTGCAGGCTATATTTTACAACACCACATGGTTAGCGCAATTGGATAAGCACCAGTCTACCAAGCAGGAGGCTTTTAGGCAGGACCAACTCTCAAGCAGGAGAAAGTGCCGCCTTTGTAAAGACATCTACCCGTACATACGGTTCTGACTTAGTTTCTAGTCTTCTCAGATGAGCATAATAAACCGTAGGCCCCCCTGACAACCCTTGCACATATAACTTCTGTTTGTAAAGAGTAGGGGATTGGACGTAGTCCCCAGTGTGGTGGTCTACCTCTCATGGGGGGAGGGACTGTTACGGACTTGCAGTAATTGGCGCCAAACACTGCTGCAGTCACTCTACCAAGAATTGCAGAACGTAAGTAAATAACACTATGAATTTCATTTATAAAAAGTTATGACACCCACTGACCCTGCATTGTTGCTGACGCATGTTAAGTTCTTAACTCCAGTTTTAAGAAGGCCAGCAATCAAGTTCTCAGGTATTCCACAGAGACCAAATCCTTAGAAAAACAAAACAAAAGTGTTCTTCATTAACAAGTGGTCTCAGACAGCAGATGGATTGATAAGTGTTCAGACGGAGAACCAAAAAAGGATTAAGTAGCATTTCTACAACAAAATCTTCTCTATCTGAATTAAAATTATAATGTCATTTGTTTGGCTGTTTGTTTTAAAATGATATCTTTTAGGGGCCAAATAAAGCTGAAGCCCAACTGAATTGCTTCCCTTTAGGGATTTAAACCCATGTTTCAAGGAGCATCCCCACTTATTTCCACAAAGGAGTACCCCATCCCTTAGAGACTAAGGTGACTGACCTCCTACCAATAATTTTGCCCCATCAGGAATATCCTTTACAGCTTCTTCTCCATTGTTGTAAAGCCTGAGTAATCTAGAGGAACTTGTTGAGAACTTGCAACTGAGTATAGATGGCTGAAAAATAAATAAACAGATTATGATGGTTACTAATGACAATGTTCCATTAACATTCTTAACAAGTTGTTCTCAATGAGACTATTCAATTAAAAATTTCATGTCATCCAGTTCTAACCTCTCTCTCTGTCATAAATGTAATATTGCTAACAATGTCAAAAAATGGTCACCAGATCCATTACTTCTTGAAATGAAAAACTGTTACATCCTCGCCAGCCATAACAGTGATAGTAAACTGGGGCTCACTGCACACTAGTGTATTGACCCATTCGTTCTCCACTGACACCCCTTAGACTGCATGCCGACACTACATGACGATGGCTACAGATAAACATGATACTGCTCAAGATAAGCACCACAAGACTTTTCATTTCTTGTGAGTAGCTATGCTGCTACCATTAGTTGTTGAGATATTTTGTACAGTCAAAGCTACAAATGTACACTGTACTCTCCACCATATTGCAATCAAACGTGGAAGTAGTCTTGACTTATGCATTTACAGCCTCAATATCAACTTTCGATCAATTTGGGCAAAACATGACAATTTTGCCACAAAGGAAACCTAAACCCGAGTGTCTGTCCTTCCTGGTCAGCGGTTGTCATACATCACCATCATGTACTACAGTTTATATATTTTGTTTCACTGGAAAAGAAACCGGTCTCTGTCTAAAATAGGAGCATCTGTGGTGATCTACGTCAACAGATAAACCTCCCTGTAAGGGAGATGAGAGGAAATTCAGCTAAACGCGATATAAAACGATCGAAAATCACATTGGTGAGGTAATATTTGATCATTGCGATACAAGGAACAATTTATCAACGGGCTTCTTTAACAATTCAAAACATTCAAATACAGTAATAAAAACATTCACAGCAGGTTTTTTCCTTGACTGTTATAGTTTATACAATTCCTAGAAGCTAACAATGCATAAGCTCACGAGACTCAGCTCGCACAACACAACCATACATGTTCCTGTATGTTCAACTTTAAATTGATCGGCCCAAAGTAAAAAGTGAAGAAAAGATCGCCACAAAGCTACAACATACTTACCAAAACCTGGTGATGATTTCTCACGAGCGGTTTCGTTCTCAAGAAACCAGCAAAGATGCATTTTGTTAAAGTCATGGCAGAGAAAGAACACACGATCGCTGTTTTCCCGCTTGGAATTGGAATACGAACCAACGTCTAGTCAGCGGCTTATGCCATTACCATCCCACCTAAACGCCCACTTTTTCTCTGAGGTCCTACGAATCGTGTTCCTGTTACGATAAGGTGCCGTTTATTTTTTGAAAACAGACTTTTTCCGTCAACCAGTTGTTTTTTTTGTTTTAGAAACTGCAGTATCTCCAAAGTAGCCAGAAAAACTGAGGGTGCAACCGTTGCGTTTATCTTTCTTCCCCTCAAGCTCTATTTCCTCGCTCTCTCTATTTTGCCGGTCAATTCTTTTCCTTCCGTGGTGTCATTTTTGGGCTTATCGGAAGTGAGAAACCTGCCTTTTTTTGCCTATTTTCAGTCACATGGCTGCAATTTTTGGTAGATACGTACCAAAAAATCAGGTAAGAATTATAGCAAAAAATATTTAAATGCAAAATTACATCCCATGAAAATAACGCTACGGTACCCGCCAGAACGCAGGCGAGGGCTAATGGCGATAAATCATCAGGCTAGACAATCACAAAATGTAAACTTTATGGTATTAGGGAGCTTATGAAAAGGCGTTTTTGAGCTACACGCGTCGACCGGAAGTGAAGGGGCACTACTAAATTTGTATTAGCATAAATTTCGTGGGCAATAACTTCTGAAAGGGGTGTGGTGAAGCGGGGGGGGGGGACAATGATGCAGACGTATGGGTAAGAATTCTTTTCCCTGTTACCGTGATCGAATTTGATTTATAATTTTTGTTTTAAAATCAGTATTAATTTCTGGATTGGAATAGGTTGAACCTTATTCGTTTTAAGCGGATTAAAAGTCTAAAATGGACGCTTCGCTCTTAGCCTTGGCTAAATCTATATATTTTTGCTTCGTGTCTTTATTCTTACAGAGACGATTTGCCCGAAAATGTGGACAAAACCACAGCCCAAGAATGCTCAAGTCCACTGACTTTCGGTTGACGTACGTTGCTCAAAAACGTGTTTGCTTTAAGCTCCATTTTATAATTAGGGAATTCAACACTGGACAGGACGAAAACAGCTTTTCATTGTCAACTTTCAAGTACAATTGCATCCTCAAGTTTTTGCATGCTTTTTGTCTGCCAAGATAACACTGGTCCGTAGAGTCGACAACAACAACAACAACAACAAATTTTATTGAAAATTGAAAAATAACTAATTACATTACTTTTCCACCCGCAAATAGCTTATAAACTAATCGAGGCGGGGGGGAGCTGAAGACGTATTACAAAACAAGATTTATATATAGATGGACTAAAAAAAAGTGAAGACATTACTATACAGTAAATAGAATTTAAACTAACATAAAACAAGGCAAGTACATAACGACTACGAAGAGAGGCTAACCTAAAGTATTAAATAACTTTAGATTTGAGATCGTTGTTTTCTCCTCTTAGGTTGGCAATAGACTCAGGCATAATATGACACACGAAACAAGATAACCAAACAAATAGAAGAAAGCAGAAAGAACACTTGAACATTAGAAATTTACGAAATGTTACGCGGAGCACTCAAACACACGACCGTCCATCTTAGCCACATCACGTGGTTTCAGTTTCCTTGATATAAATGGTTTTGTTTTCATGCCATACAAGGCGCGTTGGCGATAACAAAAACTTAGAAGTCTACGTGTGTTTCTGAACATCTTTTTACAAGCTGAGTAAACAGGGAGGCTGGCCCGCCTTGCGAAAGACGCATTTGTTCTCTAGTCTCCAAGAGAAAGTGTTGACGCTACTAAAGTTTGTGCTAATGGCTGCACTTAATTAACTTTGAATGAATTTTACCTTGAATTTTTTTCCTCTGGTGTTTTTGGTGTGATAATTCTGCTGTGCGCATGCGAATTAATCTCAACGTCCATCTATGGGGTGGAACTCAATGAGTACACATTTATGCTCGCCTCTGAATTGTGGCATAGAAAAATTTTCTGTCAAAAATAACTTGTGACAAATAAGTAGCTTTGTTTAACGATAATGAAAAGTAAGACTTGTCTTAGGCGCTTTCTAGTTAAGCGTGAGTTGGGCAAGCTGTGCAAACTTTAAACAGTGGTTTTGAAACGAGAAAATGTAAATTTCCTCAAAGCTTAAATTGTTTTGACTTTAAAATACAACTAATGACAAACTAACCGGATATTTTACTTTCTAGTCTGTTAAAAGCTAAACGTAAACAACGGCTGGATGCTCAGTTTTGGCTATTGGTTAGCTCATATTAATTAATTCACAAAAACTTTTGTTCATTGAGACAACCGTATCAGTGTATGCTTTTTTATCAGACACAGCAATTAGGCGGTGAATTAAACTTGAAAGTCTGTATTTCCTAAACCAATGAGAAAGTTGACATGAAATAAATATGGACAGATCAAATTTTTGTTGTTATTTGAAAGGAAAAAAGGGCAGGCGCTCAGTAATGGATAAAATGAGAGGTTGTTTGAAGTGATTTGAACTCAACGCCAAGAGAACAGGAAGGGTAAAAGTGCATTTACTGTCAGCAACAACAGCAACGTAACAACAACAAGTAAAAACAACAACCTCAGAAACCTAAGACGCTGCGCGGTGGAAAGTTAATGCTATTTAGATGCCGTTTTCCGTCGTTACAAAGAAGCGTTGCGTTCTAATACTCAGCTTTCTGCTCATTATTACTCTACAACCGGATCTTCCCGAGGCGTTCTTTTCAATTACTGCAAACAACAAGGCTCTTGTAGGGTTTACCTACAAGGTAATTGACAATGCCGATTGGTTAGATTGCATCCAAGCTTGCCAGACTGAGGTCTCTTGTATTTCATACAATTTCTGGCAAGGGAGATGTGAGCTTAATAATTGTGGCTTTGAAGACGGATGCAGTGCAGAAAGCACTCTGCTGATATGGGTCCCTGGTTCAACTTTTCAACAGTTAGCTCCCATTCCGGTAGGTCTCTATAAAAGGTAAGGTAAGGTAATTTTCATTTATGCACGGTGTTACAAATTCATCAGGCATGAAATGTTATAAAAAAATTTTAAAAACCTTGCCTTTAGTTAACGTTTCAGGAAGACTATTCCACAGAACAGCACTACTGTAGCGAAAACTATTACGGAGATAATTTGTGCATGGCTGTGGAATAGTTGATTTATTTATAGAATCTCGAAAAGTGTATGAAGTGGTATTAGATCGAGCAGTAGAACGGCGAGGTGACATTGGGGAGAACTAGAAGATATCTTTCAGTCTTTCTGCCATTTGTGTGTATTCTATAATAGCTATTATTGTTTCTTTTTTTATTATTATTTCTTTCTGCTCTTGTCCTCTTCTGGATGTTACCTTCACCCGTTTATTTGCCGATATTGTTTTACCTGAAGTACAGAAATAAGGCATTCTTTTAATTTCCTCTCCATGGTATGGATCGAGTCCATTTTGATCAAGGAAGGTCGTCTAAAAATGGACTCTAAGTGTTATCCAATTGTATCGCTGTTCTTTAAATTCGCAGGATGAAAAATCAAGATGCAAGGATAAACGGGAAAGTTCAGTGAAAAAGAATGTAAGAGGTAAGAAAAATCTTGCGTGGTTTTAAGTTGAAAATGAATGAGTTTCACAGATATGTCGTTGAATTTAAGGGTTGCCAAAAGGCGTTGAGGACGGGGGACAGAGGAAAGTCGATACACGAGAACGCGAAGAATGCGCGCGGCAACCTGAGGGTGCAAGCGAAAACGCAAAAGGGTACTCGCCTAAGAGCAAAGGCTACAAGAGAAAACCGGGGGGCGCCAAGGACGCGCGCGGGAAGCCAAAGGGTGCACTAGAAATATGAACACACATCAACTCGTTTACTGATGCAGTAACCGGATCTACTTCCTTTGTTATTTTTAGTTATGATAAATGCAAGCTTTAGCTGCACACAAAACATGTCAGCCTACGTGGATGGCGATTTCGTGACATTTATGAATTCAAGGAAACCAGTGAAGGACATCGACTGTTCCAAACTTCAAACCCAAGCTATTAACTTCGCGATCCCTAATTCCACCCGAGTCGTTGCCATAGCAGCAACGGGCACACCGCGGGCTTCGATTATTGGCTCATTTAGTGATGGTGTCGTCACAGACTCCACGTGGAAGTGCAACTCAGATAAGGAGCCTGAGTGGGCCCTTCCTGAGTTTCAAGACGATCAATGGAAAAAGGCAGAAGAAACTTCACCTGAGAAAGGAGGAACTAACGGAATGACTGAAATTTCCTCCAAGGCAAAGTGGATCCATATCAGTGCAGATGATTCCAAGCAAAATATGTTTTGCAGACTAAGTCGTAAAATAGGATCTCTGAACTAGAAATCCCCCCCCGCCCCGTCGTCGTCGTAAAAGATGGAGATACACATGAACTGTGGGTATATCTTTCCCTCTTTCGTTAGCTTTAAGCCCGGGAGGAGGAGGGGGGGTTGTTACTCAACAAATGTTTATACGGGGAAGCTCCGCCCCGAGGTCCAACCTCTTACCAAATTATATAGCATTTTTCACGAAAAAGATACCCCTTTTGTATACCTTCTATTGACAAATGGTGCCCCTTTCACATACCTTGTTTAGAACTTTGCATCCCTTTTAACTGCTGTAAATTCACTGTCTTTTAAATAGGAATCAATCACAAAACTAGAACGTTTTCTTGACTAGCTTCATAAAGCCATAAAATTCATCTGTTAGCCCTTTTGGGCCCTTTCAAAGTAACAACAACATTCTTTTTATTCACACTATTCAGATACAGAGGAAGAGAGAAAAATGAGAATACAAGAAACTATAGAAAACGAAATGACAGAAATTATATAACTATATGTACAATTTTTGAATCAGTGTGCATTAACCAAAGTAGCAAAGCTTTCGAGTTGGCTGCTGCGTGTTTACAAGTAAAGAAAGGAACGAAGGAAAGAAATAATAATTAGTATTAAACTAATTCACAGGGCAAGAAGTGTAATAAATACGGAATGGAAATGTTACATTAAAAATTACAACTTTCAGATAAGCCAGAAAACGATAATTAATAAATATGATTACAAAGTAAATTTCAGTTGGAAATTCAGAAGAAAAGAAACTGTGACTGACATTGACTTAAACGATAGATTTCCCTACTCTTTGCTACACTTGAACTAGTGAATTTTGAAGAATATAGGATTCCTGTGTTCGATACTTTTAATATGATCAAAGGTGTTCGAGGAATAGACAGTACTCACTTTGGATTGGGAGTTAACAGCGAGGGTAAACGCACAACTTCTTCTGAATTTCGTGAGGGAAACGTTTTAATGCCTTAACTTATCGTCCCATGCAAAGGAATCTAGAATCCCGAATCCCGAAAATTTTTGCTCTTGGAATCCGGAATCTTAGAAAGTTTTTCTTGTGGAATCCGGATTACGGGTCCAGGAATCCTGAATCCCACTGACGATTGGAATCCATAATCCAAGTTCCACTGACAAAGACCTTAATCCAGTACCTGGAATCCGGAATCCACTGAGTGGAATCCAGAATCCAAGACTGTCCTTGATATCCTTACACTGGGCGAGACTTAGACTAGGCTTATGACTGTTTGCAACTGACCAACGAATCCTATTTAGCAAACATGATCACAGTATTCACTTGTATGAGGGAGAGTGGTAACTAACCTTCATATGTTGAGGGGAGACTGGAAAGGGTAATAATCTACGCGAGGAAAGTCGGGAAGACAGATGACCTTGTATTCCTATTAAAGAAACTGCACCATTTGAGATTAGTGATTTATATAAAAGCCACGTTTTGCAAACTGTATATCTGAAGGACGCTATTAGGCGATAAATGAGTCATTAATTCTAATGACTTTTAGAGAAGCATTCAAGGATTTTTTTAAACTATTTACTTTAATTCATTGTAAATTAAGCGAACTGAACTTTTAGTCAAATTTTCTCCTTAAGTTGCATTTTTTGTTGTTTCTTCAGTTTACTTTTGGATGATATCAAATTTTTTGCTGTAGGCTTTCCTTTGCTTTTTGCTTTGTGCAATTGCCTTCTGGCTCGCATTCTACGAAATGTTTTTTTTGTAAGTTTTGCATATAGTTTGCATAAAACGTTCAGACGTATAAAGAGACGGTAAATTTCGTGCTTAATATTTAGCTGTATGTCGATGTATGAGCCCGGAGGCGTTTGTATTAGCAAATACGATAGCACAAAATAAAATAAAAATGACTACTCTGTATACAAATGTATGTGTCTTTTGAAAGGGTTTTTTTTTTCAATATTACGCTTTTGTTAGCGGCGTCTGATCACAGAGGTTTTGTTTTTTGGCTAATTAATTGCTTCAGTAAAAATATGGAATTAAAGCTATTCTGATCAAACATTTAGTAGGGTGATTATGATACATCAAAAAAGGTTGACATTATATTTATGTTCTTCCTGCTCAGTCGATCGGCAAACAGTGTTGGACTGGTCATGTTAAATCGGTTTTCGCCCATATTATATATAAACAGGATATTTTGTGGTGATGCGAGGAAGGCAAAAATTTTTTTTTTCTGAATTCCAAAGCCGTCAACAAACATGGACATGTCGTGTTTCATGATTTTCGCAAGCAAATAATTAATTCTTAACGTAAAAAACATTATAGTTTGCTACTATTTACAGTCTTCTCGATAAAAATGCTAAAAAACACAAAGGCCAACTACAGCTAAGTTCCATTTATTACCTAAGTTATGTTTGGGAAGATTAACCGAATAGACTTTTCTATTAAGCCATATGGTGTTGTTTATTAAAAGAGAAACGCCAACTGACATGGCTGGGTTTCCACCCATTTTCGCTGGGGTATAAATTCATACATTGAGGTGAGTAGGAGTACTAATATAAAACATCATCATGTGGTCTAACATGAAAGAATACACCGAGCTAAAAATGACACGGTATCCATTTTACAACAAAAAAGGAATAATTGTAGAGACCACAGGAGGTTTAATAATACCTCACCGAGATAGAACAATGTTGACAATTTCAGCTGCTACGAAAGTTCTTCCTATTGGTTATCGCAGAAATACATAAGCAACAAATACAAAAACTTATTTTTCATTTCGGAAAAAGAAGTGCTTATTTTCAAACAATCTTCCTTCAACGTAAAAACAATTCTGAAGTAAGAGCCATTTCACATTTACAAACCCTGCTGTGAGAGAAGGTGTAAGACATGAAAAATTCTCTTTTCTTTTGTTTTATCTCAACTATTTTGCTTGGATCTAGCCCTTCTAGCTTGACGCTGTTCAGCTCTTTCACACTCGAACATAGACTCTTTCTAGGAAAGACATTTGGGTCGATTTTCACTTCCGACTGGCTTCAGTGTTTACAATCTTGCGCTGAAAACACAAGATGTTTATCATACAGCTTTGATAAGCAGGCTTTAGGTGAAAACTGTTTTTTACATGAATGTGGTTTTCTCGACGAATGCGCTGCTCTCGATACGCTCATCTTTGCCAGGGAGTCTGTTTTTCATCAGTTGCAGCCTGTAACGGTTTGTATTCATTTTAAAAATAAGGTAGAATCATCATTATATAATTATTCATTTTAGAATGATAAATGTTGTCAGGTTCTACTCGACTATCTGCCTTTGTCACTATCAGTAAATTCTCTCTATCTCCCTTAGAAGATAATTTTATGCTAAGGTACAGGTTACGATATCTAGGTTGATTATGCTTATTTATTTTTGTTTATTTTAATTACCATTTTATGTAATTTAATTATTGATGTTCATTATTTTCCGACAGAATCAATCACAACAAAGGAATTGCCGTTGGGCAGATTATAGTAAGTATTAAGGAAAATTAAGACATTTCCGGTCAGACGAGTCTTGGTGTCTGTGTATATTAGATCAAACTAAGCCTTTAAAACTTATGAGTTGAAAATATTTACTCCACTCAACTGACTCAACCCTTTGACAATCTGCCGCTGTGACAAGGCCTAATGGCCGAGCGCTCATGGCATGCTTAAAAAGCCGAGTTTGTCGGTGAACTTAGGATGAAATAAATATTAAGGATGAAGCAAATATAAATATAGTCAGGGGTGTAGTTGTAGATCAATTTTATACTTAGTGCGAATTTTATTTTTGTTGTTTATTTTTTGGTGTGGTAATGAATGATAACAAATTTCAAAAAGGAGGAAATCATAACATATACTTTCTTTAATCAATGATGAATCAAAATTTATGCAGAACTCGACATTAGAAATGGCCTTAATGGAATAGAAAAGGAATTTAAAATTCGTGCCAATACCTTTTTATTTTACCCCACCAAGAGCCTTGCATAATATTTTGCATGAAAATAATGGTAATGCTAAGAATAAGTCTAGTCAGTGATCATCATCATCGTCATCATCATCATTGTCATCATCACTGACACTGATCATTATCATGCCTAGCTTATGGAAGTGACAAGTATAACTTTAAATGATGCAATATCGTTCGTTTTTGCCTTTGTATTATTATCATTATCATAATTATTTGTTTTATCTATGTCAGACCAACCTATTCCCGAAGCTGCATTTGAAATACAAGGTACCGATGTATGTGAAAGAAGTTGGATTGATGGACGCAGCCAAGGTGAGAAAAAAAACCGTTTTACCCTTTTTCAGGTTTACATGTTATGACTTTAAGTTTATTTTTTCTTCTTTACAAACCATCTTTAAGGCCCTTCCTACATTCCGTTCTACGTACATGGGTCATGTAGCAGCTGCTCGGAAGAGAAGTCACCAATGGTGTGTTTCCCTAACCCCAAACAATACTTGGGTCACGTTCATTGCCTAATTCCAAGGCCTAAACATTTTTGCCGCGCAGTCTATATTTATCGGATGGTCACGTGATGAATTTTGTAGGTCTTGATTACGTCGCTGAACCGAACTGACTGCAAGGGCCTGGGAGAGCCGTATAGGAGCGAGGCAACGTATCATAGATAGTATATTTTGCACCATAATAGGAGAAGATGTCAGAATATCAAAAGGACTTATGAAATCATTTTGTACGTTTTCTTGTAACAGCTTTAGGACGAGAAAGACACTCAGCTGATGTTTGTGGAAACAAACCTGTTTTGCTGGATAAATGCTTACTTGAAGACAGAGGAAGAATCCATCTGACATCGGTGAAGTACATGGAATGCAACTGCTCGTGTATAGATTGTAGTGACGAAGGAGCAGTGCTTTGTCCCCAGTCGAAAGTATATAAAATAATTAAAAATGAATGCCATAGAAGCGAAGTATGTCGAGTGCGAATTGCCAACAACTGTGAAAATGCAATCTTGAGATCCTTGAGAATTGAATATCGATGTGTGTAGATTTCCACCTCATTATGGCCTTTGCCGGTTCATAAGCTGATAAATTCTTTGGTAACATGTAGCGATGTAGTTACAAAGTTCAAGTTAAATATCAACCTAGATTTGAAATAATTGGCGGTCGAAATTCTTCACTCCAGAAACTATAAGGAGGATAGTTACACACCTTCGGCGCAATGATTTGTGGGATCGTCTGGGTGGACAAGCGTTACTTAGGACTGGGCACAGCTGTTTCGGATAACTCGATACCTATGTTGTCAAAAATCTTTCAGTTGTTGTTTGTTTTGTTTTTTTGAAGGGGGGGGGGGGGGGGGTTCTGATAGTCTCTGGAGTGGAGAATTATCAAACTTTCAAACTAGGCTCCGAGGGAGTAAAACCAAAGAAATGAATTATTTATCCCTTAATCTCAATGTGATTTCTTTTTTTGCACCCCTTAGCTTCGGAACCAGGTCTGAATTTTTAAATATTTCGAAACTGGCCTATAACCTTTACTCTATTTTGTGGAAAACGACACTTATTTCTAAAAGGGGGAATTGGGAAAGGTTAAAGCACTAAAGAGGGACTGAAATCGCAGTTAAGTCTTATTTCGAACAAGTAAACGTCAGTGATAGTAGAATTCGCTTTAAATCATGGATAAACCTTTTTGATTATCTACAAGTTGTATTACTATAATAATAATAATAAAATAATCTTTATAGAGGAAGCTCCCATCACATAAAGTGTTTTCCAGGGAAGTCCTCTGACTAAGATTAAACAATATTAAAACTACTGATAACAGTCAAATCTAAAAGACTAGTGGTTATCAGTTAAAAAAGGCTAAAAAGGCTAAATGACTAAAAAAGGCAAAAAAAAGTAATAACAATAGAATCAGACTAAAAGATTTAACTATCGAAAAAACAAAGGCTAACGACTAAAAGCAGAAAATAATTTAGATGAGCTGAATAGCTTAAGCCTGATTTTAGGGAAAATAAAATCTTAAATAAAAGCAGAATGAAGTTTTATTTAGTTTGCTTCCTGAAGATTCTTTCCAGGTCAAGTGCGCGCTTGTTTGGACGCCGTACTGAGTTCTGCTGGAATGAAAGGGTCCTTATGATTGGTCCATATGGGACCAAAAATCCGTGTATGTAAAAACCGTGTTACTGACGTACCAAGAGCTCTGAGGCCAACATGACTAGATATTTACTGATATTTTGTATTTTTATGGAACACAAAACAAGAAATTAAAGAGGCAAATATCGAGCTATGTTGACACAAAAAGTTAAGGCAGCTCAATGAGCGATTTATCATATGGCCAAAAGTATTTTTATTTCTTGCAACTTAAGAAGGGAAATCCCGCGAGGGGAAGAGAAGCTAATATTTCCTGCTTGGGTAGCTAATCCGAACACACACATTGCTTCCTCGGATCTCCTCTTCGAATCCAGCCAAATGACAAACTTACTTTTTAAATCAGTCTGCTGGTTGAATGAGCAAGGCATCAACACCTATTAACTTTTGCAGGTGTTGAAAGATGTTTGAAGCACCAATCATAGGTCAGTCACCTGTCGTTGACACTTGACTAAAGTGATCTTTTCCACTTCCTATGAAATTTCCATGTGGAAATCACCACCTTCAAAAGAAAAACATCGCAGGATGAGGACATATCTTGAAATTCTTTCACTCTAATGAAAGAATGAAACGCATGCTACGCCGGTGACTTGCGAACGTCAAATCTAAGAATTTGCTTTCAAATCTAATTGTAAGTACAGATCGATCTTCTCAATGACATAAATGGTGTTTACGATTTCTAGAACGACTGTTTTTGGATTTATTGGTGAAGTTCTTATTAAGGAAGTAAACAGCGGTTCGCATTACATTTTTCCCTCCATAGGGGGAAATCGTGAACCACTAGAAGTAATATTCTTTTGAAAACTTGGACCGCAGCTTTCGATACGAAACCAGTACGAACATGAGGCTCACTGCGTCCCTGCAGACAGTTACTGTCGTAATAAGAGTTTTTAATCTTACACGCTCTTGTTTAGAATTGATTCGCTTCTTGCTTTTGTTTACCTGTAAAAATACAGAGGATCTACATCGTAGATATTGGTTTGATTTGAAGGTACTCGTTTAAAATGTTATAACAAACTTATATTCATACTGAGATTCACCGTTATACAACTACTTATTACTGCAGTTTATCGCGTTAACTTGATCTTGAACGCTTCTCATGTCAGTGTCAATTTACAATCGTCCGCCAGTTTAGAAACTGTTCAATCCCATTCGCTACTCTAGAAACGCAAACGAGACTAGACCGAGTTAACTTTCGCAAGAACGTCTGGAACTGTTGCTAGGGACAGCGAAAAAATTGGCAAACAGTTCATCAGTGCGCCCTCAGTAACAATACCAGAAACAATTGCGGGACATATTTCAGCTCCAAATCACTTTTTTACTTCTTTCCCTGATATCCAGATTGATTCCAGAAGAATAAATTTGGATTTTATTAAGTTTAACTCCTGATCTTTTAAACACCTTACTTTCGTCACTTTATATTAATTGTTTGTTTGTTTGTTTGTTTGTTTCTTGAAGAGGTGTATATTTAGGAAGGATCATAGGAAGGGTTGGAGACGACGAGACAGGTGGTGATAGAGCATGAAAGCTCCATGAAAGGCTTCTTAATATTTGTGCTGCTGGAAGTTTTTGAACTTTTATACGCACAGAAAGGTACATCATTTCGCCTCTTTACAAACGAGAAAGAAACTGGGCCCGAGTTAGCTTTCGAAAAGACTGCTGGGATTGTGGGGACTTCTGGGATTCTGGGATACTGGGGACGCGCCGGTCAGCTATTGGTCAATTTTTTCCCTGTCTCCAATAAGAGACCCAGAAGTCTTTGCGAAAGTTAACTCGGCCCATGCTTCAATGGCTCATAACGAATTGTAACCTTGAGTATCAAACGCAGGTTTCTAACAAAAGTGTACGATTTTTACCTGCAGTTTATGATTACCTCGGTTGTTGGAAATATGTTACCAGCAATGACAGCAAGTTTCTTCCGAAAATCATCTTATCACCTGCAAAGAATCACGTTTCAGCAGTACATGACTGTGCTCTAGCTGCGCGCTCGCGTGGGATCCCTGTGTTTGGAATAAGAAACAGTTCGGAATGCTTGGGTAGCGTACACTCCGCACTAACCTACATGAGGTATGGTCCATCTAATGAGTGTTACAATGGCACAGGGGGACCAACAGCTATGGACGTCTACAGTTTGGAAGGTAATTACAACACAGAATTCGATTTGGACGCACAATATCAACAACAACAATTTCTGTAATTTTTCTTGATTACACTTTCTTGTCACGCAGTTGCCAAAGGAGCTAGTCGTGGCGTGTCAAAATTGCCGAGATCAACGTTTCTGCAATCTGTCTGTTTGGCAAGTGTCCAAGACTCTTTCCAAACTCGATTATTTAGGATAAACTCTATTCGAAATTAACGACTGCTTCATCCCATATAACTAACTATTATATTATTTTCCTTTTAACAACATCTTCATTTTTTAATTTTCCATTGTTGTTAAAAACTGTAATTTTATGTCATATGTGTTTTTTTTTTTACACCACAACGTAAGTTGGGCAATTGAATCTCAGGAAAATGATAGTTTCATACAATAAATCGTCATTTTTGTTTGTTTGAATGAGCTGCATTGCGCTCCATTCTCTCTGAATGAGTGCCATTCGATTTTGAGAAAAACAGGAGGGAAAGTAGAAAACTCCACAGAGCAAATTCTCATTGACAAAATCAGTCTGTAATGTTAGGTGCTTTTATCACCAGGAAACAAACGTCACTTACGCGTAGACGAAGAGCAGGAAAAAAGAAACTTTATCTATGATCTCTACAGCTCTACATATGCAATAAAAAAGAACGACTTTGCTCAGAATATTCCATCAAATGCTGCCAGACACCCATTGGTTAAAGGTGGTCACGTGAGACCGGTAATGCTGCAGCCTCTCTTTAAGGAAATCGACGAACGCGATTTTGGTGGTAGGTGATTATCTGCGTGCGCAAGCAATTTCACTTACAGATCTTTTCACTTGACGTCACGGCGGCCATTTTGGTGCACAAAATAATGAATCGATGGCCATGTTGGTTCTGTACCAAAAACATCCTGTGGGGATTGAAGCCTTTTCTTTTCTTATGCAAAACCTTCTTTTCCAAGAAATTTTCTGCTGCTGACCACGTGAGTGAGAACAATGTATAAACAGTAGCTGGTTGAAGCAGGGGCTAGGCAAGGAGGGGCGGGGAGAGTAACGTACGAGCTGGTCACCTCAGAGATTGAGTGGTAGCTAGGTGTTAGGCTATTAGCTTAAAGACGCTTGTCAATTTTAGGGAATTTTACGCTTCTTATTAGCTTTAGAAAGGCGCGCAAAATGGAACAATCGAAGTGCAACAGCTCATTATCAAAGCAACTAATTAGAACTGACAAATAATCTAATTGCGTCTTGCTCCGATAGTCCCCTACTTGGACCCACAAGCTACTGACATGCTTGGTTTAATTTCTATAAGTGGTTTCCTTGAAAATGATTTACTTTGGGGATTATTAATTCGTCTTTGAATTTTCAGCATACAGACCTCCAGTGAGTGGAACGAATATTCTGACCAATCCAAGCTTTGAGGATCCGTTGATTAATGACCCGGTAAAAGGTTGGAGCTGTCAGGGTGAGACGGATGATCCTCGGGGCGATGTTATTGCACGGTATACCCAGGAATATCCAAAACAAGGGCAATACAGTGGGATTTGTCTGGCTCGATTGTCTGAATGGGCAGGACCTGGACAGTATGTAGGTGAGCCAAGTGAATTCCTACAACTGTAACAATTGTAAATTCCTCTCGTCAATTGTTATGATTTGTCCCCTTCGTAGTGCACCTGCAATCCGTGACATAAGAACTTGGGTCAATTGAAGGAATAACGTTGACGTGTTGTGCTCCTTGTGCGCGACCTCCTTTTCCCTGTTCCTTTCAATGTTGGCCTCGAACTTGGACAATTCCACCGAAAAAACGATTACAAAACAACATTGGAATAGAGAAAGACAGGTATCAGAGCAGTGTGACCCAACTTGAATGTCCTTGATTGTGTGTGTTATAGCGAAAAACAACCATATCGAGGAAAATTTAATTGTCTGAAATAATGAATGTCTGAATGAGTGAGACGATGGCTAAACTCATAGCTGCTATCCTAGGCTCTGACTGATTTTTTTTTTTTTTTTTTTACAGGAAACAGAGTTTTGCCAGGTCGAGTCTACAAGTTCGAAGGATGGACAAAGCTTTTGGATCGCAAACGAACAGGAGACATTCACAGTCTTGAGCTGTGGCTCAGGTATAAGAAAAGAGGAGATAAAGAACAGAAAAATAAACTGCTCGCTAAAAGGACTAAATATTCACAAGGTAAATATGAATAAATGATAAAAAGCATTCAGTACGACTTTGATCATGTTCTTCTTATTAGTATTGCCATGATTTTTTAAAAGCTTCACCCTAAAAGTTTCATTTAGCTGGAAGCATGAAGCGGTAGGTGTGAGATCGAAAAATAGATGGCCATGAAAACGACATTGAAATTCCAACTCGGTCAATGTCCCCCCGGAACTCTTCCTCTATCTTACCAGCGCGCAAGGGGGAGAGGGGGAGGCGGAGGTGAAGGTGCTCCCCTTATATCAGAGACGTCTAGGCTAACCTGAGATCAGGCTCCATTTTCGTTTCGTAAGAAAATTTAAAGAATGCGTGAGAACTGCTAAAATTGGGCCTGATCTCAGGTTACGTCTGGGCAGACTAGGCTGAATTGACTTGAAAGGCTAGTATTCATAATAACTGTCATACCACTGGTGCAAATTATTTACGCTATTATCTGCTGTTGAAGAACACCAGAATTAGTAAAAATATTTCAGAAAACATATTTCCTTACATTCTAGACTACGGCTGGGTGCGCTGGCAGACTGCGTTTGAGATTCCGCTCGCCAGAGCAGGATTCCAGTTCGTCTTTATTTACTTCAAAGGACCAAAGCCAACTGTCGATATTCTATTGGATGACTTGTATCTTGAGGAAATACTGCAACCATCTGACTGGAAAAGGAACAGTGATATTTTGATCAATAAATACAGGAAACGAAACATTCAATTCAGGTTTGGAATGAGTTTGGTTTTATGAAAATGAACTCAATTCTGTCGTTTTCTTTTAAGTTGTTTTATCTCATTATAAGTAATTTATGGATTTTTTTCAGAGTGAATATCACAGGCTCTCGTTATACTTCAGATCTGCTCCCAAAACTTAAGATCAAAGTAAGTTCGATACGTTAGCGGACATTTAGGCTGTGTTTAAATTATACAATTTCTGATCTTTCTGTAAATCAAAAATGTTCAGTAGAGACACTAGCGACCTTTGGTTATGTTTACTTGGGTTTTCTCATGTAGCTTTGACTCTGAGGATGTATAATCATCCAAATGAAGCCTACTAAGCAGTCCTTTTCCTATACATTGACCACTCCAAAGAAAGCCGTTCAGAAGCACGTTTCCAAACAATGTCCCTATCCATTCATTGGGATAATTGGGTTCTGGATGCATGATGCTGTAGTAAACATACAATGTACTAGCAAGTCTCCCAACCAGAAAACACGAAATTTCAGCTGTTTTATTCTCTTTTTTAATGTTCTATTCTATTCATACTCTAACTGGTTTACAAGCGCATTGACGTGTAAAAAGTTTGTCGCCTGGTTTATGCGCATCTTCAAATGACCCGTGTGTAAAACATGACGTTTTTTTTCCCTTAGGTAAAACAGAAATCGCATCTTTTTGCCTTTGGTGCTGCTGTGAATAGTAACTTTCTGCTGCACAAACCCGAATATCGCGATTTTTACCTGAAAAACTTTCATTGGGCCGTCCTGGAAAGTTCGTTAAAATGGGGTTACGTCGAACCTAAATTGGTGAGTTATTTACTAGAGTCATGACTTTTTTCAAACACGTACTCAGAAACTACTTATTTGCTTTGTGGGCATTAGAAAACGGGATACTTAAAGGGATTGAAGCAAATCGATATCATATGAATTACTCCTTCTCGTGTTTGATAAATTACTTCTAAGTGTTTGTGTATCAGATAAAACACTCCTTCTTGTATTTGGACATCAGATGAAACACTTCTCCTCGTGCTTGACATGTAACTTCTCAGTGTTTGGATATCAGACAGATCAAGCACTCCGTCGACTCGTGTTTAAAATATCACTCCTCGGTGTTTACGTATGAAATAAAACTCTCCTTCTCGTGTTTGATAAACTACTTAGAGGTGTTTGGTTATCTGTTGAAACACTCTTTCGCGTGCTGATTATCGCTTCTCTGTGTTTGGGAATCAGTTTAGATATTGCTTTGGTGTTTGGGTATTAGATGAAACACAATGCTGCTTATCGTGTTTGACAAGTGTTTGGATACCACATGAAACAATACTTGTCGTGTCAAACGAATTACTCCATTTGCTACTATTTTGTTGTTCTTAGAGTCGAAATATGCAAAATAAAAAGCAAATTTACTATTCTAACTGCACTGTGTGTTATAACTGACGCACCGTTTGCGTTTTGAACTTATTTTAGGTACCTTTCGCTTCAGGGTCACATAAGTTATGACATTGCGGATAAAGCTGTGGCTTTTCTCCAAGCTAACAAGTAAGCCAACTCAAGGTTGTCCTTGTTATACCACTATGATGATAGCGCTTCCTGATAACTCTACTTGTACACCTAACATGCATGTCAATCTAAATTTTGAAACCTATTGATTATTGAATAGGTACCAGAAATTCATGCCCTATTTAGACTTACTCCCCCCTCTCTCAATAAGAGAAAAAGGGAGCTCTCGACTGCACGCTGAGATGCCTCGTAATGCGCGGTTAAGATGCATTTTCTTGTTCACAAACTGTGATAAATGCTGCAAAATATGTGATTTTTTGCGATTTTTTGTATATTTTTTCTAGTTTTGCGAATTCTATAGCCGTTTTTTAGAGACTTCTTCAAACGTATGTGCGTTTTCCCTAATTTTCTTTACCTTCATCCCTGGTAGAAATGTTTGTGTTAAATCAGTCCTGAAGGTAACGTTTGGTCATTTCACTCATAATATTTATGTCACATTGTTTACGTTTTAGCAAGATGATCCGTGGCCATTGCGTTTTCTGGGCGGTCGACACAGAGGTTCCATTTTGGGCGAAGAAGCTCCCCAACGATAAGCTCAAGAAAAAGATGAAGGAAAGATTACAAACTCTTCTCTTTAGATATCGAGGACGGTGAGTCAGTGCTCCTATCCTCTTTTAAAAAACAGATTGTTTTCGAAATATGTTGTTCGTACATGAGGAATTCCGAGTTTCCCTTAGCGGTACCTAGCTATGCACGTCAGTAGAAAGGGCTTGCAAAAAGAAGAAACTTGGAACATGTTTTACCTTTCTGGAAATTGGGCAGCCCTGTTTCAACACTTTCTAAAGGAATGAAAAAGCCTTAAGCCTCTCTGACGTAAAAGACTAACCCTACCTGTTACGTTTGTAGCTTTATGCAATGGGATGTTAACAATGAAATGCTACATGGTTCTTTTTTCGCGGATCGCGAAGGATTAGCCATCCGAGACTGGATGTACTTAACAGCGGCTAGTGTTGATCCCGGCGTTGATTTATTTGTCAATGATTTCGATGCTGTAGAAAATGGCCAATTAACCCAGGTAAGTTATAGTGTATCGCTGAAAATTCTTGGAAATTAGTGGAGGGAAAGTCTAGTTTAAGCAACATTCACTCACTGAAATGTTTATTCAAGCGTTATTTGCATTAATAAAATGAGTGAGTTTGAAAGTTTCCTTGCCAGATACTTACGTTTAAGAACTGTGGAAAGGAACAAATTTTCCCAAATTCTTAACATTTTCGATTTGCTTGTGTATCAGAATGACAAACATAATCATGCGTCTCAATTTCACCAGGCCTTCCTTGAAGAAGTCCAGGATTTATTATCACGAGGAATTCCGCTGGACGGAATTGGAGTTCAGGGTCATTTCACTGGTCACGTGAATCCAACACTTCTTCAAGTAAGTACGTAGTTTTTGACACTTTGATAAGAATTTCACTCAAGTCACTGAAACCATACCAAGGGAGAATACCAAATTATGCACTCAAGCATACGTACCAACTCCCGGTATGGCCAGTACCTTACGCATGCGCACAACCATATCACTCCGGCAGTGGAAGCCATGCACAGCTGTTTCGCCCTTATTGGGGCTTATCATCATGGCATAGTCATTGGATCAATAAGCAGGGGAACGCGCTATCAAAGGCGCTTTAGCCCAGTCTAGCCCATTGAAAATGTGATTTTCACCATTGATCCAGTTACTTCTAGATCAATTAAACGCTTGGAATTAATCGGTAGTTGATTTCCAGAGGCAAACTTTTATTCAGTGTTGTAAACAGAGAATTTAGGGACATTGTGCTCTCTTGGTGTGTTGACATTACAACATTCTGCATTGTTCGCTTTGAGGAAGTCGCGCGCATGGACTTGATGACGTTTCAAACAATGATAAAATGTGCGGACGTCCCAGGAATTAGACTTCCGTTTAATCACAACCTCTTAAAATAAAGCCCTCAGATTACCTCTTTGTCTCGTTATTATCTCTTGCTCAAATCTTTAAAACTGGACAGAAACTCACTGATCTTAACTTATGTCGAGAAACGTAGGCAGGAGCCGGTAATCTATCAGCCCCTGATTATGAAGGAACAAATACGAAAGTAAACCTAGTACGCCGAAATAGAGATGACTAGTAACTTAAAAGGACAGTATCACCAAGCAAGATTTAGAACTATGCGATTATCTAATCCTATTATAGTGTTTATGTAAGTCAATGGAAAATCCAAAATATTGCCGCAAGTTTTGCTAAAAGTTATCATAGAGCAGTTCTACATGACGTCACGGCGGCGGCATATTGACGTTCCAAAACAATGAAACGGTGGCCATGTTGAGGTTCCAAACCAATCGTGTGGGAGTTGAAATAGTCAAGGCGAAGTTTTCAAAGTTTGATTGCGTCATTTAGAAAAAAAAGTCGCTTAAAATCCAATGGATTAGTTGACACTTTGTGACTCCCTTTTTTTCACTTATTGCAGTATTATTTGAACATGCTAAGTAAGGCCAAGATTCCAATATGGCTGACAGAAGTTGACGTTCTTGAGAAAAATCCGTTTAAACGAGCCGATGCGCTGGAAACTGTCATGAGAACTGCATTTAGCAACCCAAGTGTCCAGGGATTGATTTTGTGGAGTTTCTGGAGCCAGAGTTCTTGGAGAGGTCCTTACACTTCTCTTGTGGATGGAAACGACTGGCAGGTATCAAAAAATACCACCTACCCCTCCCTTAAGGCAACATTCACACTTACTTCTCATTTAGGGCAAAATTTTGGCTTAGGGAAGGGTAGGTGGGCAGTTTCCCAGAAACGTATGATGATCCCAAAAGATACTAATCCGCCACATTACAAACAACAAGGAATCTTGGCGGAGTTAGCTTTCGCAAAGACATCCGGGATAGTTACTGGGGACAGGCCGGTCAGCTATTGGTCAATGTTTTCCCACTCCCTAGTAACAGGGTCTCAATAGAGTACTAAAGTGATGACGTCATAAAAATGAAATTTCTGAAATTATGGGATTTGTCAGGATATTCTGAAAGAACAATGTCCAAGAGGCCTACTTGCCAAAAATGAGCATTTCGGGGCAAATTGTCTTTGAGATCTTATGGAGTTTTCTACGGATAACTGGGTTACGATATCAGAGACAATTTGCCCCTAAATGCTCATTTTTGGCAAGTAGGCCTCTTGGACATTGTTCTTTAAGAGTATTTTGACAAATCCCATAATTTCAGAAATTTCATTTTTATGACGTCACACTTTAGTACTCTATAGGGCGGTAGCTTTGAAGGTTGACAGTTATTTTTTCCAATTTTGACGGTTGACGGCTAAATTTTAGGGCTTTTGACGGTTGACGGTTTTTTAGTGAAAATTTAGTTAAAGAGTTAAAGTAACTATTAATTTCTGTATTAACGATTCCCCTTTGTAAAAGGTTTAAAACAGCGCTGACTAATGCTAACCTCACGGATATATCATGTTTTTCTATTCCGCACCGGTAGATTAACGCCGCTGGTTTGCGATATCGCAGACTCCTGCATCAATGGACCACACACGTCACGTTATCTCCCACGTTCACTGACCAAACAATTGCCTTTTTTGAAGCACGTGGATTTTTCGGAGATTACGAGGTGACATTACAACTTCCCAATGGACTGAACAGCACTCAAACCTTCACGTTGAGTCCTGGGAGTAATCCAGTCGTCATTGAACTTCATTTACCAGGTATATGTTTTATGATTTTATGCATACCTAGGCTAGGTGATTTATCTCTCGCGTAACTTTTAGGAGTGTTTTATTTTCCATGATTTACCATAGTCTATGTGGTTTATCTTATCTTTGTTAGAGCCCAGTCCAACACAAGACATAGAACAAGTGGGTCTAAAGCGACAAGATACCTCCTTAATAGGCGAAGATCCAAGAGTCTTAGCAAGTATCAGCCATGGAGGCGAAGATACTGATGACTCACAATATGAATCTGACGAAGAACAAGACAACGAATTTCCACAATCAGAAGACGATAATTCACCCGAATTTGCTGGTAAAGAAATGTCAATATTTATTCGAATTCTTGTGTCAGTTGTTCACTTTTTCATTCCTTCCCGTTTCTCACCATCACAAATTGCGTCAGTTAGTAAGGTATTCAAACTTCTGTAAGGCAAGCAATGAGTCTTCAGGTAATGGTAGAGAAGGTCCTTCGGTTAGTTTAGTAGACAATCATGCAGTCAAACATTCAGGCTGTCAGACTGTACTGTGATTCCTGTCTGTCTAATCAGACTCCAATGATAAACAAAAATAACATCGATTATTAAGAGCTTCAATGGTAATCATTCTACAGTTATTTTATATCCTTAAATAGTTTAAACTTAACTTAAGAGTACTTTGTTGGAACGTGTTGTACTGAATTACTGCGACAACGCAGTCCTTTGCATCACAGTTTTTGGAACAAACACTAAATATCAGTATTTTTTTAGTATCTTAGGGGCCTCTTAGGGGCCTAGTGGATCGCGAGCAAGCTCGGGAACAAATTTGCTAGGCGCGCAAAGCACTTTAGGGAGAGCGACTCTACGTACGTTTTCTTGTAACAGCTTTAGGACGAGAAAGACACTCAGCTGATGTTTGTGGAAACAAACCTGTTTTGCTGGATAAATGCTTACTTGAAGACAGAGGAAGAATCCATCTGACATCGGTGAAGTACATGGAATGCAACTGCTCGTGTATAGATTGTAGTGACGAAGGAGCAGTGCTTTGTCCCCAGTCGAAAGTATATAAAATAATTAAAATGAATGCCATAGAAGCGAAGTATGTCGAGTGCGAATTGCCAACAACTGTGAAAATGCAATCTTGAGATCCTTGAGAATTGAATATCGATGTGTGTAGATTTCCACCTCATTATGGCCTTTGCCGGTTCATAAGCTGATAAATTCTTTGGTAACATGTAGCGATGTAGTTACAAAGTTCAAGTTAAATATCAACCTAGATTTGAAATAATTGGCGGTCGAAATTCTTCACTCCAGAAACTATAAGGAGGATAGTTACACACCTTCGGCGCAATGATTTGTGGGATCGTCTGGGTGGACAAGCGTTACTTAGGACTGGGCACAGCTGTTTCGGATAACTCGATACCTATGTTGTCAAAAATCTTTCAGTTGTTGTTTGTTTTGTTTTTTTGAAGGGGGTGGGGGGTTCTGATAGTCTCTGGAGTGGAGAATTATCAAACTTTCAAACTAGGCTCCGAGGGAGTAAAACCAAAGAAATGAATTATTTATCCCTTAATCTCAATGTGATTTCTTTTTTTGCACCCCTTAGCTTCGGAACCAGGTCTGAATTTTTAAATATTTCGAAACTGGCCTATAACCTTTACTCTATTTTGTGGAAAACGACACTTATTTCTAAAAGGGGGAATTGGGAAAGGTTAAAGCACTAAAGAGGGACTGAAATCGCAGTTAAGTCTTATTTCGAACAAGTAAACGTCAGTGATAGTAGAATTCGCTTTAAATCATGGATAAACCTTTTTGATTATCTACAAGTTGTATTACTATAATAATAATAATAAAATAATCTTTATAGAGGAAGCTCCCATCACATAAAGTGTTTTCCAGGGAAGTCCTCTGACTAAGATTAAACAATATTAAAACTACTGATAACAGTCAAATCTAAAAGACTAGTGGTTATCAGTTAAAAGGCTAAAAAGGCTAAATGACTAAAAAAGGCAAAAAAAGTAATAACAATAGAATCAGACTAAAAGATTTAACTATCGAAAAAACAAAGGCTAACGACTAAAAGCAGAAAATAATTTAGATGAGCTGAATAGCTTAAGCCTGATTTTAGGGAAAATAAAATCTTAAATAAAAGCAGAATGAAGTTTTATTTAGTTTGCTTCCTGAAGATTCTTTCCAGGTCAAGTGCGCGCTTGTTTGGACGCCGTACTGAGTTCTGCTGGAATGAAAGGGTCCTTATGATTGGTCCATATGGGACCAAAAATCCGTGTATGTAAAAACCGTGTTACTGACGTACCAAGAGCTCTGAGGCCAACATGACTAGATATTTACTGATATTTTGTATTTTTATGGAACACAAAACAAGAAATTAAAGAGGCAAATATCGAGCTATGTTGACACAAAAAGTTAAGGCAGCTCAATGAGCGATTTATCATATGGCCAAAAGTATTTTTATTTCTTGCAACTTAAGAAGGGAAATCCCGCGAGGGGAAGAGAAGCTAATATTTCCTGCTTGGGTAGCTAATCCGAACACACACATTGCTTCCTCGGATCTCCTCTTCGAATCCAGCCAAATGACAAACTTACTTTTTAAATCAGTCTGCTGGTTGAATGAGCAAGGCATCAACACCTATTAACTTTTGCAGGTGTTGAAAGATGTTTGAAGCACCAATCATAGGTCAGTCACCTGTCGTTGACACTTGACTAAAGTGATCTTTTCCACTTCCTATGAAATTTCCATGTGGAAATCACCACCTTCAAAAGAAAAACATCGCAGGATGAGGACATGTCTTGAAATTCTTTCACTCTAATGAAAGAATGAAACGCATGCTACGCCGGTGACTTGCGAACGTCAAATCTAAGAATTTGCTTTCAAATCTAATTGTAAGTACAGATCGATCTTCTCAATGACATAAATGGTGTTTACGATTTCTAGAACGACTGTTTTTGGATTTATTGGTGAAGTTCTTATTAAGGAAGTAAACAGCGGTTCGCATTACATTTTTCCCTCCATAGGGGGAAATCGTGAACCACTAGAAGTAATATTCTTTTGAAAACTTGGACCGCAGCTTTCGATACGAAACCAGTACGAACATGAGGCTCACTGCGTCCCTGCAGACAGTTACTGTCGTAATAAGAGTTTTTAATCTTACACGCTCTTGTTTAGAATTGATTCGCTTCTTGCTTTTGTTTACCTGTAAAAATACAGAGGATCTACATCGTAGATATTGGTTTGATTTGAAGGTACTCGTTTAAAATGTTATAACAAACTTATATTCATACTGAGATTCACCGTTATACAACTACTTATTACTGCAGTTTATCGCGTTAACTTGATCTTGAACGCTTCTCATGTCAGTGTCAATTTACAATCGTCCGCCAGTTTAGAAACTGTTCAATCCCATTCGCTACTCTAGAAACGCAAACGAGACTAGACCGAGTTAACTTTCGCAAGAACGTCTGGAACTGTTGCTAGGGACAGCGAAAAAATTGGCAAACAGTTCATCAGTGCGCCCTCAGTAACAATACCAGAAACAATTGCGGGACATATTTCAGCTCCAAATCACTTTTTACTTTTTTCCCTGATATCCAGATTGATTCCAGAAGAATAAATTTGGATTTTATTAAGTTTAACTCCTGATCTTTTAAACACCTTACTTTCGTCACTTTATATTAATTGTTTGTTTGTTTGTTTGTTTGTTTGTTTCTTGAAGAGGTGTATATTTAGGAAGGATCATAGGAAGGGTTGGAGACGACGAGACAGGTGGTGATAGAGCATGAAAGCTCCATGAAAGGCTTCTTAATATTTGTGCTGCTGGAAGTTTTTGAACTTTTATACGCACAGAAAGGTACATCATTTCGCCTCTTTACAAACGAGAAAGAAACTGGGCCCGAGTTAGCTTTCGAAAAGACTGCTGGGATTGTGGGGACTTCTGGGATTCTGGGATACTGGGGACGCGCCGGTCAGCTATTGGTCAATTTTTTCCCTGTCTCCAATAAGAGACCCAGAAGTCTTTGCGAAAGTTAACTCGGCCCATGCTTCAATGGCTCATAACGAATTGTAACCTTGAGTATCAAACGCAGGTTTCTAACAAAAGTGTACGATTTTTACCTGCAGTTTATGATTACCTCGGTTGTTGGAAATATGTTACCAGCAATGACAGCAAGTTTCTTCCGAAAATCATCTTATCACCTGCAAAGAATCACGTTTCAGCAGTACATGACTGTGCTCTAGCTGCGCGCTCGCGTGGGATCCCTGTGTTTGGAATAAGAAACAGTTCGGAATGCTTGGGTAGCGTACACTCCGCACTAACCTACATGAGGTATGGTCCATCTAATGAGTGTTACAATGGCACAGGGGGACCAACAGCTATGGACGTCTACAGTTTGGAAGGTAATTACAACACAGAATTCGATTTGGACGCACAATATCAACAACAACAATTTCTGTAATTTTTCTTGATTACACTTTCTTGTCACGCAGTTGCCAAAGGAGCTAGTCGTGGCGTGTCAAAATTGCCGAGATCAACGTTTCTGCAATCTGTCTGTTTGGCAAGTGTCCAAGACTCTTTCCAAACTCGATTATTTAGGATAAACTCTATTCGAAATTAACGACTGCTTCATCCCATATAACTAACTATTATATTATTTTCCTTTTAACAACATCTTCATTTTTTAATTTTCCATTGTTGTTAAAAACTGTAATTTTTATGTCATATGTGTTTTTTTTTACACCACAACGTAAGTTGGGCAATTGAATCTCAGGAAAATGATAGTTTCATACAATAAATCGTCATTTTTGTTTGTTTGAATGAGCTGCATTGCGCTCCATTCTCTCTGAATGAGTGCCATTCGATTTTGAGAAAAACAGGAGGGAAAGTAGAAAACTCCACAGAGCAAATTCTCATTGACAAAATCAGTCTGTAATGTTAGGTGCTTTTATCACCAGGAAACAAACGTCACTTACGCGTAGACGAAGAGCAGGAAAAAAGAAACTTTATCTATGATCTCTACAGCTCTACATATGCAATAAAAAAGAACGACTTTGCTCAGAATATTCCATCAAATGCTGCCAGACACCCATTGGTTAAAGGTGGTCACGTGAGACCGGTAATGCTGCAGCCTCTCTTTAAGGAAATCGACGAACGCGATTTTGGTGGTAGGTGATTATCTGCGTGCGCAAGCAATTTCACTTACAGATCTTTTCACTTGACGTCACGGCGGCCATTTTGGTGCACAAAATAATGAATCGATGGCCATGTTGGTTCTGTACCAAAAACATCCTGTGGGGATTGAAGCCTTTTCTTTTCTTATGCAAAACCTTCTTTTCCAAGAAATTTTCTGCTGCTGACCACGTGAGTGAGAACAATGTATAAACAGTAGCTGGTTGAAGCAGGGGCTAGGCAAGGAGGGGGCGGGGAGAGTAACGTACGAGCTGGTCACCTCAGAGATTGAGTGGTAGCTAGGTGTTAGGCTATTAGCTTAAAGACGCTTGTCAATTTTAGGGAATTTTACGCTTCTTATTAGCTTTAGAAAGGCGCGCAAAATGGAACAATCGAAGTGCAACAGCTCATTATCAAAGCAACTAATTAGAACTGACAAATAATCTAATTGCGTCTTGCTCCGATAGTCCCCTACTTGGACCCACAAGCTACTGACATGCTTGGTTTAATTTCTATAAGTGGTTTCCTTGAAAATGATTTACTTTGGGGATTATTAATTCGTCTTTGAATTTTCAGCATACAGACCTCCAGTGAGTGGAACGAATATTCTGACCAATCCAAGCTTTGAGGATCCGTTGATTAATGACCCGGTAAAAGGTTGGAGCTGTCAGGGTGAGACGGATGATCCTCGGGGCGGTGTTATTGCACGGTATACCCAGGAATATCCAAAACAAGGGCAATACAGTGGGATTTGTCTGGCTCGATTGTCTGAATGGGCAGGACCTGGACAGTATGTAGGTGAGCCAAGTGAATTCCTACAACTGTAACAATTGTAAATTCCTCTCGTCAATTGTTATGATTTGTCCCCTTCGTAGTGCACCTGCAATCCGTGACATAAGAACTTGGGTCAATTGAAGGAATAACGTTGACGTGTTGTGCTCCTTGTGCGCGACCTCCTTTTCCCTGTTCCTTTCAATGTTGGCCTCGAACTTGGACAATTCCACCGAAAAAACGATTACAAAACAACATTGGAATAGAGAAAGACAGGTATCAGAGCAGTGTGACCCAACTTGAATGTCCTTGATTGTGTGTGTTATAGCGAAAAACAACCATATCGAGGAAAATTTAATTGTCTGAAATAATGAATGTCTGAATGAGTGAGACGATGGCTAAACTCATAGCTGCTATCCTAGGCTCTGACTGATTTTTTTTTTTTTTTTTTTACAGGAAACAGAGTTTTGCCAGGTCGAGTCTACAAGTTCGAAGGATGGACAAAGCTTTTGGATCGCAAACGAACAGGAGACATTCACAGTCTTGAGCTGTGGCTCAGGTATAAGAAAAGAGGAGATAAAGAACAGAAAAATAAACTGCTCGCTAAAAGGACTAAATATTCACAAGGTAAATATGAATAAATGATAAAAAGCATTCAGTACGACTTTGATCATGTTCTTCTTATTAGTATTGCCATGATTTTTTAAAAGCTTCACCCTAAAAGTTTCATTTAGCTGGAAGCATGAAGCGGTAGGTGTGAGATCGAAAAATAGATGGCCATGAAAACGACATTGAAATTCCAACTCGGTCAATGTCCCCCCGGAACTCTTCCTCTATCTTACCAGCGCGCAGGGGGGAGAGGGGGAGGCGGAGGTGAAGGTGCTCCCCTTATATCAGAGACGTCTAGGCTAACCTGAGATCAGGCTCCATTTTCGTTTCGTAAGAAAATTTAAAGAATGCGTGAGAACTGCTAAAATTGGGCCTGATCTCAGGTTACGTCTGGGCAGACTAGGCTGAATTGACTTGAAAGGCTAGTATTCATAATAACTGTCATACCACTGGTGCAAATTATTTACGCTATTATCTGCTGTTGAAGAACACCAGAATTAGTAAAAATATTTCAGAAAACATATTTCCTTACATTCTAGACTACGGCTGGGTGCGCTGGCAGACTGCGTTTGAGATTCCGCTCGCCAGAGCAGGATTTCAGTTCGTCTTTATTTACTTCAAAGGACCAAAGCCAACTGTCGATATTCTATTGGATGACTTGTATCTTGAGGAAATACTGCAACCATCTGACTGGAAAAGGAACAGTGATATTTTGATCAATAAATACAGGAAACGAAACATTCAATTCAGGTTTGGAATGAGTTTGGTTTTATGAAAATGAACTCAATTCTGTCGTTTTCTTTTAAGTTGTTTTATCTCATTATAAGTAATTTATGGATTTTTTTCAGAGTGAATATCACAGGCTCTCGTTATACTTCAGATCTGCTCCCAAAACTTAAGATCAAAGTAAGTTCGATACGTTAGCGGACATTTAGGCTGTGTTTAAATTATACAATTTCTGATCTTTCTGTAAATCAAAAATGTTCAGTAGAGACACTAGCGACCTTTGGTTATGTTTACTTGGGTTTTCTCATGTAGCTTTGACTCTGAGGATGTATAATCATCCAAATGAAGCCTACTAAGCAGTCCTTTTCCTATACATTGACCACTCCAAAGAAAGCCGTTCAGAAGCACGTTTCCAAACAATGTCCCTATCCATTCATTGGGATAATTGGGTTCTGGATGCATGATGCTGTAGTAAACATACAATGTACTAGCAAGTCTCCCAACCAGAAAACACGAAATTTCAGCTGTTTTATTCTCTTTTTTAATGTTCTATTCTATTCATACTCTAACTGGTTTACAAGCGCATTGACGTGTAAAAGTTTGTCGCCTGGTTTATGCGCATCTTCAAATGACCCGTGTGTAAAACATGACGTTTTTTTTCCCTTAGGTAAAACAGAAATCGCATCTTTTTGCCTTTGGTGCTGCAGTGAATAGTAACTTTCTGCTGCACAAACCCGAATATCACGATTTTTACCTGAAAAACTTTCATTGGGCCGTCCTGGAAAGTTCGTTAAAATGGGGTTACGTCGAACCTAAATTGGTGAGTTATTTACTAGAGTCATGACTTTTTTCAAACACGTACTCAGAAACTACTTATTTGCTTTGTGGGCATTAGAAAACGGGATACTTAAAGGGATTGAAGCAAATCGATATCATATGAATTACTCCTTCTCGTGTTTGATAAATTACTTCTAAGTGTTTGGGTATCAGATAAAACACTCCTTCTTGTATTTGGACATCAGATGAAACACTTCTCCTCGTGCTTGACATGTAACTTCTCAGTGTTTGGATATCAGACAGATCAAGCACTCCGTCGACTCGTGTTTAAAATATCACTCCTCGGTGTTTACGTATGAAATAAAACTCTCCTTCTCGTGTTTGATAAACTACTTAGAGGTGTTTGGTTATCTGTTGAAACACTCTTTCGCGTGCTGATTATCGCTTCTCTGTGTTTGGGAATCAGTTTAGATATTGCTTTGGTGTTTGGGTATTAGATGAAACACAATGCTGCTTATCGTGTTTGACAAGTGTTTGGATACCACATGAAACAATACTTGTCGTGTCAAACGAATTACTCCATTTGCTACTATTTTGTTGTTCTTAGAGTCGAAATATGCAAAATAAAAAGCAAATTTACTATTCTAACTGCACTGTGTGTTATAACTGACGCACCGTTTGCGTTTTGAACTTATTTTAGGTACCTTTCGCTTCAGGGTCACATAAGTTATGACATTGCGGATAAAGCTGTGGCTTTTCTCCAAGCTAACAAGTAAGCCAACTCAAGGTTGTCCTTGTTATACCACTATGATGATAGCGCTTCCTGATAACTCTACTTGTACACCTAACATGCATGTCAATCTAAATTTTGAAACCTATTGATTATTGAATAGGTACCAGAAATTCATGCCCTATTTAGACTTACTCTCCCCCTCTCTCAATAAGAGAAAAAAGGGAGCTCTCGACTGCACGCTGAGATGCCTCGTAATGCGCGGTTAAGATGCATTTTCTTGTTCACAAACTGTGATAAATGCTGCAAAATATGTGATTTTTTGCGATTTTTTGTATATTTTTTCTAGTTTTGCGAATTCTATAGCCGTTTTTTAGAGACTTCTTCAAACGTATGTGCGTTTTCCCTAATTTTCTTTACCTTCATCCCTGGTAGAAATGTTTGTGTTAAATCAGTCCTGAAGGTAACGTTTGGTCATTTCACTCATAATATTTATGTCACATTGTTTACGTTTTAGCAAGATGATCCGTGGCCATTGCGTTTTCTGGGCGGTCGACACAGAGGTTCCATTTTGGGCGAAGAAGCTCCCCAACGATAAGCTCAAGAAAAAGATGAAGGAAAGATTACAAACTCTTCTCTTTAGATATCGAGGACGGTGAGTCAGTGCTCCTATCCTCTTTTAAAAAACAGATTGTTTTCGAAATATGTTGTTCGTACATGAGGAATTCCGAGTTTCCCTTAGCGGTACCTAGCTATGCACGTCAGTAGAAAGGGCTTGCAAAAAGAAGAAACTTGGAACATGTTTTACCTTTCTGGAAATTGGGCAGCCCTGTTTCAACACTTTCTAAAGGAATGAAAAAAGCCTTAAGCCTCTCTGACGTAAAAGACTAACCCTACCTGTTACGTTTGTAGCTTTATGCAATGGGATGTTAACAATGAAATGCTACATGGTTCTTTTTTTCGCGGATCGCGAAGGATTAGCCATCCGAGACTGGATGTACTTAACAGCGGCTAGTGTTGATCCCGGCGTTGATTTATTTGTCAATGATTTCGATGCTGTAGAAAATGGCCAATTAACCCAGGTAAGTTATAGTGTATCGCTGAAAATTCTTGGAAATTAGTGGAGGGAAAGTCTAGTTTAAGCAACATTCACTCACTGAAATGTTTATTCAAGCGTTATTTGCATTAATAAAATGAGTGAGTTTGAAAGTTTCCTTGCCAGATACTTACGTTTAAGAACTGTGGAAAGGAACAAATTTTCCCAAATTCTTAACATTTTCGATTTGCTTGTGTATCAGAATGACAAACATAATCATGCGTCTCAATTTCACCAGGCCTTCCTTGAAGAAGTCCAGGATTTATTATCACGAGGAATTCCGCTGGACGGAATTGGAGTTCAGGGTCATTTCACTGGTCACGTGAATCCAACACTTCTTCAAGTAAGTACGTAGTTTTTGACACTTTGATAAGAATTTCACTCAAGTCACTGAAACCATACCAAGGGAGAATACCAAATTATGCACTCAAGCATACGTACCAACTCCCCGGTATGGCCAGTACCTTACGCATGCGCACAACCATATCACTCCGGCAGTGGAAGCCATGCACAGCTGTTTCGCCCTTATTGGGGCTTATCATCATGGCATAGTCATTGGATCAATAAGCAGGGGAACGCGCTATCAAAGGCGCTTTAGCCCAGTCTAGCCCATTGAAAATGTGATTTTCACCATTGATCCAGTTACTTCTAGATCAATTAAACGCTTGGAATTAATCGGTAGTTGATTTCCAGAGGCAAACTTTTATTCAGTGTTGTAAACAGAGAATTTAGGGACATTGTGCTCTCTTGGTGTGTTGACATTACAACATTCTGCATTGTTCGCTTTGAGGAAGTCGCGCGCATGGACTTGATGACGTTTCAAACAATGATAAAATGTGCGGACGTCCCAGGAATTAGACTTCCGTTTAATCACAACCTCTTAAAATAAAGCCCTCAGATTACCTCTTTGTCTCGTTATTATCTCTTGCTCAAATCTTTAAAACTGGACAGAAACTCACTGATCTTAACTTATGTCGAGAAACGTAGGCAGGAGCCGGTAATCTATCAGCCCCTGATTATGAAGGAACAAATACGAAAGTAAACCTAGTACGCCGAAATAGAGATGACTAGTAACTTAAAAGGACAGTATCACCAAGCAAGATTTAGAACTATGCGATTATCTAATCCTATTATAGTGTTTATGTAAGTCAATGGAAAATCCAAAATATTGCCGCAAGTTTTGCTAAAAGTTATCATAGAGCAGTTCTACATGACGTCACGGCGGCGGCATATTGACGTTCCAAAACAATGAAACGGTGGCCATGTTGAGGTTCCAAACCAATCGTGTGGGAGTTGAAATAGTCAAGGCGAAGTTTTCAAAGTTTGATTGCGTCATTTAGAAAAAAAAGTCGCTTAAAATCCAATGGATTAGTTGACACTTTGTGACTCCCTTTTTTTCACTTATTGCAGTATTATTTGAACATGCTAAGTAAGGCCAAGATTCCAATATGGCTGACAGAAGTTGACGTTCTTGAGAAAAATCCGTTTAAACGAGCCGATGCGCTGGAAACTGTCATGAGAACTGCATTTAGCAACCCAAGTGTCCAGGGATTGATTTTGTGGAGTTTCTGGAGCCAGAGTTCTTGGAGAGGTCCTTACACTTCTCTTGTGGATGGAAACGACTGGCAGGTATCAAAAAAATACCACCTACCCCTCCCTTAAGGCAACATTCACACTTACTTCTCATTTAGGGCAAAATTTTGGCTTAGGGAAGGGTAGGTGGGCAGTTTTCAGAAACGTATGATGATCCCAAAAGATACTAATCCGCCACATTACAAACAACAAGGAATCTTGGCGGAGTTAGCTTTCGCAAAGACATCCGGGATAGTTACTGGGGACAGGCCGGTCAGCTATTGGTCAATGTTTTCCCACTCCCTAGTAACAGGGTCTCAATAGAGTACTAAAGTGATGACGTCATAAAAATGAAATTTCTGAAATTATGGGATTTGTCAGGATATTCTGAAAGAACAATGTCCAAGAGGCCTACTTGCCAAAAATGAGCATTTCGGGGCAAATTGTCTTTGAGATCTTATGGAGTTTTCTACGGATAACTGGGTTACGATATCAGAGACAATTTGCCCCTAAATGCTCATTTTTGGCAAGTAGGCCTCTTGGACATTGTTCTTTAAGAGTATTTTGACAAATCCCATAATTTCAGAAATTTCATTTTTATGACGTCACACTTTAGTACTCTATAGGGCGGTAGCTTTGAAGGTTGACAGTTATTTTTTCCAATTTTGACGGTTGACGGCTAAATTTTAGGGCTTTTGACGGTTGACGGTTTTTTAGTGAAAATTTAGTTAAAGAGTTAAAGTAACTATTAATTTCTGTATTAACGATTCCCCTTTGTAAAAGGTTTAAAACAGCGCTGACTAATGCTAACCTCACGGATATATCATGTTTTTCTATTCCGCACCGGTAGATTAACGCCGCTGGTTTGCGATATCGCAGACTCCTGCATCAATGGACCACACACGTCACGTTATCTCCCACGTTCACTGACCAAACAATTGCCTTTTTTGAAGCACGTGGATTTTTCGGAGATTACGAGGTGACATTACAACTTCCCAATGGACTGAACAGCACTCAAACCTTCACGTTGAGTCCTGGGAGTAATCCAGTCGTCATTGAACTTCATTTACCAGGTATATGTTTTATGATTTTATGCATACCTAGGCTAGGTGATTTATCTCTCGCGTAACTTTTAGGAGTGTTTTATTTTCCATGATTTACCATAGTCTATGTGGTTTATCTTATCTTTGTTAGAGCCCAGTCCAACACAAGACATAGAACAAGTGGGTCTAAAGCGACAAGATACCTCCTTAATAGGCGAAGATCCAAGAGTCTTAGCAAGTATCAGCCATGGAGGCGAAGATACTGATGACTCACAATATGAATCTGACGAAGAACAAGACAACGAATTTCCACAATCAGAAGACAATGATTCACCCGAATTTGCTGGTAAAGAAATGTCAATATTTATTCTTGTGTCAGTTGTTCACTTTTTCATTCCTTCCCGTTACTCACCATCACAAATTGCGTCAGTTAGTAAGGTATTCAAACTTCTGTAAGGCAAGCAATGAGTCTTCAGGTAATGGTAGAGAAGGTCCTTCAGTTAGTTTAGTAGACAATCATGCAGTCAAACATTCAGGCTGTCAGACTGTACTGTGATTCCTCTCTGTCTAATCAGACTCCAATGATAAACAAAAATAACATCGATTATTAAGAGCTTCAATGGTAATCATTCTACAGTTAATTTATATCCTTAAATAGTTTAAACTTAACTTAAGAGTACTTTGTTGGAACGTGTTGTACTGAATTACTGCGACAACGCAGTCCTTTGCATCACAGTTTTTGGAACAAACACTAAATATCAGTATTTTTTCAGTATCTTAGAGGCCTCTTAGGGGCCTAGTGGATCGCGAGCAAGCTCGGGAACAAATTTGCTAGGCGCGCAAAGCACTTTAGGGAGAGCGACTCTTCCCAAAGGCCTTTGCCAGTATACCCTTTAAACTTCCCAAGTTTCCTGAGGCAGTTATTTGTTTGATTGTATACATTGCAATAATCCTCAGATCCTTTGAAGTCTTCAGCTGGATTATACATTGGTTGCTTTGACAACACGGAATCCCTCACCCAACTCAAGTACCGATACGAAGGGCATCCGGCCATGGTCCCGGATGTATGCATCAACCACTGTGCTTCAAAGGCATTTCCTTTCGCTGGTCTGTTAATGGCGTCGGAATGCTTCTGTGGAGCTTATTTCAACGATGACGCGGAAGTTGATAATGAACACTGCAAGCTACCATGTCAAGGTGACTTTCGGAGAAGCTGCGGTGGACGTAAACACATTGCAATTTATTCTACAGGTTTGAGTAACACTTTTTGAGTACCTTTGAGCATGTAAGATGGACTTGCTTCGAAAAATGGCCCTCAAAAGGTGAATGTTCGTAACGACACGTTCTCATTTTTTTTCCACGTTAAGATATGTAATAGGCTCAGGTTTTACGATAGCGTTATTTGGCTTCGAGATTATATTTTCCTGGGTAAATCAACGGGCTCATTTATATTTTGAAACCTCCTGGATTGCAAAATTTTAAACTAGCGCCAGAAAACAATTAAGTGCATTCTGAGAGTTGAAGCAAAATTATACCATGGTAAAAATGACTCAAATGGGCCATTCGCAGGCCTCAAGTTGCCTTTTTTTTTCCCTTTCCTTTTCCTTTTTTTTCCCCACATAAATTTAGTGAACATAAAAGGTTACTGACTAACTCAATTTTACTTTCAGAGTTGTCCTCATCTCCAGCCCAGAATTTCACCGAGAAGAGGCAAATGGGAGTGTTTTGATACAAACAATAAAAATTTGGAATCAAGTCTACCTCGTAGTTACACATGTACATACAATATATTATGTCACTGATGTCCAACTCTGTGCACAATTCGAATATTTTATTAATGATCAGCTACAGTAGCTCTTTACCAGTGCAAATTATATGGAGACTTTGTTCATAGAATTTCCCTCATTCTTGTTTTGATATTCAAGCAACTCATCATCAACTCAATAAAGCAGGATAAGGCGCTTCAAAAACATTGGTAATTTATGCACAGCAATTTATATGGGATTAATTGGTCAAATAGCCGTTTGGGTAATGCTTCATATAAACCCGACTTCTGCAACGCTTTTGTTCTTTGAACGAATTGCACTTCTCTCTCGTAATTCGTATACATACGTATAAATTACTCAAATAGCCGTTTGGGTAATGCTTCATATAAACCCGACTTCTGCAACGCTTTTGTTCTTTGAACGAATTGCACTTCTCTCTCGTAATTCGTATACACAGCACGCGTACTTTCACGGATGCACATGCAGTGTCATGGGTAAAATGACAAAGGACTCTTTTGATTATGACTGGCCATTTCCCGGGGGGGGGGGCAGTTTAATAATATTTTTAGCCCTTATGGTGTATATATTGTCTATATATAACTAAGCAAAAGTCAATAAATGCTGATCTTTTATTTTATTATGTTGTGGATTTTTGCTTACTCATACCCTTTCTTTAAAAGTTCAGTAACCCACCAAACCAAACGCACTGTGACATGGAAATTAGAGTTATTTTTTTGTCAGTCAGTTAAGAGAAAAAGCTTATTCCGAATAGACTTCAAAAGAAAACTAAATAAATGGCGAATGCATATTCCTAATTTTGTGTGGTGGTTTGTGAAAAAGCTCTCCCGGCAGATTAAGAATCTCGTGAACAATAGCCTCACAATTTTTTGAATTTTCCTGAGCTTGAGACAGTGTACGTTAAGAAGTCTCGGTATCAGCGATCCGTATTTAAGAGGCGCCCGTGACAGATGAGTCCGTATTTATTATTTGTACCACTAAATACTTGAGGTAGGTTGATTTCTTGACTGCATCTTTATAAGCGTCGCCCGCTCCAAATTCCCAAGAAGAGTCGTTTAAGATTGGAGATGCGGAAAACTCAGCCATAAAATGCAATATATAGAGAGAAAAATGATTAGTATTTCTATTATTTCTCGGGTTACCAGTAAAAGGTTGTTTAAGGGTGGCTGGTCGCACTGAATAGAGGTTCCTCATATACTTGGCAAAATGTTTAGCAAAACACTTTATTTCGAAACAAGCACGAGATGCATGATGGGAGCGGCTACTGGTCCACAATCAGTCGCCACCTTCCTTCTCGGACTGAATTTTCCCACATCATTTTTTTTTTTTTTTTTTTTTTTTCAAAATATAGCCAAAACACGTGTATCACGCCCTTGATGACCGCTTGATGGAGGTAGCAAAAACTGGAGAATTAATTCTCTTGAAGGGATTGACAACGAGGAAGCCGCGGCCGACTGATTCAAGACTGATGAAAGTGGCTGCTTAATATAGGTGATCGCTTGATGGAGATTCAACTAGGAAAGAAACTTTCATTGTCAAGATCATTAAGTCCTTTATCTTAAGTGAGTTACCATTATCATAGTTCGTTAATATATGCATGTACGTACAATCGATTAACTATTAAACAAACATTAGTATTCCTATTGTCAGAGCGTGGTATTGTGACTGATTTTCAAGACAATATATATTTCCCTTTTTGTTCTCTATTTGTTTGATTACTCCCTAGCGAATTACCTCTGGCTTTATGCAAAACACTTGAAACGTTTTGAATGTTAAGTTCGAAGCGAGGTAGAACGTTGTAGCCACGAAAGCAAAAGAAAGCTCTGAAAAAGACAAGGTTAGTAGGTTTATTTCATTTCTGTTACTTTCCCGTGCTGAAATCGGTGTTAAAAGCGCTTTTCTGTATAATTAACGTAAGATAAATTAGCATTCTTGTGTATTCCAGGAATTAACACGCTTTAGCAATCGGGTCCGACTTACTTCAAGAGAGGAGGAGCAGACTCGCAGGCCTTCAGATCGAGCGCTAGTTAAAGACATAAAAGAACATAGAAAAGTTGGTTTTGATCCTAATGTCACTCAAATTGCGCTAATATACCATTAACAAGTCACATTTTACTTAGTCGGTTCAGGCAACTCGTCAAAAGTGTTGTTTATGTCTAAGGACCTCAAATCTAATTATCTTTTTCTCTAAGAGTTCTTGCTCATCTGAATAGTTCTTATGTATTAAATCATTAGAGCAAAAACAAAAACATTCCAAAACTCAGAGCAAAAAAGGTAAATGAAACAAATTCGAAGATCCACGATTATTATGTATGGAAGGTGCAGTACCTCAAAAGGAGTCATTGTTATCGTTCGATTCGCTTTTCATTCTACCACAGGCGGACTATTCGAACTGTTTGACGCATCGTGATGCCACACGCAACATACATTTACTGTAGTTCATAACGCCCGCATTCGGCTTGATTCAAATGACTGGTAGAAATGCTTCATAAACACAAAATTTTGCACCTTTTAATCCCAAACGTTGATATAATGTAAGAAAAATGACTAAAGATAACTTACCGTATGTTTTTAGTGTCGTGTTTCCCGTTTTTGTGGCGTTTTCAACGCTTGAAGCTGACACGCCCGACTAAAACATAAAGGTGCAAAATTCTGTGTTTTATGAAGTACCGATCACTTGAATCAAACCAAATGCGGGTGTTACGAAATACAGTAAATGTATGGGATCACATGTCGCGCGTGACATCACGATGCCTCGAACAGTTCAAATGGTCCGCCTGTGATTCTACCGTTTTGCTTTCGAGGTTTTTTTTTTCCACAGGGTTTGGGAGGGTATTCTCGGGATCCCACGGGATTTGACTAAAATACAGAGCGGGATGTGGGAAAATGTGAGATTTGTTGACAGGGTACGGGATTTGACTGCTACAAAGGGGGAGCGATCGAGATTCACTAAAATCTTGGGGAAAAAACGGTATTCGGGAAAGAGATGACAGAAGTGTGGGATTTGGGTTTGACTTGACAAAGAAATGGGAAAGCGGGATTAGGGAGGTTACGCGACTTTCACGGTCAATTTTTCCTCGCTGGAGCAAGGAACAAGTCATATTTTTAGTGATGAGACCATTTCCAAAAATGTTCCAAACGAAAGTTTGCTCAGTCCTCAAAAGTTTATAAGCAAAAAGTGTTGAAAGCTTAGTTCATTGCCATTAAAATTAGACCATTGTAGAAATATTTTTGTTGCTGTTGTTTTTATGTCCTCAAACTGATGCTCCCTTCACCGGAGTGACATTTTGGTCAGAAGACCATGCGCAACCGGAACCGGGCAACCCGGAAAACATACATATCGGGATTGTAACCTACTTTTATTTCTTCAAAGGCATGCCAAAAAGGAAAAAGGATTCGGCTAACGAGGTTTTAAAAAAGAAGAGTAACGGCGATCGGAGCCATAATAACTCGTTTCGCATGAAGAGTTTGAGCTCTGAGGAAAGTTTGGCGAAGAAAGACGATGAATATGATCTACACGAGGTAAGCCGACCAGATCTCCCGGGACCGTGACATAGACAATGATACTCTTTGATTGACTTAACTTGTAGGAATCGGGAAACGAAAAAATGGAAATGCTTCGTTTATAAGTGGAAGTGTACTTTGCCTTGCTATCCACTTCTAAATGGGAAAAGAAAATAATTACAAAGGCAAGTAAGGAAATGAAACAAGGTATGGCTGAAAGCTCAAAGTTAAAATGGGAGGCAAATCAGTTGGCTACTTAAAAGAGAGCACCTAGAAGAAAAAAGAAACCTCTCTTGCTATGTAGCAAGTGTAACCTCTCGCCCAATCTTATACCCGATGCTCTCCAGGTGACTCTCTAAAGAAGGGCATGAAACCGTGAGTAAAGACCGCTGAAAATAATTACGCGTGATACGCTGAGGCTGTATTCACACTATACGGGATAATTTTTGCACCGTCTCGAAAACCATACCGTATAAGCTTCTGTTCACATATAATAACAGTGATTTCGGCGCGATTTAGGAGCGAAGCTGCGGTAGCGCCGATCTCGAAAGTGGAGAGTGACAAATCGGATAGCAGTTCATACTATACCGAATCGAATCATTTCTCATTAATTAAAAGCTCGGTTTCGTTTTTGCAGACAGCCAATGTGGCGACCATATTTTTGAGGCTCCGGCCTGTTGAATAAAGTAGGTTTGAAACAGGAACTTCCGCCTGGTGCAGAGTCGAATCTTTATGATGCTACATTTGCGTGATCTTATTGAAATTTACATTCTGGGCCTGCATTAAAAAGTTTACATAGGAAGTGTTGAGGACATGTCAAACTCTGACAAGACCCTATTTTGAAAAGAATGGGATTAACATAAGTCAACATCGGCAAACATCACATCACCCGAATCGTGCAAGTTAAAGATTTTTGATTGATTTTCTTGGTACTATACGCCGCACAAAGAGCAAAAATTGCTCAGAAAATGTATTCAAGTTCTGCTCAAGGACTTCTGCTATTTGAGAGAGAATGTATGAATGTATCGCAGGATTACAAGGTCATCGTTTGCAAAGTTACTAAGAATGCAAATCCAAAGTAACTGCAACTGACAGGAGCATTAATTTTAAAATACACTTCGCGAAGAGATCACAGTTACCAGAACTAGTCTTCCGGAATTTTAGTTTTCTCAATATTAGTCGCCCTTAGATGCTTAAGTATTGCTAATCAACTTGTTTTAAGATCATAGATGATAAGTTTGCTTTCTTAACTTTGAATTAACTTGCAGAAAGCCCCTAAATCACAGCAACTCCATCAGGCTGCCATGTCCGGTGATGAAGGAACTGTGGAGGCATTGATTTCCAAAGGAGTGGGTGAGTGATTTGACCCCCTCTTCCAGCGAGAAGGTATAAACAAGACTGCATGATTGACGAGAACAATGGTTTAATCCTTAGAGAAAAATGAAGGAATATATCGCACTGATATGATCTAGATGGGGCTAGGATGAGATGTTAAGTGGTGGACTGCAGCAGCCAGAGATTATTTTTAAACGTATGCGAAATAAAAAGCCATAAGAAAGTTCACATATTTTCGGATCGTAACCCCTAAACTACATTATCAAAAACTACTCACGAGGTTTTAGGACCCCAGAGCTGCAGACCATCAGGTGAGAAGGGGCCCAGGACCGTTTAACGATCTGGGATCCTAATAGAGGGTTCCAGATTCCTCAAAGTTATGCTGATGCTCTTATATAACTTAAATTGTAAAGATCTGGGCTCCAGTCTCCACGCTTGGGTGAATGTGTCTAACTCTCTATGCTTTTGCAATCTTGTTTGAATAAAACCGATCTCAAAGTGAACGACGAAGATTTTTATTTGATTTTAAGTCTGTGGACGAAATCGCGTTATGCAATCATTCCATGAAACCCCTTCAGCAGCACTTCTACATGATACTTGTTTTGTACTTAATCCTAACTTTTGAGTACATAGACAAAATCCTGTGGTCTGGGGAGGTGTGACCATTCAAATGAAACCTCAGGTGCATCTTTCACATAGTACTTTTTGTTATTCAGCATTTCACTTTGGCCACTTGTCGGAACGAAAATTAACAAAGTCTTGCAAATAAAACATACCGTAAGTCCTCTATTAAGCACCCCCTTCTCAAATAAACCCCCACTCTGTAATAACCGCCCCCCTTTTTTTCAGGGGAAGAAAGTTAATAAGCGCACCTCTCTTTTAATTATTTCTCACTAATAAATGATGGACTGTATTAATCAATCACCTCTGTAAAACGTCGTGTGGACTGATCCGGGACGGTTTATTCACCAACTGGAAGTTCGGATTCGTTTTTGATCCTCTGCTGCGTGACCTCAACATTCTTGTACTTGAGCTTGTCCACTTTGTATCATAATTCTTTATGGAGAACGTATACCATTGTGTTGCTAAATTTAATAATTCCCCCCTCTACAATAACCCCCCGTCTCTATTAAGCCCTCCTCAAATTTGTTTGAAATAAATAAGCCCCTCGGGGAGGGGCTTAACAGAGGATTTACTGTGCGTTCGTGCCCTTCATCGCAGATATTGGTGTCACAGATGAGTTCGGTCGTACACCTTTACATAATGCAATTCTTGGAAAGCAGCTGGGAATAGTAGAGATGCTCCTCAACAAGGGCGCGGATGTCCAAGCTCAAGATGAGAGGAAGGACACACCACTACACACAGCTGTGAGAGTAGGCGACGAAAGAATACTGCAGGTATAGATTACGGATGACACGGGTAAGATCATACTTAAAGATACCTCCACATCATCGATCATTTCTTCCCCAATACTATCTTGATTTCGGCCTTTGTGCTTCACGTTGGGGCTAAGCGTGTGGGCAATCCGCCCTCACTGACAAAACAGAGTGGCACCACCGTAAGGTAATCCGGAACCTGGAAAACTTTTTGCCTGTGGAATCCGGAATCCTTGGCTTTGGAATCCGGAATCTAGAATTCAAGATTGTCTTACATGGGGCGAATGCCCTCCTACCCCTCTCCTAAGCCAACATTAACACTTACTTCTCACTTAGGGCAAAATGTTAGCTTCGGGTAGGGGTAGGTGGACAGTTTCCAGAAACGCATAATGAACCCGAACGGAACATTTGGGAAGCAGGAAACTACCTTTCTGCTAGAAAAAAAAACAGCTTAAACTGCAAGTTGATTGATTAGTTTCTGCTTTTCCCTCATCTTTTGTGTCATTAGGCGCTGCTGCGAAACTCACAATGTGACGTTAACTCCGCTGGCCGCGCTCTTGTGACTCCCCTTCACCTGGCAGCTGGAATGGATCGAGTTAACGTCTGCAAGATGCTAGTAAGTATGATGATGGTAACGATAACGATAGAAGTCCATCAAAAAATTGTTAACGCCCAGGGTGCAGGGGTCGAGTTGCACACTCGAGTTGCAAATGCGCGTGGGAAGATGTTAAGCAATAAAACGGGTAAGGATGGCAAGAGGCCGACACGAGCGCGCAAGCTTTGGGCCAAGGTAAATGGCTAGTTGACCAATTAGAGCGCGCGATTTACTTTACAGTGTTGATGACGATGATTATGGTGATGAGTGTGACAAAATGGTAGCAATGAGGAGTCTCGTCCATTACACTTCCTCTCCCTTCCTTCTCTTAAGTGATAAATATTTTGTTATTAAAAAAGCTTTTATAGCCATCGAACGTTTTTATTCATGGTTTAGATTGAACATCGTGCAAGGGTCGACGTAATGGATGAAGACCAGATGACTCCCTTGGGTCACGCAGTAGAAAGAGGGGCCAAAGACGCTGTGGAGTTCTTCTTTAATTACAGTAAACAAAACATTTTTCCTTATTACTACAAAGAATAAAATCGTTTAATGTACTTTGGATGGAAGTCTAAATTAGCAAAACCTAGGGCGCGATCCATTCAACCAAAATTTCCGGAAATTTCGGTGCAAAACTCAATGGATCGGTTCGGTCCAACCGGAAAAGTTTCGAAAAAAACGGGTCCACCTTCTGAGGTGGACCACTTTTCCCGGTCGGACCGGTTGGAATTTTAGTTGAATGGATCGCGCCCCTATTGTCAACAAAGATGTGATTTGGTCAACATCGTTTGCTTTCAGTCAAAACTCAGCAGCTGAACTTGGAATCGTTTCTTTACAAAGCGGATATGGATGGGTCGTCTCTTTTACATATGGCTGTAGACAGCGGCAACCTGAAGGTTAGCTAGTGATAAGTTTCTCCGTATTTACACAGTATTGATTATAACATGCCCCAAGGAATACTTGCGCGAATTTAATCTGGTCTTTTAGCAACTTGGAAAACTAGCAGTCACCTTCCTAGCATGTGATAACAACGTGCTCGTCCCAAGCCTTCGGGAAATGTTTTAAAAAAGAAATAAGGAACCTTTTTGACAGCCTAACAGGCGCTGCCTATTCATCATTTACCTTTGGCTTAAAAGACACACTATGGTTTCCGTTGTAGATTACCATGATAATGATGATGATGATGATTATGATGATTCAGTATGATTGTGATTATGACGATGCTCAGTAGAAGGCAGACGACGACTTTGACACGAATCATATCCAGAGGTCTGACCGTTAACTCTTTTCATAAAGGTGACATTTCTATTCTTTTACAGATTGTTGAACTGTGTTTGCAGAGTGGTGCAAGAGCAAGATATCCAAAGGTTGGTTTATAAACTGAATTGTAGGATGTAATATGGTCTAACGTTAGCATAGTGTGTTGAGTTTGTTGATACGCGTCTGATAATTAGCCTTTATTATACACTAAAGAAATAACATATAGGGGTCCTGCTAATGAAATAAGACATTTTCATGCAAGGCTACGCCATTTTTATTTGCAGGCCTCCGACAGAAGCACAGCGTTTCATTTGGCATGTGGACAAGGTTCTCTCGAGGCCGTAAAACTTTTGGCCAATCATGACCCTTCCATCTGTCGAATAATGCTGATTGACTTTCAAGGGCAGACTCCTCTTCACAAAGCTGCCGCGAAAGACCACGTGCATGTCGTCGAATATCTTCTAAATCAGGTAAAAGTAGTTAAATTTCAACAAATGTCTTTTCATGGTTTCTCGTTTAGTCATCTGCTTCCTTCTGTAGGCATCGTTGAGTTTCGATCCAACTAAGCGGCATTAATTCATGCATGTCACACAGTTTTGGTTAGATTTCAAAGGAATATGATCAATAAAGATTAGGTATGAAAAACGTTGAAAGCAAAAACTTGTCTTGCAATAACCATCTGTTGAAGATTACTATCTTCTAGAGCCAATTTCATTTGGCAATTTATCCTTGATATCACATAGGGTGCCGCTGTGGATCCCCCTGATCGAGACCGCTGTACCCCCCTGTTCAGAGCAGCAGAGAAGGGAGGCGTCGAGACAATTCAATTGTTACTCGAGCGAGGTGCTGACGTCACGGTAAAAAGCGTACAGCAAAAATCACTTCTTCATGCTGCTGTTTCTCATCCTGGTGCGATGGAGATTCTTCTAAAGGTGCCTTCCTTTACATAATTTACAAATCACGTGGTTAACTGATATAGAACGTTTTCACTCACGTGGCCATCATCTATGCAAATTTATTGGAACAAAAGAAAGCGTTTGCATGAGAAAAGAGTTCAACTCCCACAGGATTGGTTTGGGACAACAACATGGCCGCCGTTTCATTGTTTTGGGACACCAATATGGCCGCCGTGACGTCATGTGAAAACACTTTATACAAATTTTCAAAGAAAAGAGTTCAGTAGACCGTTTATAAGTTTCAAAATCTCTCGCTATTCAAACGAGGCTAAGTGCAAAACCTTTCTTGGAAAATGAGTCATTTATCTGCATGGGATTAAGAAATTCATTTTCACATCAATGGCTTCCCACTTAGCCTCGCTTTAAAACAAAGGTTTACTGGCAACTCGGAAATTGCCTTTTGCTTTGCGATCCGATAAAAGATGGCCAAAATGGTAGCGTGACTATAAAGATCTATTTCCGTCCATTCATTTTGTTCTATATATCCTTTCTGTACTCGTTGTCTCCTTAGGAGGCCTTATAACACGATTTTTTCTCAGCAACTTTTTTTAAGGAATTGGAGAAGTTCCACAATTTATAACTCGCATAGAAGCATCCCTCCTTTATATTACTCCCTTGCAATAACATTGTTTTTTTTTTTTGTTTTATGTTTTGGAATATAAAGGAACCATCATCAGCATATCTCATAACCGACAAAGATCACAGGAGCTTTACACCGGTACATTATGCCGCTGGGAAAGGACAAGCCAAGGTAAGAGTAGTGACACAAGAATATTTCGAAAGATCAACTCAACTCATCAACTCAGGATCAGCTCAGTAGGTCGTCGGTTATTTTCCTGGGGCCGGACCAATACTGAGGGTCTTAAAATAACTGAAAAAAGGAAGGTACTACCTTTGCGCTGCGTGCAAAGGGCTAGACTTTCACGTGCCTAGGATGACCAGCGACATGAGCCGCGGTCACGGACTTCAAAAGGCGAGTTCTCAGGCTGAACACAGAGTTTCAGAAATTCTGGGTTCTTCGAAGATTATTCGTCATACAAAAGTAGAAATACTTCGCCTGAAATCATGTTTTCTTCGAAAGAAAGAAACGAAACTTCACTCAAATCTTTGAAAGACATTTTCAACTGAATTATTCTGTCGGCGTTCATGATGGTTTCACGTTGGTTTGTTTAGTGATCTGCATTTGGTGCGTAAACCGCGTCCCCAATCCAGTCTTGCGAGGCCAGCCTTGCCTTTCGTGAATCAAGAAAGTCTGGTGCTTAAGTTCCCTATTGTTGCGTCATGAACAGCTCCAAACACGCATGCCCATAAATGATTTAATAAATACATCAATGGCATGTATTAGTTACACCCAAGAGTAATCGGCTCCTGGTTACACCATTATGTACAACTTTTTTTAACCTTCCGCATCTTCTTCAATTTTTCAGAACATTTCCCTTCTGATGGAGACAAATAAAGCCGCCGCTGATGTCACATCAAACGAGCTTGACACACCCCTACACATTGCAGCCAAGTAAGATTTAACAATTGCGGTTTGGAATAATAACGAACATTATACATATAGTAATGAAAAAAAATTACTTTTGTTCGGCCGGTTATGATTAGTATAAAGACAATTAGTAGAGGGCGTCCAGTTGAATTTCACATGAAACACTCACTCTCGTGTTTGATAAAATACATCTCATTATTCGACAATCAGATGAAACTCCTTCTCGTGTTTGATTTGTACTTCTCAAACTCATTAACAATTCATAAAGAATAAAAAGCAAATTAATGTTTAATTAGTGTTTGGAAATCAGATGAAAAACTGCTCATGTTTGCATCCTTAATTTCTCCTGCTAAAATCATATTGTTTGAGAATTAATAACAAGCATTCGACACAGTGTTTTATCACCAGATGAAACATCTCTAAGTTCGTCAAAAATACTCCGCTGTGCGTCGTATTTTCAACTCTCTTCTCGGTGTTTCATCTGGTGATGAAACACGGCATCTCATGGTTGATATGTTACTTGGTTACTTGAAAGTAAAATAAAAAAACATGATTTACTTGTTTCGTTTTAGCACAATAGGACTTTTTGTCTACCGTTCACTTGTTCTGTTTCAGATTCGGTTGGCTGGCAATAGTTGAGAGTCTTTTGGTTGGTAGAAACATTCGCATGATAAACTTGCAAAACAACAAAGGAATGACTCCGCTTCACCTTGCTTGCTGCAATGGTCATGATCAAGTTGTGGTATTCCTTCTTTCGCAAGGTGCTACAGTAGAAAAGTAAGCACACTGGTAGACGTGTTCCACAGAAAAGAGACAATTACTGAAACTGCTCGAACAAAGGTTGTTGTCCGAAAGTCGTACAATTCGCTATTCGCCACTTTAGAAACGAGAAAGGAACTGGAGCCGAAATGTGTCCCGCAATTGTTTGTGGGAACGTTACAAATGACGTGCCGCTCAGCTATTGGCCAATTTTTCCCCTGTCCCTAGTAACAGTTCCAGAAGTCTTTGCGAATGTAAACTCGTCCCAGTTTCCCTCTCGGTTTTAAAAGTGGCGATTTGGCGATACATTTTGGAATAAAAGAAGAGACTGAAAACTGTTTTTAAAGTTAAGTAGGCATACTTTGTACCAGTTTAAATTTTGTGATGATCAGATTTAAACTCCTCTTGATTTCAGAGATCAGCATGAAAAGACGCCGTTACATCTGGCGGCCACTCGAGGATCCAAGAAATGTGTGGTTTCTATTTTGGAAAAGCACCCTGACTGCCTAAACGCTGTCGACGAAAACAAGGTTAACTATCTTCAATTTCCCTCTTCAATTCAACGATGAAACCTCGCGAAGTGTTTCTCTGATTTTTGAGGCTTTAGACAAAATTCCTAGTTCAATGAGCGGTACTGGTCAACTTCCCTTTGTACTGTTTATTATGCTGCACAAGGTGGCTCTGATATTTGAGTCTGATCTGTGGATGAATTACTGCAATGCTACCAGTCAAATGAAAGCTGCCAAGTATACTTTCCTCTGGTTCAGGTTTTTATATTGTGCAAGGTAGCTCTAACTTTTGAGTGCGTCGACAAAATGCTAATCTATCATGTGACCAATTTTAAATGGATCCTCCTCGGTACTTTTTTTCTCATGGCACTACTTGTTCAGTGCAGTTTTTCAAAGAGAAATTTTGCATTTGATATTGAAAACATAATTTTCAGTGTCTTATGCGTTATTCCTATTTTTCTCTCAGTGAAGAGGCTAAAGTAATTATTCAAGGGGTTAATAAACCTTTTGTTCCTTACAGAACACAGCGTTGAACCTGGCGTCATTAGAAGGACATGATGAAATTGTTGTTTATCTGATGTCACAAGAAGATCAAGAAATCTTAATGAACTCATACAATCAAAACCTCTTGGACATCGCCCTTAACAAAGAAAAGCGTAACGTTGCTATGGCAATTGCTGAACATCCCAGGTAAATAAGATGCAAGCATGCTAGTTTGCACAGCAGGCGTGTTTTGCAAAGCGATTGATTTAGACGTTCAAACTGACCGACAGTGATCATTCCAGGGAAATCTCAGACTGAGGCCTAGATGTATTGACCGAGCGATAGCGTAATGACCGAACGGACATCAAGTTAAGTTATTTATTATTATGGTCTTTTCTTTATGGACCTGAGCCTGCGATCAATTAAACCAATAACTGATCAGCGGATAACTTTAAAAAAAACACGTAGCCTCAATGAGTCGTACACTTCAGCCCGCCATACAGTCATGTGACACTGGTCAGCGGATACCCTTTTTGACAGCTGTCGATCAATTGACCATAACATGGATTTTTCATAAGGATGTCCACTATCAAGTTAAACACAGATTGTATATGCCTTCGACACCTAGCCAGTAATGGCTGGTCAATACAGGAAAATAATGCCCGCTTAGCAGCCAATGGGAGCGCACATACTATTGTAGCCATATACTCTGCAATAATATTGATGATTCAGCTGCCTGGAGTTAATTGCAGCTTCATTTTCTTTGGTACTTTAAGGTGGAGAGAGATCTTGTCCTACTCAGCCCCAGGCTCCCTCTTAATGATGCAAGCGCTGGTTATAAAAATGCCGGACGTTGCAGAGGTAAAACGTCATTTTTATCAAATAGCGGCATCTAGCTCCCCGCGAAAATGCCATATTTATGTTTTAAGAGGCTTAAGATATATAAAACAATCTGTGTTTCTTTAGCGCATTTTAGATCAATGTGTTGTGGAAGAAGGTGACGAAATGAAACCAGAATACAAGGTGCGTCAATAAATCTTTTTTTTTTCGCTACTAATAGTCCTATTCAACAACGCGACAAGTATGGAGAGGTACGAGACGACTTCGTTAGACTCGTATATCAAAGTGGGGCTGTTTTAATTTCATTGCACAATATTTTTATATGTTTTTTCTCGAAGGTTAAGAAAGATTTGACAATGGTTCAGGCAAAATACGTTCCGAATCCCGAGAAGGATCAGCTAACAGTACTAAAGGTAACTAAATATGGCCAACTTCAACAAACCAGCTAAGGGATTTAATTTAGGCAGCTATCATGACTGGTTACTCAAACACATGGCACTGGTCACCCTACGCCAATTTCCGTTTTTTTTTTTTAGTTCTTTTGTTGGTTTGAGTTATTTCTCTAGCATTGAGGTTTGGTCCTTAAAAACCTCAGTAGTAATTTATGCAAGAAATATGCGGAAATCAATTTTTTTTCTTTATTTGATATTTTTCAGACGATGGTCAAATATCGCCGTGACAACTGTCTGACTCACGAAGTCGTCTTCACCTTGATGCATTTAAAATGGTAAGTGATGAAGACACAGTCTTTATAACTCCCTTCAGAAAAGGTCCAAGGATGATTTATGTTTAAATTTTTGTGTCGGTGGACTAAACTAGTTACACACTGAAGAGTGCTTTCCTGTGGTACAATTTATTAAATGTTCTATAAGAAGCCCTGCAAGGTGTTCCTAGCTTTATTTGAGTCTGCGGAGAAAATCATCTGTGGTGTGACCATTCAAATAACAGCTACTAAGAAGTATTTTACTGTTTTTGTGGGCATTATTATCCCCAGCAATTGCTTTTTTTTTCCGTGCTCGTCTAGTACTTTCTTTTTTGCATATTACTGTCTTGCGTATTCAGTTAACAGCAGCCATGAATGCCGACTTTTCTGCTTGCGTTTGTTCAGCACTAAACTAGGTCCCAGCTTTTATTTTAGTGTATTTATCAAAAGTATAAAGCATTGGTACCGAATGTATTTGAAATCGTTATTGTGAACAATTCTTTTGCAGGAAAAAATTTGGTTTTACATCTCTCATGTTCAACCTTCTCCTCTACCTCTGTTATCTGGTACCGCTGACCACCTTGGCGCTATATTCACGAGACAAAGAGAAAGAATATTGTGCCCCGAACGACTCCGACACAAGAAAAGTAAGTAGCAGTGTAATTTGCTGCAAAGGAGATTTCTTGCACCTACCATCTTGATTATACAGTCCAGCTACGCTCCTATAGTCAACACAGACACCTGTGTAAGAGCGAATTTCCACTGTCGCGTAATGTTTGGGTGCGTCTACCCGTGTAAATAAATAGAGGCTTGCAATGTATCAGGTCGCGTGTAAGCGTTAAAGCTCGCTCAAATTTTATGTTTACGCGCGACACTTCATACCGTCGCTCTATTTGATATACACGAGTATTATTATTTACGTGCGTGCGCAAGTAAAAATTGCGCGGCAGTGGAAATTCGCCACACACTGGAACGTTTGCCACGATATTAATATGTGAACGTTTTGCATTTTAAGGATTACCTTGAAACCTTACCTAAAGAAAAGTCTCATTTGGTAAGTCTAAAAGGTTAATTTTCGAGTGGTACTGCTTCTTGGTTCTTATAGATGGCTATACTCTTTTTGACCAATTTACTCCTTTTTTCTTTATCATTTTAGAAAGTTCAGGCGCTGACCTTTGTTGTTGTTGTTTTTACTTTGATTCACTTGGCTAGAGAAGTCTTTCAAATGGTTTCAAAGGTAAATGCCACCCACATTTAATGGCATTTCAAAGCTCAATATTATTTGAGCAGAAATGTTGCGCAACTTAGCCCCTGAGTACAACTTTCACTATCACAACAGGGTCAATTTTCCGCGACCGGCGACCCGCGCCGCTTTGATTCTAACCATCATCGCTTGTAGGCAGTCGGCTGTTGAAACGTCGCTATCGACATTACTATCATTAGATAAAAGAATAACAAAGCTATGAAACTGAGGACGGTCAAACCTTTACATAGCGGCGGCCGTACCATCGGAACAACCTTTCTTGGAGACCTTGTCTTAATGAAGAGGTTACTTTGAGAGAAATTTATCCAGTTTGCTCATTGGACAGCCGTTGCGTAGTGCAGATATGGCCATTTTTTGTTGGAAGTTTTAGGCGAGATAGAGCGGCCGGCGCAGTTGTTTCTGGGATGCTTACTGGTGATGATGCCGGTCAGCTATTGGCCCACGTTTTCCCTACGTCCCTAGTGACATCCCCAGAAATCTGTGCGAAATTTAACTCGGTCCAGTTCCCGTCTCCTCTCTAAATTGGCGAATGGAAAGTAAATTAATTTACTGACTTACGCTGTTTTTGTTACTCTTTACAGCGTGCTAATTACTTCTTTACCTCATCCAATTATTTTGAGTTGGCTGGTTATATCACCACAATGCTGTTTATCCTGCCTTCTTATGACTGCAAGACTGGCACGCAGATTCAAATCGGAGCTGTTTCAATGTTTTTTGGATGGATGAACCTAATTCTTTACTTACGAAAGTGAGTGACAGGAAAACTGCATTACGGGGTCGTTCACAGTCGTTTAAGGCCGCTCTTTTATCTATGTTTTTTTTCATAGTGGGATCACTCAAATTATCGAGACTCTAGCATCCATGGCCCCAGTTTGCAACATCCAAGCCACTGGATAACTTACTATCTAGTGGAAAGGTATTAGGGAAACCAATTACGTTATCCAGAGGTTAGAGATTTATCTATAGTGGCTAGAGTCATCCACGTTTTGAACAACTGGGGCCTGGTCCGAGTTGTTGAACCACAAGAGCTGCTGAGCGCTATCCACCGGATGTAGTTTTCCGATAGTTTGCCAAGTGTAAAAAATAAGTAAATCGCGTTATCCACTGGAAAAATATTTATCTACGGCATAATGTTATCCACCTTATGAACAACTGGCGCCTGACTGATCTAACACATGATATGTGGATCCATATACTGCTATATTCATTTTGCGCGCGGCACTGAATAATTATCACAGAATGTCTTTATTTAGAGGTGTATGTGCAACCAACGTCTCAAATATTTGTGTCTATTAACAGTTTTCTTCACCCTTTTTTCTTAGACTTTCATTTTACGGATCATATGTTATCATGCTTGCCACAATGTTTAAAACGCTGTTAAAGGTGAGGTCTTATCTTGTCTTGACTTTAACCTTTTTTCCTCAGCCTCTGTACAGTCTTCCGGTCATTTGCTTAACGGTTTAGATAGATTTATTCTGGCTCTGATCGTACGGCTAAACACCTCACAAGACTTTTCTTTTCCTAAACAGCCACGTGACCAAAAGAAGCGGCGGGATCTGGGAACGAGAATGCTCGCAGGCCTAATGTATTGCTCACCAACCTCGTCCCATTTTCAAGGAAAAGCTCTGGAGACGAGTTAAATTTTGGCTTTGCGGTGCAATTACCGTGTTCACCAAATAAAGAAACCCACAAACTTCACCTTTCTCAACTCCAACAGCCTTTTTTGCTGAAACTGTGTTATGATGCTCCTGCATGCTTAGTATCATTTCATCTTCTTCAGATTTCATGCTTTTCTTTGTGACGAAACCGTAGAGTACATGGATCAGGAGCAGGTTTTTACTGGTGGTTTCCCCTCATGTGCGCAATATCCACACGACGTCCTAATTTATACGTCGGAAGAGTCGTCTTTTGCAATCTTTATTCATACAGCCTCCTTAATGATGCGTTTTTTCACTTATATTCACAAAAGGTCTTGGTTCTGGTCATCTTATTTCTTCTGTCATTTGGAATAACTTTTTACATGCTGATCGATGAAAATGTAAGTATATAGTCTTGCACCTTTAGAATCGTACAGAGGTACTGTTATAGTAGTTCAAGTTGTCATGCTGCCATGGACGTTTGAATTAAACTTTTTTGATTATTGAAATTCTGACTTACTTGAATTTATAATTTCTTTTTAGGAAACGTACATCTCGCTTCCTCATTGGTTATTAACAGTCTTCGTTATGACTTTGGGTGAACTGAACTACGCTGATAACTTCATGCCATGGGAATATCCTTTCTCAAGTCTCGTCAACTTTCTGTTTGTTATCTTTGTTCTTTCAATGCCCATTATTCTCATGAACATGCTGGTGAGACGTTAACTTTTACATTGCTTATTGGCTTAGAGCAGTGGTATTTCAGCTTAATTTGAAATACCTACATGTGAAAATTACAAACCTTTTGTGGGTAGTAGTATAAACGAATAATAGCATGATTTGTACGTGATATTTGGCATAAATATCACTAGTGATATTTTAAAATTGTCTCAAATTTCACTCGCCTAACGGCTCATGAAATTACGTATAACAATTTCGAAATATCACTCGTGGTATTTTATGCCAAATATCACTACAAATCATGCTATTACCTATACGTAATAGCATGACTTGTAGTGATATTTTGCATAAATACCACGAGTGTTATTTCGAAATTGTTGTACGTAATTTCACGAGCCGTTAGGCGAGTGAAATTTGAGACAATTTTGAAATATCACAAGTGGTATTTATGCCAAATATCACGTACAAATCATGCTATTATTTGTTTATACTACTATCCGCAAAAGGTTTGTAATTTTCACATGTAGGTATTTCAAATAAAGGTGAAATACCACTGCTCTAAGCCAATCCAATTGCAGAAATTTTTCATGTAGTAGTATAAGCCGTATAATGAAATGCTCCTCGTGGAATCATACCCTGTATCCATACTGTCTTTAAAATAATTTGACTTGTGGTTTCCTACCATTTTTGAAGGACAATGATTCATGCAGTCAGTCCCTCTTCAAATTTAAATCTGATCTCCTTCTCCCGACCTGTTCCAGCTGTAAGTCGTACGAAAAGAGAATGTATGTCGAATATAAAAATAAACGCAAAACATCAGAGTACTAGCAGATCTAGTCTGAGCCACTTTTCCCCCACTAAAAAGAGCGGAACTACCTAAATCTAGAATTCAGCAGAAATATACATTATCATACAGAGCACACCAAGCACTGCACAATTCAAAGTCAATAACAAATATAACAAGAATAGTAAATGAATATTTCATATTTTAGTTATTTACCGGTAAGGTATGGTTGTTATCTTTTACAGGTTGGTCTTGCTGTTGGTGATATTGACAATATTCAGAAGAATGCCACAATGGACAGATACGTCACACAGGTAAATGTTGCCGTTCTACGTCAATGATGTACGATTACGATTCAATCGTTAATTATAAGGGAAAATTGAAAGGGAAGACATCATTTAACTTTTTCAGTTCCACGTATTGCTCCTCGTTTCCTGCCTTGGTAGGAAACGGTCGCCTAATCCAAGATGATCTTGGATTCGGGATTCCTCGCTCTGGATTCCGGATTGCAGGTACTGGATTCCAGATTCTATGTCCGGGGACCTTAGATTCCGGATTATAATCGTTAGTGTAATGTGCATTTCTTGCCCTGTATTCCGGATTCCAAAGCCCAGGATTCCAGATTTCACAAACAAAATTTCTCGAATTCCAGAATCCGGATTCCCGACTCCCTTTCGTGGGGCGAACATGGAAAGAAAATGACAAGAATCGAAAGGAGACGAGGAATCCCTTGTGGAATGATCAGAACTTTTACCATTGGACCAACATTTGCGTTTTGCGTTTTGCGTTTAGCCACTTGACCGTAAGAGAAAGGCAGCGAAAATTGGGAAAGAACCGTTTGGAAAATGATCAGATCTTGTCCGCTCGAGCAATTTGTCCCGTTTCCGTTTTTATATTTCAAAAATTCTTTGTTACTTTCATTTTTTGTCTTTTAAGTCTTCAGATAAATGACATCTTAAACAACCTTAAGCTTGCACACATATTGCGGTTTTCTTCAGGTTTGTTTGAGTTCGCACGACCCTTTTTTGAGCGCCAACAAAACTGATGATCATTTCTTGTTTGCAATTAGATTCAGTTGCTTCTGGAGACTGAGGAACAGCTCCCTCGATGGCTTCGAAGACTTGTCCAATTCGAGAAGCATGTGGACTTCCCAAACAAAAAGGAACCATTAAAGACGCGGGTAATGAGAACGAACTAGTACTAACCGAAGGTTGCGGAATGCGGACGATAACAATCGAAGGTCCAAACGCTTTTGCTGACCAACGATGTCCTTAGCGTAAATTTCATGCATGTGATAGATGTCAAATAGCCCCCGTTATGAGATTGTGAGTGATAGAAGTTCTTAATGCGGGTGATCAGATTACGTCATGTGCAAGTGGAAGTACGAGGCTGCATATCTGCTGTACTTGCGTAATAGCAACCTGGAGATTAGGATTGCGGTTTCCTTTTGTCGACCGCAATAAATAAATTAATAAATAGAGGCTCGGCATGCGAACTTGTGGATGTAAGAAAACAAGGAGAGGAAAAAAAATCACAACAAGAAAACAAGGGCAATTCAATCCCTCCTTAAAAGGCGATCAAATGAAAGGTCGAAGGGACCCGGCCTGCCCTAGTTACCTCTTGCCCTGTTCAGTTCACTAGCCTGCTTCAACTCGGACCTCAGCCAAAAAAAGATTGGCCAAGACAAGGCAAGACAATTTAGCCTACATTGTGCTTATTAGGGGCACTAATCTCTAACGTAGTCCTCTGATTTTGAATCGTCAAAAACTATTATAATTAACTCTGGTCTGATTTCATTAATGGTTTAACTAATCAATTACCAAGTCTTGAATGACATTTCTTCCATTTATATAGCGCATATGTTCTCCTTAAAATACGTAAAAACGTTAATTTATGATCATTTTGTCGTATTAAGCTGTATGATACCATTTGTGGGTTTGGACATCCGGGAGATGACAGTGAGGAACAGGAAGTGGAATCAGAGTCTCTGGCGGACGTTATAGAGATCAAGAATAAACTGCAGGAACAGGACGCCAAGTAAGCCAATAAGCTTAGTTCATTCAAATAGGGTATATTTCGGCAAAAAAAGCAATGTAGACCCCTTACGCCAACCATTACCAAGCTGGCTTGTTTATTGCATGGTTTCCTACAGGTTGTTTGGAATAGAGTCTTTTCACTCACGAGGCCAGCAGCTATGAAAATTTAGGATCAATCTAGGTATCTGGGAAACTGCCCACCTACCCCTCCCCTAAGCTAACAATAACACTTACTTCTCACTTAGGGCAAAATGTTAGCTTAGGCGAGGGTAGAAACCTAAATTGATCCCAAACTTATTTCATTCTCATTATTTTGGGAGACCAATATGGCGGTAGTGACGTCATGTGAAAACGCTCTATAGCGGTACAACATTGTTAAGGGGACTGAGCAGAGGAGAGAAACTGGGCTACCGAAATATGAAATGCTGTGAGGGCAGAGTGCGTCAAGTAATTTTGTTGGTTTAGGAATTTAGGGGAGGGAAGGCTTTCTCTTTTTTTTCCAAGTGAATATCAACAGAAAAATGTGAAAAATATGGTCGAGAACAAAGTACCTGACAATGGACTCGAGGCGACAATACTTCGTTTGAAGTTTTCACCAAAAAATGTATAAATGGTCATTGTATTTGTTTTGGATGTTGCATCATATATTTCCATAAAGAACACATTAGACCAAAATTTATATCATTCGTGAAAGTTATACCGAGAGAAGGTCGGAGTCAGAGATCAAACGGTAATCCAGTTGCCTGATCTTTTCACAAAGACCATTTTGAATCTCCAACTCATGAAGTCTAATCTTAAAGGCGCTAAATCAGCATACTGTGTTATTACAATATTCACGTTTGCTTTCGGCCAAAAGCGCCATTATACAACTGGACAGTACAAAATGCAGACTGTAGACTGACTGCAGACCATTGCTTTCAGGGTTAAAAAAGCAATGGGACTATTGTTGTCACGTTCTCATTTGCATGGTGAAAACAATAGTCTGCAGCAATGTGCAGTCCGCATTTTGTACTGACCGATTAAACAATGAACTTGATATCGCACGAAATAGAAAGTTCCTGTCTTAGAATTAATGAACAATTTAGATGAGAAATATACCTTCACTCGTGCCAGATTTTTCAATGATACTTCACTGCCCTGTGTTTTCAAGCAAGAGTATTTTCCCTGAATAGAAATACTAACACGTGCTAAAGTCATACAACTCGTGAGCAATCTTTAGCTCAGAAGAAAGTGTTCCTGAACAAGGCATACAGCAGTAGTAAACTAGTTACCTTGGTTAACGAAAAAAGACCATATCCTGGCAGGTGCTAAAGTAGAATCATGGATTCAAGACCGTCCGACTTCTTTCTGTCTTTTTGGTTCCATAATTCGTAATCTCAATCACAATGAATTCATTCTGCACAAAATTCCCTACTCAGAAATTATCACACAACATGTAAAAATATTTGTAGTGAAAGAATTTTTCTATTAACCAATGAATGGCTAGAATGAATATTTTCTCATTATACAGCAACACATCTTTTGTTTGAAAAACAATAGAGGTAGAAGGTAGTTACAAGTAATTCATGGAGGTCGAGACTTCTGAACTTTCTAAAAGTTAATAGAAAAACAGCTTGAGAAACAACATAGCCTGACAGCAAATCATGGAGAGGCAGAAGGTAGTTACAAATACCTAATGATGGCCGAGACTTATGAAAGTCATCTCAAATAGTGAAAACCGAAGTTATTTTGTTAAAATAATAAAAACAACGAAAAATATTTTTGTTCAAATAATAGACAAACAAACAAACAAACAAACTAGAATACAAAAAAAATTCTATCCGTCGGCGTTGCACAGGAGTTGAAGTTTAGATTAATATGAAATAATTATTTAGAATTAATGGTTTGGAGGAAAATAGCTGTTGGCATGGAACTGATCTCGTGTTGGAATAACAAAAGACAGCAATAGATGTAAAATACTGATCGTACACTTCGCAATAATTAATAAATAGTAAGTGCGCAGTGGACGACGGGAAGAGAGAAAAGGCTCTCTTCCTTCTTCCCATCTTCCCCCGCGGGCTTTCTTTTTTCCCTCTCCCCAGCCTCCCTCCGACACAAAGTGGCCTCTGCAGAGGAAAGAGCTCATTCACCAAATAAACCTTTTTGTCGATTCTTCTCCTTAGGATCAATGAGATATGCAACATCCTACGAAAGCAGACAGAAATGTTAAATAGCATTGCCCAGGATTCCAAACGAGAGAAAGAGGAGAATGAACAAGCACGAAAGAGAGATTCTGAGAAAAGGTTTACTTTACGGCCATTTTAAACCTCGCATGGTGGCTCGATTCTTCAGATTCTTACCAAGTAGAATCAAAAGCAAAAGCATTTCTCAGACGTTTTTGTTTTACTTATTGTGTACATTGTATTTATTTCATTGTGGTATATAATATTGTTTCCACTTAAATGGATCAATCTATCAAGGCCTTAAGAGTTTCTTTACATTAAGGATCAGTTCCTCGTGAACGCTGGAGTAGAATGTTGTTATAATATTCTACACTTCTAAAAAGGACTCGAAGAATTGAATATTTCGCTACATTCCAGGAGAACTCCAAATTTTCGCGAGTTTTTCACCTTACTATTAAGTTCCATTTACAAAAATGATCAACCGTCCTATTAACTGAAAACTCATATGTAATAACTCATATGACCTCTAAATTGCATTAAATAAATTAAATAATGCTGCTATTTTTACCTACAAAAGATCTTACATAGCTATAGAAATTCCGTACACTTTTGCTGTCAATTACGTTCGCAATTAGGATCGCACGAAACTCTTTATCGCTCTTGTTAAGATAAAAAGAGTGTTGAATATACATAGCTGGTGTTGTAATCTCTTAGCTAAATCATGTTCTCGCACATTGAGCAGAAAAATTAAACGTTAAATTTACTTTGATCTTTGAAATGTGTTGTTGTAACAAAGGCGATGGCTAAATGTGAAAGCTCGCACTAAATGCCGATCAACCACTGATGCTATCTATTGTTACTAACTTCTCTCATGAACGGCAACAGTGGGGTTTATCTAGAACTTTGGAAGTTGAGGAAGACTGGAAAACATTTGCATTCCTGGTAATTTAAATTCGCTTTCTTTCTTCTCCTCCTTTGGTTTTTCTTCCTTGGCACGACAGAGTTGATTAAGCTCCTTTAGTATGTCAGTCTGCTCTCTTAACAAGTCGTACATCTTGTCCACCCTAACGAAATATACATACACTGTTTACAGGTAGCCATTACGACATCTGAAGGAGGATCATGAGGATCGACATCCCTATATTAAGATCTCTCGTAACAGATAACCCACCCAGCCCAGGAAAGGATGGCCAAACCACCCGTCCTCTACTCTTCTCGAAGAGTGGTGTGGGTTCTTTTACGTCCCAAAAGAACCAGATAAGTGAAAGTGCTGTTAGACGGGACCTACGGTTGTTTGTCCTTATCACAGAATACTAGAAATTCTAACTGTTTGTCATTACAAAGGCAGCACTTTATTCTCAGTTATTTGAAGACCCTGAGTATTGGTCGGGCCGGGGTTTGAACCCGCGACCTCCCGCTCAGCAGGCCGTCTTCTCCTAACTGGGCCAAATAAAGTGAAACCAATCATTAATTTTTATTATTTCAAGGCCAATTCTAGAGTGTTATATGGCATGGTGTTTTCCCCGGGGGAGGGGTACTCGACCGGTATTGGTCACAGGTGAGCCGCTGAGGGTTTGGAACCATGATCCTGTTTAGGACAAAAAAAATCCTAAAATACATACCCTGTTTAGGACAACAACCTCAACTGTACCGCGTAAGACAAACGACAAAATGCACACCGATTTGTTCAAAGCCATTCATTTTCAATTGTAAAAGAGCAAATTCACGTTATAGTCATTGCTTTTTTATGCTGGAGTAAAAACAAATTTCATCAAGAAAATCGAATCAATCGGGAAGGAAATACCCCGTTTATAATTAGGGCAGACTCGCACGAAATTATATACCCTGTTTAGGACAGAGAGGACAAAACCCATGTACCTTGTCCAGCGGTACATCCCCGTATGGGCCATATAAGGGAGTAACATCCTCCCCCCCCCCTCCCCCGTGGGCGTTTAGCTCCTGATGACGAACCTTTTTTCTTGCTGGTCAAGCCTCTCAATCACTTGTACCATTCCTGGTGATAATTCCTCCTCTTCCTCCACTATCTCCGTTTCTGGCTTGCCAAAAGAGATAAACATATCTGCCAACTGGGAAAGAAGGTAATGTGCTTATGATTATACTACTCGTACCAACTTGTTAACCTGTTAGCTTCTTAGTGATCTGCATTTCACTTCTCCTTAATGAAAACAACGGTCAAGGAAATCAAGAAATAAGATCAGCAAATAAACAAGGTCTTGATTGTTAAAAAAAAACTCTTCCTCACCAGCAGTAGCCTGCCTGGTAGGAGCAAAAAAGAGGGCAAGGGGGAGAGGTGGAAAAACAAGCCAAAGGAAAAAGTGTTAGGGGAGCCTGCAGTAGCCTGCGAAAGCATCCGTTTCTCCTTCGCTCCACGCCGCCGGGGACGTTTCGCGAGAGCGAAGGAGAAACGGATGCTTTCGCAGGCTAAGCCTGCAGGTGTTGGCCATTTCCGCTCTCCTTACCCACCCACCCCGCCCTCCCCTCCCCCTTTTTTCTTCCGCTTCCAAACCCTGTCATAGAATGAAGCAACCACGGCTATTTGGCCACAAACAATGCCTTGGTCTTTTTCTGTTTTTTGAAGGAGATGTAGGGGTTGCTTTTTCCCAGTGATTCGACTACCAACGTATAATTCCTTGGTAAATAACTATTGTGCCAGATTAAAATAAAGATCTCTTCGTTACCTTGGTTTTCAGTGTTTTAGGGTGGTTAGGGTATTCTGAGTAGCCCTGAACCTGTACGCGTTTAAGAATCCACATGGGCATAGACCGCTCAATATCCAAGAGTAACTGAACCTGAAAATGAAAAAATCAAATCAAAGATTCTGTTATTTTACTTCCACTTCCACTTACACAATATTTTTCAAAAACGAAAAATGGGAAGTGAGCACGGGTACTAAGCCACTTCCGAGTTCCAAAAACGCTCACTTTCAAAATGAGGCCAAGTGCACAATCTTTCTTGTGAAAATGAGTTTTAAAAAAGACTTAGAAAAAAATAAAAATTTTTATGATAATAGCTGAAATCCCAAAGGCTTAGTATTGTTCTTTCTTTTGTTTTCTTCTAACAATATGTGTATGCATAATTAATGTATGGAGTTATACGGAAATCTTGCCTTCTTTTGCCTCTTGCCGGTGCATGTTTCCCGTGCCTCACCATTTTAACCCTCCACTTGGACGTATAATTTCAAAGATCAGGCTCATTCGATTGTGCAACGCCTAGCCCAAAAGAAACACTCGCGCAACATAAACCCTACAACGTCGAGGTCAAAATTGTTGTCAAAGTTATCAAGGATTCGATAAATGTGGAATTTCCTTTACTGTGGTAACGGGGAGAAATTAATATTCCAAGTTTGTCAATGGAAGGTCAGTAAGCCACAGCTCTATGCACTGCTTTTCCCGCATAAAAAACTGCTTAATTTAAACTGACCTGTAAAACATAACGATCCATCAAAGCATTCTGTTGAATTTTGTCAATGTCACCAACAGCAAGACCAACCTAATCAAAACAGATAAAAAGTGGCGAATAACAGATGAGATGAGTGTATGTCCTTTTACGATAATGTATAGGTCAGGATGTTTAACTTATTTCTGTAATTATACACAAGATAAAAGCTGGTGAGAATCAGGCAGATTAGCCAGCAAATTTGAAATAATTTTTAATCTTAGAGAGTTATAATTCTGGATTTTTGTTCTTGCTCGCTTTCTGATTGGCTATTTCATTGTCACGTCACTTTTTAATCCACTTAAAGTAGTAAAATTGAAAAACGGAAATTAAAATACAATTATTTACAATTTCAATGCATTGTATTGTCTTATAAAATATTGCTTTGTATTGCATGCATTATCTTGTTTTGTGTTGTGTTGTATTGTATTCTGTTGTGTTGTGTTGGGTTGCGATGCATTGCGTTAACTGTATTGTACATGTATTGCATAGCATTGCATTGATTGCGTTGAAATGGCGTTGTACTGTATTGTATTGTATTGCATTGCATTGCATTATATTATAATGTATCGAATCGTATTGTACCGTATTTATCATCACTTACCAGCATGTTCATCATAATTATAGGCATTCCAAGAACAAGAACAACAAACAAAACGTTAGCCAAAGTTGAGAAATTCAACTCTTCCCACGGCATAAAGTTGTCACCGTAATTAAGTTCTCCCAATGTCATGACGTACATCGTCATCAATGACGTGCCAAACATGTCAAACGGTTCCTGCGAAAAGTAAAAGAATCAAAATAATTTGACATAACCTCCCCAACAAAAAGCTGGGTTTGCATTCTTATGTTTTTCAGTCGATTCTTTAACAAACTAGAGTTCAACATCAGGCAATCCTTCGGGATTTACATTTGTTTTTTTAGCTTCAAATTCCAATCCCTCCGCTCCAATTTGTGACAATTTGTGTATTCTCTGATACAAACAATATCGGTATAAGCGGCACCAAAGGGTGTGGTTTTTGGACCCTTGTGGTCTGAAATTGAGCACAGATTTCAGCCGCTTCGGTCTGAAATAGGGTAATGTTTTGTGCTCTCTAGGACAAAGGTCAGGAATCGGTTGCGGTGAATTTATCTCTTGACAACAGTGGTCAAGGTCTAAAATTGGGCCTGGGCAGCCTAGTCTGGGAAAGGGCGCGCGAGTCTCTCGTGGTGACGTCCCACCTCATGGTAGAGTCTAGTTATAAAAACTTACAAGATACTCTGCAACCCAAATGATCCATTGACTTTTGCAAAGTTTATCAAAATGTGCGTTGAAAGGTACGAAAAAAACGCCGCGCAGACGTTTCGGGGATGCTCCCTTTTCCTCGTGGTTTAAAGTCTAGGAGTAAGCGAGGCGAGAACGCCTGAGGACTAGGCTAGAGTTTGAAAGGGGGTAAAGGTTTTAGAAAGCAGACCCTTAACCACCCAAAATTTTTCAGGACTATACATCTCCCCGCCCTCCAACCTTATAAAATACCTGCAAATTATAAATTATGCGCCAACATTGACAAGAAAGTGTCTTGCATACTCACCTTTTCCATAATCATGTAAAAAGTTGTTCCAAACGCCATGATAAAAAGCATCCATAACAACAGAACCTTGAAAAAGACAAAGTGCAAGTCTCTTCAATCATATTTTCGATTCTATTAGTTCTATTACATCAATCACACTTCTACGTTAATTTTTTTGTCTATTATTTTTTGATTGTCTGTTAGGAAAATGGTGACAATGGTCACTTTGTTTTCAGTCACTTGCGATTTAGGAGCTGCAGAGACTCTGCATTCAGTCAACTAACTCCTAACGAACACTTGTGCAAGACAAAAACCCCTCTAAAGCAGACAACTTGAGTTCTTCCCTGTGTTCCTCAATCATCTTTTTTTTTTTGGACTTTCATGAAGAGGGAACCTCTCTTAGAAAGTCACTGAGCGCACTTCTAAACAGTATCCGCGATTATTGACTTTATAAAATAACTAAGATAGTACGCGCGCTCTGATTGGCCGAGAGACCTGTCAAGAGATTTCTCTACAGTTATGCAAACCCGAGACGAAGTCGAGGGTTTTCATAACTGTCTCGAATTCTCCCAACCCCTCTGGTGTTTATATCAGGCTATGCAAACACGATAAACTTTTTCTATCGGTTAAGTATTGTAGTAGATGTTGTTTCGTGCAAGTGGCCCTCCTCAAACCAGTGTGATTGCCTTTCTATTTTCACACCGGCCTCTTCTCACCTTCACAAGTGTAACAAACATTGTTGTGAGCATGATGACATACTGCCCGTACGATGACAACCTGTATGGCAAAGAAACAGCCAGTCAGCTTAAATTAATAAGTTTAATTGTTACAGTATCAGGATATGAAACGAGACCGTGTAGGATGTATGCGTGATATATTTAAGTTTTCTTAGCTAAAATTTGCTTATTTGGCAAAAAAATCCAAAACGTAAAATCTAGATTGTTAGAATGATAAACCGTCCTACAGAACTTTAAACTCAGTTTGCATGTGATTTAAAATATTAAACATTAGGAAAGTTAACATTGCCTCGGTTGTATGTATTTAGTTTAGATGATCGTAGCATTGGACGTTGAGCCGTTGACTATTGCACGCTATTTGACTCACATCTATTTTGGAAGTAATTTAATAGCATTAAGTATCGGTCCGGTCCCGAGAATCAAACCCGCGACGTCCCACTCTAAAGTAAAACGATCTAATAACTGAGCCAATCTTGCTGAGGTTCAAGAGGATTTCAGTCAGATTTCGCAGGTTTATCTCACTTTTCAACAGAAATACAGAAGTTAATAAGAAATAATGACATATAATAATAAGACAGGCATATATATCACAGAAACTAAAAGATATAGAAGTCAAGGGAGTTGCAGTAACTAAGAGTTTTCAAAGCCAAACCCCAAAAATGAAATCTAAAAGTCTATTTGGTACGAAATTAATTATTATAAGTTATATTGGTTACGTAGTGGTGTATGAAACAAGTACAAACTGAGAGAGGTAGGTTATGCTGTTGTACTTTACCTCCTGAAGTAAAGAATAAGATTCAACCAGCCAAAGAACAAGGCGATGGCGCCCACCTCCAGCTTATAGCCTGTCTTACAGTCGCATGATGGGAGAACGAACACTATGGCAGCGATATAGCAAACCCACTCAGCAAAGTTTAGGATGTTAAGTAAATATGCCATACGCTGTAAATAAAAACAAAGTAATCAAACATAGCCGGGAGCCACACCCTGGGAGTATATCCTCCTTTGGTCCTCTTCTGGATAGAGGAGGAGAAAAGGAGAGTCGCCACGCCAGATTCTTGATTAGTTTCTCTCATCAAACTGGTTTTTCCAGTGTGAACATCCTTTTTTGATAATCCGATGGTCATAACTGAGTCCTCTTTTCGAGTGCATGACTATTGGGCCTGAGTTCGAAACTGCATCCTGGCAAGCAGCGCATTAACCACGAAGATCTTTACACTTGATTCATGCAGAGTCTTTCTAGAACAGGCCAGGATCGAGCAAGCCAATGACAGGCTCTGTTGGGAGCGTCCGGAAACCACAACTAACGGCCACCAAGTCCACAACCGGTTTTTACTTCCCGCTGGATGTATATTCATCGAATCTGTACTCAAGAAGGAGGAAGTGGAGAGCTTTGTTTACGATGAAATCAGCCGAAAGTGCTTTGTCACACAAAGTGAAACCATTCATGAGGGTAGACTATACTTTCAGGACATCAACAATATAACTAACCCGACATGCTACCATTGGCAGCGACTGTATATGAAAAAAAATTAAAACAAATTTTTGTTTACCTTGCGAAACAGTGAAAAGAGATGCTTCGCCAATAGCACTATCGTTGCAACTAAAACAACGAAACTCAGGAGCTGGGTTGTCTGAAAGGATGAAAAGAAGTAGGTACCGGTCATAATAAAGGAAAAAGGACCGAAGCGCGCTAAAAGCCCATCTATAGTTAAGCCAAGGGGCTTTAAGAGCACTAATAAAATCAAGGTTAAATGTAGGGTACGACAACAAAATGCATGAAAAGAACGCAGAGACTTTTTATACTTACCACATCCGTAAGTGTGCAGTCCAACTAAAGAAAACGTAAAACAAAATATCAGCTATCATTTTAAGGACATTGTACAACTATCCCCTGAAGGGGATGTGAATAGTGGTGGATATACCGAGACGCGAAGCTGAGGGGATAGTTGTTTTAGTATGTAATTTACCGAATCAGTTGGATAAAACTGAAAAAAAGTATCTCTTTGCAAATTAATAACGTCACTTAGCAGGAACTTTGCTTACAATTTACAAACACTTCCAAATAGCAGATGTTGTCCGTCGAGTTGTCTTTTCGCTAAGTTTTTAGACAATAGTTCTTCGTGAAACGAGTAAAATGTTCCGCCGACTGTCCGGCCATTTTTCTTTTCACAACCAAAACAACTCAACCTCGTTCCCAGGTTTTCTCGGTTAACGGTGCATTAACCTGCAACTGTGCTGCACTTTTGACGTCATCGGTTGATTAATCGCAAAATTCTTCCAAATTTGGTCAACAGTAGCTGGTTATGGTAAATTATGCGTGTGCTTTTAGCCAATCAGAAGTGGAGAAATATTTTGAATGAATAATAATTGTTTACAATATGTGCATGGTAAATGTTACCAGAAATAGGCCGATAGTTTTTTAAATTTCATCAAAATGTAGAGTTACTTTGAGTTTCCGAATTCGAATCGGATGCTTCAAATCCATGACATAAAACCTCTTAAATTTGCACTTCAATAGTTAAAGAAATATTGCATACCTTATCACCAATATGAACGCCAGGTTTGCAAAGAGATTGCATGCGATCCCTTCCGTAAACTGCTAACACAGTCAACGGAACAATAAAGCAGAAGTACGAGAAAAGGTTAAGAGCGAATGTCAACCAGCCAAACTTTTTCCTGTGAAATTGAAGAGCAAAATTAGTCCCGCCCTACGGGGGAGCCAGTGACCATCATATTGTTTAGAACAATCAACTTTAGTAAACATGCTCTTACCATTTGGTGTTTAATAACACAAAACTGATGGGATGTGTTAAGCATCTCTCACGTCGGTGTAAAGCCATTGTCTGTTAAGCAAAAAGCCCACATGTTTCAGGGTGCCATGATAATATTACTGGGGCTGATTTGGGTTTTGAGGAAAGATCGACGGTATCAATTATAGTGTGGGCCGCAACCTCTGTCATTTTTTCAGTTTCAAAAATAAGCAAATTGTTAACTGGAATGGCACCCTCCTGGTGGGTCAGGTCGATTTCTAGCCCGGACGGTTCTACACCTGTTCCTGCATCCCAGAATTCTGGTATAATATTTTCTGGCGGAAGCCAGAACTTTCAATGGAGAAAAGAATAATTTGACTTAAGGGTATACTTCAGTTGGATCTCTCCAAGGACACTATACGAGCGGATAGTACCGGCAGTCAAAAATGCAGGGGTGACAACGGAACAAGTAAAGCAATGTGAAAACGGCAGATCGATGGTGGCCGGCTCAGTCATGCAGTTCCATTCTGAGGTGATGGTCCTGTGCAATGTATATAATGCTTGAGGTGCAGAGGACTTTCATCATTCAAAATATAAAAGGAGACTCCACCCTTCCCTCCCCCTAGCGAATTTCTGGGTGCTAGCTAGCTTCGACGAGTCTCAATATATGCCAGGTGAATTTTAGGGGGCTAGGGGCTCATAGATTCTAAAATAAGACAAGCACACTGGCGTCACTTTGTAGGTTTATTATTGAATGAAATATTTACCTCTATAAGCTGTAGTGATGCTTTGTCAGGTATCAATTTTTCTCCTGGATACTGGCCTTGTACCAAGTTCAAGTCATATTTCACCTGCGCAGAATTTCACAAAGACGTTACACATCTTTACTGGAAACACATTTCCTAGCCGCTTAATTATAAAGCAACAGCTTCTGTAGCAGTTCCTTATATATAATTCACAACTCAAGGCGTAATTCAGACTTAGTTCTTGGTCCATTCAGCCGAACCGATGCCTGGTTCTCTATTGGACACAAGGGGGCCTACGTAAAAGCAGCGTTTTTGAGCGACGGTAAAGTTTGACCGGAAGAGAACCTTTCTGCAATTCTGCGGTGGTTTTGGGAAAATTTTCTGAGAAATCGTTTCTATAAGAGTTGGGGTACTTAGCAAACAAATTTAGTGGCGTCAAGGCATTTTAAAAGTGAATGTCGACCCGCGTGCCTTAAAAACACCTTCGCTTAAGGTATCAGCCACCCTTCAGGACAGTCCGCGCGCGGATCGCTGTAGCGTTAGTTGTTTTTATAAAAACCCCTATAAACCATATATTTTTTAAAAGCTTAATAATTCCAGATTTTGGATTTGAACTAACAAAACGATTTACTTAAATGTGTTTCGAAATTGGAACGCTTTGTGTAAAAGTACACATCTCTATAAATCATGTTCCATTCCCGCCGGAAATAAACGGAAGAAAACAATTAACACCGCATTCGCTTCTTAACACGTTCCACTAAAAAACCGTGTCTCAGATTTTTGACAACTGCGTTTGTTTTTCTTTTATTAGCAAATGAAGTTGGGGAAGGCAATTAGTCAACACTCTCTGGGGAAAAAAAGCTCTAGCTTTAAAATGAAAAGGAGTATTAAAATTCGCAGACACGGTTTTGTAGAAGAGATATATGGCATCACTCTGTCCAAATTTTAGCCAAATTGATTGAAAGGCTGCAGACTTGGAGTTCAAAACGTACGAGTCGATCAGCAAAATTTGCGTTCGGAGATAAAATAGAAAATACATTTCTGGCGGCATCCTACCTGGAATGAGATTATGACACCTAAATGTTTATTCTGATTGATATCAGAGAGGGATCAATTTTCTCTAACAATAGGACTTTGACAGGTAACATGTAACAGGAACAAACTTTTTATTGCTATCAACATCTTCAAGTGAACAGTTTAATTCTCCGTTGGAAAACTTCCACTCTTTTACACCACGAGAAGCACGGTTTAATTCTTTCTCGATCGCCAGGCCAAGGAAACTAAAAAACTTTGAAGCCGCCGAATGCCCACCACCGATTGCTCGAAGGCCAAGAACTGAGGCCCGGTTTGTGGTTTATTGCAAACGCTCTGCTCTTCTCGGAAGAATTAAAAACAGAATTTGTCTTGTGCGACGGCCAGCTTTCATTCTCGCACTGGATTCTCCACGTAGAACCAAGTCCATGCTTAGTCGCTACATTTTCCATGACTTGGACTCTTCCCTGGCAAAATCGACAAGATACAGACTCGTCCAGTTTCTCAAGCAGCTTTTCGCTCAATACGATAGCTCGACCGCTTATTGTTTTCCACGTTCCATCAGCAGATGGGGTCGATGAGCTTAATTGGCTTTCTTCATTTGGTTCCTTAAGCTGGATTTTGGAGCGGCTTGCACTCTCAGCAACTGCAGCATTTTCGCTTTTCTGAATATCCAACTCTTCGAGCCACTTCTCTTGCTGATAAAATGAGCCTTTGTCGCTCTCTGCCAATTTTGCGGCCCATTCTTTGTCAAACTCGCTCTTCGATTTCTTTTTCGATCTCGGTTTCGATGACGAAAACGGACACGACCTTTTCTTTTTTTTTTGGCGGCATTTTCACCGAAGCAAACGCTAAATATCCACGAAGAATACTAAAGGCTATAAATAACGCGAAGACAATTCGCACGTTTTGTGTCGAAGCACGCACTCGGTATCACGTAACTAGTTCACAGGCAAGTTAATTGATATATGACACGGGTATGACAGAACTTGTTAACGATCAATTAAGATAATTAACGAGAAAAAATCTTTTACCCCCGATATCTTTCGACAGAAATAATATTTTCTTCTGATTTTTTTTTTAAAAGAAAGCGCTCAAGCATATCTATTTGAAAACGTGGAAACCTTAAATATGGAAAAATGGCAATTTTAAGGGTGGCTGATACCTTAAGGTCCCTACTCCTTCCCCTAGAATGAATGATAACCCCCACGACACATAGTCCACGGTGGCCACTAATACAGCTGCATGAGTGACGAGGTAGAAACTGAAGTACTGTTTGAAAGCGTGGGGTGCCATCCAAGGGTTGAATAGTGCTTACCATATAGTTCTGAGATTCAGGGTCCCCTTTTTCCTCCATGCACTGATCTAAAAACAACTAAGAATTCAAAGTAGGAGAATCACGAACATTGTCATTCTATGAAGCATTTTCAGAAAGCGAATTTGGAACCCAAATTTCACGTGACAAGTCTTACAATCTTTAGTAAATAAATGAGAAACAAGAGCACCTTTTGAAAACTAAACTTGTGGAGACAAGTGCCTGTCGTTTAGCTGTAGTATAAAACAAAGGGTTTGTAAAGATGTCAAGTCTTCACTGTTATCATCAAAGCCCCAGTGATGCCGAATTCTTGATATTCTTTTATTTTAAAAATTGACAGAGTAACTGGGGAATACCTAATAATGACACGCGACGTTTATCTGAATAATACACAAGAAGCAATAATTAGTTACACTTTTGCCGTTAAAAAGTTACTTTACCAATATTTTGAAATGCAATTCACAACACGAGTCCGTCCATGGACGAGCTCTATATCAGAACGCAAAAGCTGCCACTGACCACAAATACCCATCTAGTCAAGGTTAAATAAAGAGGTCTAATACATACTCTTAACATATTTCGATGATTTTTTTTTGTCAAAAATTCGAAGCTCAAACTTGGCATGTTTTATGACATGTTATCGCTTACGTATGTCATACTTATGCTTACAACTTACCACAGCTACTTCCGGCATTTTTTCGATCATTTTCGTCATAAGGGGAACCAGTGGTGTTGAACAACTGCGTAACACCTCAATCCACCTGAAACGCGAAATCAAAAATGCGATTCTTATTGATGCATTCTATCACAAATTTGCGAAGAGCGAGTTAGCACTTCAGAGGAATTGATTGACTTCAGTAGGGGTGTAGCCTCTTTGTTCCCTTGTGTCCTTTGTGCCCCCTGTGTCCCTTGTGTCCCCTGTGTCCCCTTGTGTCCCCATATGGCATGAAGATTCTCTTTTTGCACCGGACGAAGTTGGGGTGCAAGTTCAAATCCCAGCGTGGCTACTTCCTGTTCTTTTTTTTTTTTTCGCTCTTTTTCTTCATGGTGTTTTTACCCTTTGGCTTGTCTCCGTTTATTCTCATTACTGACTCTTTTTATCTCCGCGAGATTTTTGCGATAATGAATGTCTACTTTATTTAATTTGTGAGGACCTCGTGTTTACATCCACCTCGTTGTTAAGACCAAGATTTATGGCCCAACAGTGGTTGTATTAACGGGTTTCCGTTATATTTACACGTTTAGAAATTAAGTTCATTGTTTCTTGTAAACTCTTAGTATTTGAATGGAGCTTCGCTTTTAGGCTTGGCTAATAGCTTTATGTATACCACACCTTAATCAACCGATTTGGCATTTTACGGCCAGATTTGGTTGTGTTATGCTCAAAAGTGAATTTGCTCAGAAAACAAAAATACTTTTCTTAAGTTATCTATACTGTTAGCAGTCCCTAAGGACTATCACAAGGGCGAGCACTTTGAGTATGACTGTGTTATGTGAGCGATTTCTTAGTCGACTCCCTTGGTATGTCTCACCTGGCCTCATCGTTTAGCTTGTCCAGTCAACTTTTTATGAAAGGGAATGCTTACTATCTCTGTCATTGTAAATGCCATGACATAAAACTGACCTTCCATGTTTGGCTATAACTGCTGCAACCTCCCTCTGTTCGGATTTAGAGGCGATGTCCAAAATATTTTCACCGCTGCTGTTCTTTAAAAGTTCGGCCGCTGGATTCGACAAGAAAAACTCTACAACACCGGGATGTCCATTGATGGCCGCCAAATTCATGGCGGTATTCTGAAAAGAGAAGTAGCAAAAAGATTGATGAGGTGGTATTGGTTAACACCGCCAATTGAGTGACCTGCTTAAGTGTCCGTACTTTGAAGATACCTTAGTTCCAGAGGTCAGAGATGTCCTTTCTCGAAATTCTCGAAATACCTCAACGGCGACAAAACTAGTTGAGACTCCCCTGCTCTAAAGGGCCTCTCTAACGTTTTGCTAACTTAAAAATGGGAAAATATAGCTTCCCTTCCCCCACCCCCTCCATGCAATGTTGTGCCGCCGTTTGAGCTACCTCTAGAAAACAAAAAACACCCCAACTTTAAATAGAGGGGAAGGGAGAGGGGAGTGGATTGTTTTGTTCTCCGAAGTTACCCATTTTAGGACAATGAGGCCCTGTTGGTGGGAGGGGGGTGTCTTGTATTTCTTCGTATTTGTTTACCATGAGTTATCTCTGTCACTGTCAGACCAGATACACCTTATCCATAAAAATCAGGGACCGCGCAGGGGGAGGTGTTAATTGGCGGGTAACTTGCCCTCCCCCTCACTTTTTGTGCGACAAAAAAAAAATTATTTTGTCAATTATCACATATCCCTGAAACCCCTAACAGGGCCTCGAAAATGTCTCAACAATTTTGTCGCCGATTGTAGTTTGGACGGATAAAATAAACCGTACGCTCCCAGGGTAAGATTTACACGTAAGTAAGAAGAATCATACCTTGCTTTTGTCAACGTCGTTAACGCATTCTTCATACTTGTTTACCATGAGTTTACAGCAGGATAGAGAGCCTTTAGTGGCAGCTAAATGAAGTGGAGTACGCTCGCTTTGATCTCTTGAAGAAGAAAAAATTTCAAAATAGTCATTTCATAATTTCATCTAAGGTGGAACCTCTATTCAAGGGACACCCTCAGGACCGAAGCAAGTGTCCCTTGGATAGAGGTGTCCCCTGAATGGAGGTCAAACCCAGGTTTCGGGACCAAACTTTGTGTCCCCTACATGGAGATGTCCGTTGAATAGGGTTGTCCTAAGAGAGAGTTTCCGCTGTATGTAATTTTGAGTTACTCTAAACAGATTTGTATTACTTCTCGTGTGCTTAGTTTCGAAGTCATACCAATTTTTCATATGAATATTTGTCCCAGTTCAGTTGTATCTTTAACTTAAACACAACTGATTACACAGTTATCTCATTGTTAGGTAAGGTACTTATTGTTAGTTTTTGGTGTTCCCTATTAGCAGCAAATTAAAGTGATTTCTCTCTGCACGAAACTTTTTTGCATCTTGAATAAGTTCAGTTATGGCCATTCAATGACATCGATCTCGACAAGAATTAAATAAGAAGGAAAGAAAGATTACGTAGCATGTTTAAGCTTATTAGTGGATTGAAGGGGAAGGGTGAAATAGCTGTCAAATCAAGCGCTCTCCTAGTTCAATGTAGTCGTGTTCTTAAGACGACTGTTTAACACAGTCGTGTTCTGTAGCATGGATTTTGATTAACTGCACCTTTCTATGACAGCACCAAGCCTCAAAAGTACTTCAGCGGTGCTATCGTGTCCCTCTGCACAAGCGAAATGTAGCGCTGTTTTCCCTTGGCTGTTCAGCAAGTTAATGATTTTAACGTGCTGGTTTTCCATCAGTGCTTCAACACAGTCCGTCCAACCGTACCTGCAAGATAAGTTCATGAGACTCACTTTTTCAATTCACCGTCAGGGGCGTAGCTATCTGCACGTCAGTACGCAAGTGCGTACCTGAAAAATGTCGACTAAAAAGGTAAATGAAACACCTGAAATAAAATAGAAAAATGATACAAAAGAAGTGACCAGAAGGTTTTGTTGCTGTGATGCAAAGTTTTATCTCATCATTTTGACAAGGGAACAGTGATTCAATCACGGTGCCCCTATGGGAACGATTTTGGGAAAGGTAGGGTTGATTTGGAAAACTGTGCGCACCAGGGCATCCACCATGGTGCGTACCTATGCTACATCCTAGCTACGTCCTTGGTCGTTTGAAATAAGCACCAGAGCCCAAAGAAAGTGTGTTTACTAAACAACGCCCAGAATTAGGCGACATGGCACTAACCTGGGACCTTTTCTTCGCGCTAGCCCGAAAATCAAAAGTCAGTCCGGCTACTAGCACGCAGAATAGGCGGGTTTGGGAACATACTACGTTGGTTTCGTTTTAGTTAGTTCACCGCATTTGAATTATCTTAATGACTGAAATTCCTATACCTAAGTACCGTGATTGAACAATATTTTGGGAGTTTTAATTCTAAGGGGCTTCCATTCGATATAAAATATAGAAATATTGAATACAGAAATGGCTCGTTGGGGTGTAAAAAGATACTTAAATATCTGGCACAGGATCGCCTTTGTCAAATCTTATATGTATATTGAACGGCTGTACACCCATGAAGAAGACATACCTTGCTGCTACGTGAATTGGTGTGTCTAAACTGTTGGATAACACACTAGAAGAAGTCCTGTTTTTCGTTACAAACAGCCTTATATTCTGTTAAGAAAATGACAACAGATTTGGAAGAGATAAAGACGCACAGTCAGAAACGTAAGATGTCTTCTAACCCGATGAATCACTCCACAAAAGCGGGAGGAGAGATCGGGTCGAGGGGATGAAGAGCAATTTTAGTCTTCCTAGAGTTGTCTCTTATATTTTCAAGACATCTGAGATTTCAGACTTGAAGACAAAAGCAAATGGAATGATTATACTTCATAGTTAAATATTTTACAAGGAGGAAATATGGTCGTTGCCTAAGGAGTCATAGTACAAAACTTACATAAAAAGTCCTGTTTTTCTTTTTTTAACACATCACGACTAAAGGTTCATTGCCGGCATTTTGGAGTAGATATTCTTCCGGTTTTATTATTTTTAAAGCATTGTGGATAGTAGTTCCTAAAATACCTTAATGTCTCCTCGTTTAGCTGCGTAGTGAACGGCTGAAAAACCAGCCTCATCCTTTTCAGTGATAAGGGTGGCAGCTGCGGGGCTCTATATAAAGACACCAACAAACAAATAAACTGGTAAATAATGGATCACAGACTACAACCAGTACGTACTCAACACACTTGCCAGAACAATGCTTCAAGTGGAGTTTTCCTGACAAGTTTGCGTTTAATGAACTTAAAAGGCCCTCGGTAAGCGTATGTCAATCACTTATGGTTACTATAGCAACCTTCACCTCCATTAAATATTCCATGGACTTTGAATCCCCAACTGCTGCGTGAATGATGGATTTCAGCGAAGTATCCCGGATGGTGACATCAGCTTCACGTTCCATCAATAGTTTCACTACGCTTGATGCGCCGTAACTTGCTGCAAAATACAGAGGCGTTCGCCTCTCATCGTCCTTCGGATCCAGGGTTGCACCCTAAGAAATAGATAAGGAATATATATATTAGCACGAGCCAATAACCAGAATAACCCTGGTTTAAGCTAGTGATTCAGCGGTTTATTGCTGTTTCCTGTTTGGCTGTGAAGTTGTTCGGTATGCAAGGTTGAAGAATCTGTATTCATTCATTCATTAACCAACTCTGAGTCACTGACTAATTGGCTCACTGACTGTTTTATTGACAGACTCAATGACTGACTACTACTAGTAACTGACTAATTGATTAATTGGTTGATTAGTAGAGGGATTGATTGACCAAGGAATAGATTAATTGACTAACTGGTTGAATGACTGATTGATTGACAGACTCGTTGATTAGCACTAGAATCCTCAACTATTAGATTTCGTTTGAGAAGCAAGCATACCTCTTAAAGCTAAACTTTTCTTAACGATCGATTTATTTGTTGAAAAAAATTTGATCGACCAACTAATTAATTATTTTGTTAATTGAGTGATTGTTTAATGGATGGATCGGTAGATTCTTCTTTTATTGGTTTGCTGGCTTGTTGAACGAGCCATCGATAAGCTAAGCCATGATGGCAGAGCAAATAAGTAAGCGGAAGGCTTCACCCCATGCAAGGGCTTGGATTCTAGATTCCACGGCATGGATTCCCGATTCCAAGTACTGGATTCCGATTCTTTTTCAGTGGAACTTGGATTCCGGATGTGAATAGTTATTGGGATTCCGAGTTCCTTGAGATGTATTCCAGATTCCAAAGCCAAAAATTTCCTGGATTCCCGAACACGGATTCTTCCCTTGCATGGGGTGAACGAGAAGGCTACCTGTTAAAGCAGGTATGTATGTTTTCTTGAACACTCACTTTTTCCAACAAGAACTCAACTATATGAGTATGATTTTTGCCAGCAGCCAGGTGAAGTGGTGTCTTGCCTCTGTTATCAAGAAGAGTTATTCTACAGATGGCTGGGTCTTTGCTGACCAAATATTCCACTATAGGCATCGATCCTTGTTCGCAAGCCATGTGAAAAGCTGTCATCTTGTCTGATCGCTGTCACATACATACAGTCAATAAACAATTAGTGTGCGTATAATTGAATGGTATGCCTCTGAAATTAGGGAATAATTTTACGAGCGTTTTGTCCAAATTATTAATTTGGATTTGGGCAAACATCAAGTGAAATTACTCCCTAATTTCACGAGTATACCATTTGATTACCTATTAATATTATGGGCGACATATATATTACGCTCATAATCGTGGGTTTTTTTAGTTGTTTATCCTATCGAGAATTTCACGCACTGATCTCAGTTTAGAGCATACATTTTGGCGTAAGTTCTCAATTTTCTGAATTTTTTGGTAAAATAATGTTGTGTTTCCTCTTGCGTCTTTCAATGCCCTGACATCTTTCATCAGGATAACATTTTCATAACAATTTCGACGCCGTCCTCACATTGAGACGTACGGAACATTGCCGTGGGAATTTTGTAATTTCCATGTGAAATTATAAATTAACGCTGAAATTTCCGGCCCAAGTTAAGGAGTAACTTGTCACCCATGATAATAATAACGATAACGCGCACTTCACGTAATTTATATGAAAATACTTTTGTTATAACAGAAACTTTAGTTTATATCATGTCAGGTTTTCAAGAGGCTTTATTTTGATAGGCATGTTCATTCAAATTTTGGTTTAACACTTCACATCCATGGCAGAACCAAGATGGCGGCTGTATTTGCATTGTATGACTAATTTTGTCAGTAATATGATATAGAAACATCAAGCGAACTATCTTAGCTATATTTTTCACGCGCTATAAGCACCCCAACATTAATAACCATAGCTTGGATAGTCTTAACATTATGGAAGGGATGTAGAACGTCAAGCCCAAAAAATGAAGGCCAGCTTCTCAACATGGTTAACCAAACGAAACCTCCTTTGAAGTAGCATTTCTAAACACTGATAGATTCATCGCCTCGCTTCAAGGGTCGTTTGTGATCATTAGTAATCAAAAAACGCTTTTAAATTATTGTTTAGTCAATACCCTTGGCTGACGTATACGGACTCCATGCTCCACACATAACTCCACCACCTAAAAAAAAAGCGTATAAGTATGTTCAAATATCATCACATGAAATTAATGATGCAAAAAAAGATTTACTGAGGAGGTTCGTTTCTCACTCTTCAACATAGTTATAAAGGTCGTTCCTCTCATAGGCTTTATCGGCTGCCTTGCCTAATCAAATTGAAATTTTATATCTCGAAAAATGTAATATGGGCAAAGTGAAATTAATTATAGGTTTTTTGATAAGGATAGAACATTAAAAGTTGAGGCCGTCTTCGCTCTGTCAAGGAGCTTGAGCTATTATTGTTTGTTTTAAGTAATCCAAAAGTTAACTATTTGTCGTCCACGTTACGCGTTTTAGAGCGCGTTATTGATCAGCTTTTAGGCATGGAATGTGGTTTCAACTCCTCCCCATTCCTCCCCGCGGTGTAGAAGAAATCCTTTGATGTGAAACGAGAAAGGAACTGGAGCCGAAATGTGTCTCGCAGTTGTTTCTGGGATCGATAATGGGAACACGTCGGTCAGCTATTGGCTAATTTTTCCCTGTCCAGAAGTCTTTGCGAAAGCTTCTCGACCCAGGTCTCGCCTCGTTTTTAAAGCGGTGAATAGCCCCTTTACGAGATATAAAAATTCATTCTTGGCTCAGAGGAGTAGGGGAATAAAACAAAAGAAATATATTATTCATTACTGAGACTCAAGATCATTAGCTAATGAACCATCTAATGCATACAAGGGAAATTGTTTCGGTAAACTGACCGCTAGGACACCACTGTTGGCGGCAAGATGAAGAAGAGTGCCACCATCAAGATCAACGTTATACATTAGACCCTCTGATGAATCCATCTTCTCTTCAGCTATGACAAAGGAGAGAATAAGTTTAAGTTGGAGAATGGAGCAGGGAAGGATAGAATTAGTCAAAGTTGTATGAGCTGGCCGCTCTTATAAAATACTCGAGGGTCTGCATGAAAGTATAAGACTATCAGTCATCAGTAAGATTTTAATGATTTGTCAGCTACCATCTAAAACATCTTGTTCAGCCAGGAGGCTCCTGGTTTGGCCCGTTTTCGATAAATAGGAAAATTATATGGATCTCACATCTCAGCTTCAGTCAAAAGCCCTTTTTTTCTCGGCCTTCAGTTAAAATTTGGAACAATTCTCAGCTGTCGATCAACTGAAGCATTCAGACCAGCGGACCCTAACCCACTTACCAATCTGTAGAAGATATCTTGCAGATTTGCTAGCTCCTCTTTCCACTGCTCTACCAACAGGTGTCATTTGCTCAGCATCCAAAGGTGACAGACTTGCGTTATTTTCAACCTAAATTGACATAACACGGTAAACGTAATCAATACTTGCGTTACTAAGTGCATCTGGACTCCGGTATCCGGGAAACTTTTGCTTGTGCCTCGGAATATGGGAAATTTGTGCTTTCGGAATACTGGAAATCGAAATCCTGGTTCTTGGAATCTGGAATTCAGCTCAAGGAATCCGGGATCCCACTAACAACGGGAATCCTGAATCCAGGTTCCACTGACAAAGAATCCAGAATCCATTCCCTGGAATCCGGAGTCCTTAGCGTGGAATCCAGGATTTAAGACTGTCTTGAAGTGGGGCGAGTTAAATTGCTTAACGAAACCTCTCTTTAAGATAGTCTCACTTCCTCTCTTTCTCTCTTAAATGTCGAAGATTTATTTTAAAAAAAAATAAGCGTTTTACTTATTTATTTATTTATTTATTTATTTATTTTTTTCTGATGCTGTTTTATTTTACCACGAGATTAAGTCTGGTCATGTTGGCATGAATTAAAGTTCACGGTTAAAAATTCAATATCTCACCAGAATCTTACAAATGGCATCATTGTCCATTTCCGCAGCAAGATGAAGAGGCGTAGCAGAGTTCCGTCCCAGGCTCCCGACGTCACATCCCCCACGATGAAGAAGTGCCTTGAGAGACAAAACAATAAATAAAATAGTGTGTAAACGTAAACAAACCAGGTATCACCACAAACAAAGGCTTGAATTCCAGCCTCACAACCAGAATCACAGTCCCCGAACATATCTGAAGTGACGCCGAAGGAGCTCGAAAATACATCGGTGTACTCACCAGTACCAATTTATCGCTGCCAACATGGATCGCGGTGTGCAAAGGAGTGTCACCTGCATCATCATTGATAGTGACGTCAGCACCACTCTCAAGAAGCTTGTCAACTATATGGTACTGTTTTGAAAGGATGGCGGTATGAAGAGGCGTTTTGCCTGACTTGTCCTGGCGGTTGATTTCTTTAGGGTACAAAAAAAAAACAGGAACATCAACTGACTTTTAAACTCAGCCAAATTATTCTTTACCTTTATCCAATGAAAGAGCGAGTTTTGATGTATGTTTGTCCAAAAATCAAACGGTCTGTGTTTTTTTTTTCTTCTTCTTTGGAAATGCTTTGCGAAAAAGTAACAAAAATGCCAGATGTAAATTGAAGGATTCCTGAAATCTCCACGTAAGCAATACCAGAAGTTTAATTGAGGACAAGGTTTCTTCGATGTGTAATTAGGGAACTTAAGAACCACGACGAAGTTCACGACGACGACGTCTGTTCACTGGGAAAAGACTGGAACGAGAACGTCGGTTTCGGTGGGAAAAAGGAAAGTTAAGATGCGGTCAGTCGGTAGGTCGACGACGACGACAACGAATGTAAACACAGATGTAAAACTGTGATGTTCGTTCGCAACAAAGTTTTTCGCAATGGCGTCTTTCAAAACAACGCAAGATCTTATTTGTTCAAGCCGTACGTCTAATTTCATTGACGATGAAAAATTTTTTGTGCTGTCTGACCTTTTCGAGTGGAAATACACCTACTTTCTATACGAAATTATTCAACTTTCAACTTGAATGAGATGGCCGAGTCCGAGTGTCCGTACCGCGTCAGAGTTTAGATTTCGAAAAAGAGACATTCTGATGTGATAGCTGTTTTCCATATAAAGTTTATTTCCTCTACATTAAAGATATATGATTTGCCTTACCTAAATACGTACAAATAAATTTATCACAATTCACTTACGAGTTCGCTCGCTCGGCCTCCTCAGCTGTTGCCATTCTTCAAAGTAAAATCAATTCATTACTCGAATTTTCAATCAACATCGCTTGTTTGGAGAAAAAAGGAACGATACCTGGATTTAGGAGGACAAGAAAATGTAAAGGCCTTCAAAAATCGCTTAAAACAGTGGATTTATACCTGCCGAAGCTTGTGGATTGCAGGACGACGTGATTCTACTTTGTTTGGCGTCGTCGACGACACCACGACGACGAAATTTACTAGTCGCGCTTGCGCAGTACAGTGTAACTCACTTCCGGTCGTCGTCGACCAAGCCGTCGTCGTGGTTCTTAAGTTCCCTATTAACTTAACTACTGGTACTTGACCAAATTTTTGAGCGCGCGGTGTTTTGATGTAGAAGATTGAAGACTACTTCCCTAAGAGCAATGCTATTCGTAAATTTATCTCCACAAATTCTTCGCGCACAAAACAATAATCTACTTTTTAAAACCCCAACTTATTTGCCATTTGAAAACTTTACCTAAGAACTTAACCTAAGAAATTTTTTGTTTACTCACGGTAGTGGACCAGTTTTAGTTATTAGTTATGTCGGAACCTGATCGCTTCTTACCATTTCCTTTATTAATGATTCTCACTGCTTCTTCTTCGTTTCCGGCTAAGATAAGCTGATGAAGTCTGTCTGTTTTATCATTTTTCTAGAAGGTAAAATTTAAAAGGAGTCTTACTAGATAGCATCAATCCACTGTCGAAATTTAAAAGATAGTCCAAATGTTACACCAACCTGATAATATATACAACCGGTTATTCACTGCCCGAGTGTGCACATTGTGCTGTAACGATATTCTTTTGTACTTACAGAAGATTCCGTGCGAGCAATGGACTGATCTTCTGTTTCCTCTTCCGCTTCAGATCCCATAGAAACCTTGCTTACGGCGCGCGACCGCCTTCTAACTCTTGAAAAATCGCTGGCGCCCTGGTTGACTACCACCAACAATTCTTCATCCCCCGCATGTGGCTCAGGAAAGACGTCGAAACTAACTTTCTTGTCTTTCTCCATCGTATGTCTGTTTGATTTGGGTCCTTCGATTTAAACGAACAAATCTGGAAATTATAAACCACACGAAACAGTAAGTTTTATCCATAGTGTGGCCTTTACACGTCACTTACTGAAGCGCCAAAGCGCAATTACCTTTTTATTTCTGAATAGAATTCCCGACACAATTCTGATGGAACGGACGCTTAAAGGACCCTAAAGAAAGTAATTTTCTTAGACCTCACTCTAGAAAATAAGACTGCATTTTTCAAATCGGCCCAGGAGCAAAAAACAATGTTAAAGTTTGCACCATCCGTATTGACTCGGACAGACTAACTGCTCTTGGCTTTGTTCCATGCTAGAATCCTCTCTATAAGGTACTGTATACCGGTGTTGTAGTATAACCTGTTTGACCGCTTCAACTGGGTCGTTGGCTGCCTAAAAGTGTTTTATAAAGCAACGACCCCAGTAAATTATACCAATTGCCAAGCTAGCTAATGACGTGTGAATGCCCGCAGGCCAAATGAAATTCCACGTACGTGACTGTTTGTTTCTCTGAAAATCTCTGACAGTTTTGATTCAGAACAGGTCAGCTTGATACTAAGTGTTTTATAAATCTTTAGTACGGGTCTTGTTAAGTTGCTTTCATTCAGCGGCTCACAAAGTGACCAGTTTTTGAAATGCACTCACGTATGTATGTCTACGTCAAAGCGGCCTACTTTTAACTAAACATAGAACGGATGACTGTATGCCTCGTTGGATGTGCCTCAATTCTAAGTTACCCGATTTACTGGCCTTAAAATGTGGTTACTCGGCTTTAATTTTGAAATCAGAAACATTTTTCTCCTAAAAATCCCTAAACACAGTTAACAGTAAAGTTTTATTGAACTAGTTGCTAATTTTTCCCCCTGGGGGTCACAGACTTAGCCCACCTTTTAGGTGTCATTAAAATGAGTTGATAAAGATCTTAACTGCTGTAAAGGACCGAAACTTTCCCCATGAAATTAAGATCATCAAAGGTCAGTAAAGTTAAGTCATACAAAATACAAGTAGGGAAAGTATTAATTAATGCCCAACTATAAAGAAATGAAAATTTAACAAACAGTCGTCATGAATACGGTAACCCTTGTATCTTAACATAAAGACAACACTAGTCCTTCTAGAAATTTCCACATTAAAAAGGAAGTTGTTATAAACGCTCTATTTTATCCTCTTGCAAATTTAACTTTTATCAAATCCCACTTCTACTACGTGTTTTTGATCTCCCTCTCTTGATTTCCGATCGAATCAGGTGTGTTGATCGCTCAGTTTTCTTTTTTTAACCGCGGGAGAAAAAATCCGGAGTTAACTTCTTGTCTGGCAAGACTACGCATTTTATCATGCTTGCAAAGTTTATTAAACTCTTACTGGAACCATTCACACACCAAATCTCGAAACGATGGTCTTAAAAATACTACAGGCCGATAGCAATACTTTGTTGCCCTTTTCTCACGCACTGCCGGCTCGCGGTCTAACGCTTTAAAATAGTATTTCAAATCTCGCTGCACGTTTGCATACCACGAGAACATAACAAGCGCAACTTCTGAACATTAGCTTCTGCTTACAACCCAATTTATGTTGGAGTAAGCCACATTCGTCTGTAATTTTGCCGATTGCCGATATCTGTTTCTGAAGGCGCGTGAAAGGGCCAGTTTCGAGAGATCTTCCAACCTGTTGTCACTTTAATGTGCTTACAATCTTGGCTGGAATAGCACCGTCAAACTGCGCATTCCCTTCTTGGTGCGCACGGCAGTTTTTGTCCAATCTTTTAGCCCTTGAAAGGTGAAGCATCAGTTCCTTACCGACTAAATCAAATTTGCTTCCAATTAAACAAACGAACTGCCCGATAAGAAATTTAAAGGAGACAGGAAAAAGAGAAACTTAGTCCGGCATCATCTTGTTTTTTATGCCCTATGGCGCGCAAATTCCAGCGCGTGTCTATTTAAATTGCAATTCTTTGTGTAACAGATTGAAGTCTGGCAAGTAACGTTCAGAACTGTAAAACGTTAAAAATACTATACATTTTAACACCAGACATTTTCTACAATATACCGATGAAATTTTAAGATGCAAGACATGCTTTTACAAGCTCTGATCAACATCCAACCGAATAATGTTGAGAAATGTGCAATCTGCTAATGCCTTCGAAACACTGATCTCTGAGTTTATTTTAAGCTATATTTTAAAGTGTATTCACTCTGATTACTTACCTTGCCCTATCATTGACGTATTGAAACCGGACTGATGTTAACGGTGAGTTTGCAGTGGATGATAAGAACAATACCGCCGCAGCAACAACTAATTTCTCTTCTAAAGTTCTGGGGCAGTGATTTGCATTTTTCAAGCCGTTTGTCAATTTTTTTTGTGAATATTTAATTATCTTAGCGCAACGCGGCAAAAATAGATCAGGTGACTAATTATTTTAAAAACCTAGAAGTAAGTATAATATTTTCTCGTCCCTTTAACCGAAATCGACATGTGTAATAACCTTCTTTGTCATATTAATTTAATTTTTCAGTTGACTATACTACTACAAGTGCAAATAAATTCCACGCACGGTCATGTACGCGAAAATCAGTTAGTGGTGAAATCTTCAACATAAAGTAGCCCTTCAATCACAGGAGCGAATCAGGCAGAATGTTATGCAAGAAAAGTTGTCAAAGCGATTAGAATTTTTACATGCATGAGTGGATTTTTCTGATCAGGAAACTTATGAGGGTGATTAAAAAAAGACATTATTAAACAAGGCTGTTGATTAAAAAATACGAAACAACACAGGATAAGTATGGAAAAAGCTTAGAATGTGGTTAAGAACTCAAACCCATATCGTTACTTCACGTTGCGTAGTTCATACGACCAACATAGCTCAGTAAACCCCTAGGCAAAAACATACATCATTCACGTATAAACAGTATACGGCCTATTTAAAGGCTATAAAGCCAAGTTTCTATAACATATGACAAATACAGTGTATTAGTAACGCTACACCGAACATCAAAGTATAGCAACAACTTACGTTTGTAAGAACATTAATGCTTTATTCCTTTCATTGAAAAACTGCAGTAGTCAGTGATCTAGAACTGTTCAAATTATCAAGTTTAACCCTCTAGACGTTTCGCTTACGAAGCAAATTAGTCTATATTGTGCGTAAAAGAGTAGCCTTCTCAATTACGTTTTGAGTCTACGAAGGAAAAGAAATCCCTAACCTTATACAGTTATAAAATTTGTATCAGAAATGTACCAGAAAATGTGAAATGAAACGGGTGAGAAAAACTGAGTAGTAAGTACTTATGCTATGAGTGTTAACTCGCGTGCCACTCTTGTTCGTTGCATTGTTACTGGATACGCGATAAAAACAGTGCTACAATGCTAGAGGACTTGAACTTTCCGCGGCAGGGTATGTTAACCCTTTAAGCCTCAATATCCACATGCAAATTCTCCAAACTGATCTCCATACATTTCCTTTAAGAATTAGTTGAGAGATTTTGGTAAAAGATCAAATATTTGTCTCTTTGTGATCATTTTATTAATTCTCATAGACTTTACTGATGACAATCTATGGATATCGTTGGGAGAAAATTGTTTTTGGTCACTATTGGGACTTCAAGGGCTAAAGAACATGTGCATATATTCATCTTATTCCAGTTTGCTCACATTGTTATTGTCTGGGGAATTAAATAATTATTCTTTAATTTTTTTTTTCTTTTTGTTATCGCTGTTCTTTTTTAAAAACGTTGTTTTTTTAAATGCAGGGCACTAGAGGGTTAAACACTTGAACTTCGAGATTTAAAGGCAAATTAAAATATACGGACTAACAGGCTGTAGCTGTAAAATCAACTCGAAATCAGTCTCCACTTAAAACAGCGACTCCACCACTAGCCTACGAAAACAGCCGAGGAGCAACGGCTTTTTTCGCAGGTTAGCCCACCACGAGGCATATTTGAATTCTCTCACTTTTCTTCAATTCAATTCAGCCAACACGTCCGTGTACTAGCTGGTTATTCCCCCCGTCTGAAATCATTCTCTAACGAACCTCTCTAACGCTTAAATAAATTAATTATATTTAGTTACAGAGGGCATTATAAATCTATTAGCCATTATTCCTGTTTTTGTTATCACTGATATCAAACTAAACAAAACAGACGACTTTATGAAAATCCAAATTTTTCAGTCATTCCAAACAGACTTTTGCTTATTAAAGAAGCTTCCTCTTTCTTCTCCTCTTTCTTGCCACTGTTTTCTAGAATTTTGGGGCGAATTTCTTTCAGGAGTTCTGACTGTTCTCTCAGAATATCGAACATTTTCTGTATCCTGAAACAAACAAAAAAAAACGTAAAAATGGAGTTTTCAAACGCTCTTCTTGTATACTCCCATTTTATAGCTCACTATGTACAGCGGGTATTTGCTAGTGTACTTGATAAAACTTATCTAAATTCTACCCACTAACAAATGTAACTGTAGCAAAACTGACGCTCCAGGTCTATATCAAAAGTTGTCCGTGGGAGTGTTTTGTCTTAAAAATTTGTCACATGTTCAGAATCGAACAGTACGTAGTCTAGGCTCTCCCCCTTAAAACTTGTTAGTGATGAATTAGCAGATTCAGATTAGTTCAGATTTACTACTAAACTTGCCATGTGATTTGTACTTGGAAATGCAAAGCTTTTGCGCACAGATTACTAGTTATTTTCACGCTATTTTCTTCGTTAAGATCTTGAAACTGAAACTTCGACATTTTTGAGGACGAAATTTTACAATTTTAGGTCCTCTTTACGAGGAAGTGGGGGCCCCAGATAGGTGAGGTAACATGTGGCGGGCCACCCCACCTATCAAGTAAACGTGATCAAATTAAAATAAGAGATTATATGGACAGGAGGGTTACCTCACCTACCTGAGGTTCCCCACCTCCATGTAAACAGCCCCTTAATCCCAAGAATCCGGCTAAGGCAATTGCAATCATGCTATCGTAAATTGAGAGTTTGCACTGTAATTGGTACTAACAAAGTTGAAGCATACTGTTCTGTTTCAGAAACCCATATTTTTCACTGTCTCTTATTCTTTAACTGAAAAGCCGCCGTAGTACTCACTTTGCGTCTTGCTTCTCAATTCGATCCACAACCTTAAACATTTGCGGTGATATTTCATCTTTTTGTCCCTCTTCTCTTGCGACTTCAGGTTTATTGAACCCAATGAGTCCATCTACCAACTTAAGCAAGAGAATAAATAAAGTTAAGAAATGGATAAAAAGCAGATAAAAAATGATGTTGCAAACGTTAGGTTTCCGATGAAATACGGTCTTGTATTTTGAGGAGGGAAGCATTGGTCGAAGAGAGTGTATATTACCGTCGGTTGCATCTAAGCGTGAATACGAGACAAGAAAACATGTTGTAATAGGGTGCCAAAGATGAACGTGTTTTGCCGCCAAACATTTGAAGTTTGACAGGCGTTAAAGCAAACTGTCGCGCCAAAGGTTAAGTTGTAATTTACTGAATGGTCCAATTTACTTAATCGTCCTTTTTCGTATGTGTTTTAAATTTGCATATCCCTTGGAAAACGATTTTGAGATAACTCAGCAATCACTTTCATACAGATCAATCAGACTTGTACTGTGTCACTTTTTATATGTTTTAGGGGTGACAGGAGATTTAGGTTAAATTGAGGCGCGTGCATTGTCATGGGAAAGAATGAAAGAAAAATAATGAAAAATGGAACAGTGAGGCGCTTGGAGGATTCCTCGAATGGGTCAGTGGAAAGGAGTAAGTTATGATTGGTGAAAGGTAGCTAAAGACAACCGTTAACCATTGCTTGTTCTCTCTACCGAAACAATCCCAGAAATGTTTGGGCCAATGTACCCAGTCCCATTCTCCTGCCCAGGTCCCCAGGAGGCTCTGGGGACGAGAATGCCCTGTGGTTTATAGCGTCGGAGTAGCGAAGTTACAGTAATATGGGCATTCCCTTTTCATGTTAGTGATTTGGGTTAGGGTTAAAGGGGATGCCCATATCACTAGGGTTTGGGAATGGGGATGCCCAAAACGCAGGGATGCCCATATCACTGTAACAGCGACATAATTGACTCGTTCCAAGTCCCCTATTCCTTTAGGTATGTTAGGCCATAGCATGTGACCTGTGAATACTGTCCCTTTCACATACCACTTGTTTGAGTGTCTTGCGTTGGTTCGGAAACTCGGTGTGCGAGTATACTTGTACTCTCTTCAAAATAAACTTTGGGAGGGAATTCTCTATCTCCACAAGCAGTCGAACCTGTGATGGAATCATGATAATGAGCAGTATATCACCCTGTTTTAAAGTTTATTATGCTGTATAAGGTGGTTCCTAACTTTGAATTTGTGTGTGAAATACTGAAGTGTAACCATACAAATAAAAGCTACTGTGCAGTACGTTCCTGTGGTTCTTTTCACTATCCCGTACAAGTTGGCTCTAAGCCAGTTTTAAATTTTTGCAAAAGTTCCTGCCTTGTAACCATTGAAATGATAGCTACTGCCGTGGTACTTCCTGTTGCAAAATTCACAAAACGCTACCTGTAGGACGTAACGATCCATCAAAGCATTCTGTTGAATCTTGTCAATATCTCCAACAGCTAAACCAACCTAAAATATCAAGGGAGAAATCAAATTTTGCAGTAGCTGAAGAGTGTCTCGGAAAAATTATGGTAGTAGTAGAGCCACGAATCTTCGTGCTGCAATCGTACCTCTTCTCCATATCCATGCATGTTATACTCATATGTGCACACAATTCTAATGCCTTTGCTTTGGTAACGATCACACAATCGCCCGTAACGATGAGGCAATCACTATTAACGTTTACGAAATCACTCTTCACTCTTCACACACTGTATGCGCATAATATTTGCGCACCCAGTTGAAATGATTCCCCAAAATATTTGTACGGTTCCCTGCAGTAGCCATTCTACCATGGTAACGCGTGGCCAAGCATGATACATTGTTAAGCAATCTTTAGATGCTCGTTAAACACTTACATTGTATCGTGCTTCAGTTGCGCTACAGACAAAGTCGCACTACAGTCACATTATGATTGTGATCTCGTCTTATAGAAATTTCTGGGGTAAAGAGGGAAGAGAGAAGCGAATAAAGCATAGAGCGAAGGGAGAGAGTAACCCCCCTCTCTGTTCGCCCTTACCCCTCCGTCACATGCACTCTCCCCCCCCCCCCCCCCCAAAACAAAAAGGAAGGCACCCCAACTGACTCAGGCTAGTACAGAAATCAAACCATAGTTATTCATAATAGTGAACTTACGCAACAGGACAGGAGAGGAAAGGAGACAGCAACTTTTTTTGTGTGTGTGACAAGCGTGACGATGAGTTTGTTGGAAAAACGTGCCGCCAAACTTCACCTTCCTTTTAACAGATCTTTTCGTAAAAGACCAGAAAAATTTAATTTCAAGGGAAGATCCCGACAAAACACGCAAGTAATAGCCATGTAACCTTTGTCACGAAAAAGTGTTTTACGGTCCTCTTCTTCCTGGTCCTGTTGCGTAAACTCACTAATGTCGTACGAACTTACCAGGGCCTACACTTAATTCCATCCGCCAAACTGACGTTGACACATTAACGATTCGTACACAAAGTAGGGTTAGGGTTAGGGTTAGACATTTCACTTTTCTTATATGAAATTTCTTGATGAAATGTTCATAAAAGTCAAAGTGTCTTCAATTTTTAAGGAAAAAAACAATTCAGGATAGAATGAGTAGGATTCGAACTCGGAGCATCCGATCTGGAGTGCATCATTCTAACCCCTACACCACCGAGGATTTGGTGACGAATACCAGTTTGATTTAAATATATAACCCTAACCCTAACCCTAACCCTACTTTGTGTACGAATCATTAATGTGTCAACGTCAGTTTGGCGGATGGAATTAAGTGTAGGCCACTTACCAGCATGTTCATCATGATTATTGGCATTCCGAGAACAAGTACAATGAATAAAATGTTGGCTAGAGTAGAAAAACTGAGTTCTTTGTCAAGAAAGTTGTCACTGTAATTAAGTTCTCCAAGGGTCATCACAAACATGGTCATCAAGGATGTTCCAAATTGATCGAACGGTTCCTGCGATAAGAAAAATAAAGATAAAGAAGCCTGCCAGCAGGCTCACTTGTGCGAATTCGGGGAACATTCTAGCGCAAGCCGGAAACGCCGTCGAGAAGATTGGGGTGAGGTAGCCAACGTGTAGCCGCACTCGCCCCCACACTTCCTCATCTCTCCGTTTTTGCTTTGTCAGGGGGAGGGTGCGGCTACACGTAGGCTAGGGGCAAGGAAGACGTGCCGCATTCTGTTGCGCTGAAGAAAAAAAGAAACAAACAGCATACACCGTAGATTGGGGTCTTGCAATGGAGCTGGCTTGATTAAATCTCATAATAACGCTAACGACTTTTCACAGACTTTTCAAACAATGCAATGTGAGTGTGTTTGAAGGAGCGTTCAAACGTATTAGCACCATTGTTACGTTTTTGGTTATAATTACTTTTTTCCCCCATTGGAACATGCAGTTACCTCATCCATCAGCATCAGAAACGTTGTTCCAAACGCCATGATGAACAACATCCAAAGAAGCAAAACCTGTGTAAAAGAAAATTGCATCCGTTAGTTGTTACTCATATCATGATCAGATTCATTTCTGCGTTATTCCCACAACGTTATGTAAAGTGTCTTCACATGAAGGAGACCTCCTCCGTAGGCTCCACTGTCTTGTTTTAGAGAAAAGGTAGGAGAATGGGATGTGAACGGGGAGTGACTCTTCGCCTGTCGTCGATCCTCAGGCTCCTCACAGTAAATATAACGGAGGGAGCTATTCACATGCAAGGTAGTGGAAATTTATGCTTGGCTTTCTTCGTCATAAATGTCTCGCGCTTGTCACTTCCCGGATTGAAGATTTCTGTTAACACATCTTCTCGTGTTACTGTACCATTATCTCATGTTTTAAAATGGTTATAAACAAACTTGAAACAGATGCCACCTACAAACCTTAACCAGGGTCACAAACATGGTGGATAACATGATAACGTACTGCCCATAAGAAGACAACCTAAAAGAGAGCAACAACATCTGTTTTAGCCTGCAAATATAGAAGAATGAATGAAGCTAAAGATAAATATTTCTTGCGAAGTTTATATTGAGCGTAGAGCGTGAAGATTTTGTCATGTTTTTAAGGCATGATACGCTCGTAAAACGTGCCGAAAGAGTTGAGAATATGATGCATAGCTAAGATTAAAGAGGTGCACCCATGTTTTAAAAGGTTGTAAAAGGTCTAGGTTTGGTGTAGTTTTTGGCGCAAGAAATCAAACACAACCAAAGACCTGAACTTTCTTAGCTGTGTAAATATTTCGAAAAGTTAGGCTTGGGTCAAGCGTTGTTCACAAGTACCGAACCTAATTATAAGTAATGAAGGAGAACAATAAAATTTTGAAGCAGAGTCTGCGTGATGAGGATTTTTTTTTTAAGGGCAAATCTGGAAACTTACCTTCTGAAGTACAAAATAAGATTCATCCACCCGAAGAACAAAGCGATCGCGCCGACTTCTTGCTTAAAACCAGCTCGACAGTCACAAGGCGGTATACAATACAGAATAGCCGTTATATAACAAATCCACTCCAAATAGTTACTCACATCCTCAATATATGTCATTCGCTGCGAATTAGGACAAATGACAAAGATTCAGAAAGGCAACTGAATAATCACTACACTTAATCAATAAATGAGTAAATAATTATTTTATTGCTCATTAGATAAAAAGACATATATAATGTTACAGGCTAGATAAAAAAGATCAGCTGAATGCAATGCAGTGAAAAGATAAAACGATTTAATTCAAAACACAAAGAAAGATTAAAAAGCTACATATCTTTGAACACATAGCTTTATAAATCAAACCATAAAAAGCTGGAATTTATCTATTTATAAACATAATTTCTTTTAACGCTCGGTATTCACCTTCGGCCAGCGGCACCAAAATTGCTGGTTTACACTTCTAATTGCTGGTTCAAATATCAATCCTGCCGAGTCTTTGAATGTTGTTCGTAAGAAAATAAACCATTTTGAAGGAGATGAAGGTGAGGGTCGGTGTTGTGTCGAATTGAACTATGGGACTATGTCGGCGACGTCGGCGCTTCTTTCATTGGCTATTTCAATTTGTAGTTGCGCGGAAGATGGGATCCAAATTGGGCCCCAGAAACAGTCCCACAGTGTAGTTGGACACAACAGCGACCCAGTCGTTCACCCAACCTAAGGATGGCCAACTCTGACAATGTGCTTAACATTTGCATTGTGTTAAGACTCTTAACACAGTGGAAATTTAATGAATAGATGCTAGTCGTGTAATGTCGTCCCGACACAAAAACAATTTGGCACTTTAGACATGAGAAAGACACTGGACCGAGTCAAATTTCGCAAAGACTTATGGGACTGTTGCTAGGGACAGGGGAAAAAATTGACCAATAACTGAGCGGCACGTCCTTAGTAACAATCCCAGAAACAATTGCGGGCACATTTCAGCACCAGTTCCCCTCGCTTTCTAACGTAGTGAATAACGACAGGAACTCAAAAATTTCAGCCATGTTGTAGTTATTGCCTTGAAGATTGTAGTAAGCTATATACGGTGGGCTGTTTCTCCTCACCTGAGAAAAAAGGGATAAAATCTCCTTCAAGAGATGACCTGCCGCCATGACCAAAACGAAGTAATTCAACACCTGGACCACCTATTTAAGAAAACAAAGGAAGATTTTAAAGTGGACTGATTAATGTAAATTTAACTCTGAATATTTATAAGTAGACTGCGAGCAGTCTCTTATTTTTCTTTTGAGACCCGGCAGCATGCAAGCACGAGAAACGAGGGCACGCGCGAGGGGTGAACGGCGAAGCCACGCATTTTACCTTTTCGCTCGCCGCGCGTGGCTCTGAGAGAAGAAGGACGACCGCTCGCAGTCTAATTTATAACTGATAAATAGAAGAACGAATAGGTCATTTCCGAGTTGGCCCAAGCCTCTGTTTCAAAGCGAGGTTAAGTGCGAAGCCATTTTTTTATTCTCATGCAAATAAAACTCATTGTCACAAGAAAGGTTTTGCACTTGGCCTCTTTTTGAAAGTGAGAATTTTACGAACTCGGAAATGGCCTATTTCATGAACGTCGTCTCTTACCACACTGCTGAAAGTACAATTGTGGTCGTCTTTGTTCTAAAAAAAACAAGAATTAAGTGATACTTGGTTATATTGGGTTATTTATGAAAGTACAAACGCTTTGATGGGGATTTAAGATCTAGTAACCTAATAAATATCGAAGGCAATATAACAAAAAATAATAAAAATAAATACAGCCAACTCTCGCCTTGCCTTGACGCCCCCAAATTTGTGATGCTAAGTTTCTTCACCCTTATAACGGCGATTTGTCCGAAAATTTGAGAAAAACACTGCCCAAGAATGTCAAAAGTCCACTTCCGGTTGATGTCCGTTGCTCAAACCTTTGCTTAAACTCCCTACTTAGTAGCCTAACCTCATTCTGATCAGAAGAGTTGAAGCCACATAGCTCATCCTCATTGACGCGTGAATATACTGCTAATGTGGTCAGCGGTGTAATGAACAAAAAATAGAAGAAAAGGTTGGTTGCAAATGTAACCCAGCCAAACTTTTTCCTGAAAAATACACAAAGTATATAAATTACTCCAAGGTCTGTTGTTAAGATTGTTGTTTCTTTTTTAATTAATCATTGCGTCCCAAAAAACATTGTGGGTGACTTGACCAGAATGAAACCATAAGCTAAG